ATTATCATATTTTTGTCTCACTTTGTTGTAACCATGGCTGACTTCAGTTCTCCTAATTGTATCAATTATTTTGGAATATTTGTGAAAGCGTAATTGGTTTTAGTAGAAGTTGTATGCTCGCGAATGAAGCCTAAACGAAGAGACAGATTTGCCACATGGTTGATTGTTCTTAATCATATCTGCAATCCATATGCAACGTCGCCGCCATCTTCGCAAATTCAGACAACCGCATACCATCAGACGAGTCCAATTCTATGAATTATATATATTTGACTGCCGATGTACGTTTGGAACGTTATGTAGTGTTCAAACTGGGGTTTGATAAGAAAGCACCGCACAAACAAACTATTCAATGGTAGCGGGTCCTTCTGTAATACCGAGATATCTATTAATTTTATTATATTTATTACGCTTATTAGATATCCAGCTATTCATGGCTGATATTCCATGTCGTCGTGACAGGTTATTTTTGTATTTACTGTATTGCAATATGCGAAACCCTTATACTCCCGGAAAAGGTCATCTTGGATCGTCACTAACCGCGAACACCATCTTGAGACCCGTATGGCATTTCGAGCCTGTATTCAAGGTTTTTTTGTATTATTTTTATTCAGGTCCTATGTATTTAACCCAGTTTGAATTGATTTCCCATATAGCTTTTTAGAATAGCACGCTAACTTTCTTTGACCTCACTGGCCACAGTATACCGAATTCCCAACGATATACATCTGTTTTATGGTTGATGCTACATTAAGATGAAGGTTTGGGTCCTTGAGCTGGCTTGTATAAAAAAAATGCCCACTTGGCGCTCACGTGATTCGAGACACGGAATACATACACTCCGGTTGTAATCGCTCTTCTTTACCATGGACGCACGTTTTTGTAAAGTCATATCGTTTTTAAATTCTCTCTTTATTCGTATGATGTCACACTGGACAATTGTCAGACAACGATTTTCTCTCTCAATGGATGAATGTTAACCATGGCTTCATTTGATGAAATCATCATTCCGGTTGGCGCACCGCACCGGCTTGGTGTTTTATGATATTTCTAAATGTAGAAAACTTTCCAAAGTTATGTCAGCTACAGATCTCGTATGACATAGAACTGTCATTCATTGAAATACACCGATTTCCCAGCGGCAAGAATAAAAAGCTCAAATTTCACATCTGTTCAATTTTGAGGAGATAAATTAAAAACCGTGACCTCCATAACAATAACATCAGCGGCAAGCTCCACAGTTGACACCTCGCGTTTATTCGGCTCCCGTGACGTGACGTCATAATATTGCACGCTTCGGGTTGTGGTCACCCATATCCACCACAAAAGCACACATCCGTACCTTCTTCAGGATTCGTACCGGCCAGGATGTTGTCACTCGCTCTTGAAACAATAGAAGAAGTTTCAGAGTATCTCAATGTTTCAAACAGACACAATTAGTTTCAGGTGGCTTTGTAGGATCAATTGTCTCCTGTTAAGATGCGTGGCGAATGGTATTCTTAATATTATGCTGAATTGGAAATCATATTAAAAAACATCTCAATTTTGCCATGGTATCTATATCTTGCATTTACCACGCTTATTATTATTTTTTTTACAGTATGATCTTGAACGAATTCCTCAATTCCCTGTAATAATGGTTATTTCCAGACCATCAAGGGGTTAATTCCGGATAAAGTTTATTTTTCCATCAAGTATTGTTGTCGCAAAAACTTTATACTTCCCCACATAAGCAATTCAGGATGTGGCAGTGTCACGGAATCGGCTAAATCTTATTTACGCTCATTCGAATTCTATAGGCGAAATATCTAAGCTTAAAATGATTTTGAAAGATAGGATTAGATCGGCTTACTCACCAATTTGCTTGCGGAAGTTTGGGGCTGGGCGGAGGTTCGTCCAAATTGAAGTGACTCACTGCGATGAGTCTTTTAAGTTGCTTCGCAATTTGTAATTTTTATTTAAAGATTTCAGCCACTACACTTCCGACCTAAAATCTTTCACTTACTTACCTCGAAGATCGATCGAAAAGGGTGAGATATCATAGGAAACAACAAATATGATGACTTAACCATGATTTGCGTGGGAATCTGATTTTGACACCTGCCGATAAAAAGCAATATTTACTTCTATTTTATCTCCCCGAAAAACATCCTGTATTAATTGTTCCCCTTGAAGATGAATGGACAACTGATTATTTTCTTCTTTTAGTGATAAACGTCATCATTCAATGATGTAATTTGTAGTCACGTTGAAAAAAAAAGTCACCGTTTTCGTTTCAAATCATTTACCTTTCGCTTCATACGAAGGATATAGGCAGATTTCAATTTATAAGCGCACTCTATGTTAAAATTTGTTTTACGTACAATATTAATTTGAAGCGGAAGCTGGGAAACCACAAATGTATCGGAGTATCAACAGTACGCGATTGTACTTGGTCCAATGCGTATCTTACGGGTATTTCGCAACATTCGCCGTTTTTTCGGTTTTGACTGTCTTCGTGCACTTGTACTTTAATCACCGTACACTGTTTCAGTGTTCTTTGTGACCTTTTTGTTACCTTGTTTTTAAAATATGGGTCATTTCTAGGTGCGGTTGCGATTGATTTATACGTGGGTGCATAATAGGATAATAAATCGGGGAACATCTGAAACGTTCTTCTAGATCAGTTGTGAATTCTTTCGCTATTGTCTTACGATTTTCGTCTTATAGGCGTACCAAGTTAATCAAATCGTGCATAGTTTCTTGAAAACGTGACTAGGCACAGTGCGTCACATCACCACACGCATCACCCTGATCTGCCAAGATAGGTGTAGCTATCAAGTCTATACCTGATCAACAAAACTATTTTCGAATTAAAATAAAAACTCGAAGGTGTTTCAGTAGTGCCAGGCCAGTACGGCGTCCCGAGATTGCACAAGCAACAGGGGGCGTCTGTTGTTCAAGCTCGTCTACAGCTGATCATAATTGAGGCTATTTCAAAACTTCTAAAGATTAAAATAAACTCAAAACGAGGACTACTCCCCCTTGTTGCTATGAAAAGAACTATTACCATACCGAACAGGCTTACCTGCTGTGCTAAATTTAGATACACCGATTGGGTAGATGTTAGATATCAGATAAAACAAAATATTTGCCGAATTAGGCTTTTCACGAATCGGCGTACGGCGTTTTGTTACGGCGAAATAACCTTACGTGTATCGCTATTAAAATTATGAATGGGATGAGCAATTGAGAAAATGTCAGAAAATTGGCAAGTCTTAGGTGCGTCCTGAATAAACGCACGTTGGTTATTGGGAGAGTTGTTCTATTTTCCAATTATGCAGAAAAATTTTGCTTGGATTGACCTGTAAACACGTGTATATTTTTGGAATCGTTATGTCAATTATTAAATCGAAACTATTTTGAGCATCTCCCTATCCCTTCTACACGGACAACTATAAATTCACATTAGAGTGTCGCTTCACTTATTGATATTCTCACAACTTTTTCCCCGTTACCACGGCAACAAAAAACATTTTATTTTGACAGTGTTACAGGATTGCGTTTGTATAGTACCATCGGTGATTCCCATCGTTGAATCTCCCTTGATAGTGGAAAAATATTATATTTAATTTATACCGTATTCCTTGTCGTTACAATGAACCCAATTTATAATATTAATCAAATACAGAATATTATTTGCATCATTATTGAATGGCATGAAAAATAATTGGTTTTGTGTTTGTTCGCTATGGTACAGCACACCTCTGCTTGGCTCTACTAATTTCCTAAATATGACCCATCCTTTTTTATGTGATCTAAGATCAAGTAGGTTTAATCATTTGATACATTTCGAGAAAAAAATGATATTGCTTTGTCTGACATCATGCGAGGGCGGATTTTCCGAATCCCATGATTCCCAGCGTGCTAAAGCGCGTAGTTTTATTGAATATATACTTAGGTCTTGAGTCCCATTCATCGCAGGAAGACAGCATATGGATAGCATTTTCGTATCTTGCATTGCAAAAAACATTTTTTCATAGATATTGTCTGGACACGCCCGTTCATAATGCATCTTGAGTAGTTATTGGTAATTGTTAAATAAAGGCGTATAAATTTGCCGTGCTAGACGGTGTTGTGGTCTACGGAGACTTAGATATATTCGGTGTATGCACTTGTGTATATTCTTCATAACACCTGCTCACCTGCTGTATGATATTTTTCATTTACTGGCGCGTCACCCACGCACGAGACGTATGATTTTGTTCCACCGGTCTGTTTTCGGCTGCTGCTTACTGTCTGTACTTACATCTATACATATAGTTGACAATAAACAACTAACTTATTCATTGTGTTTAATGAACCGGTGCCTCTTCATTGTAATCATGTTTCACCCTATTTCACTTTGAATAAGAATCTTTTTCCGTGTTATGCTCTCGGAATATACATTTCTTGCGCGACATGGGTGATTTTGGGGGTGCAGTATATATTTGCTTAATTGTGTTTTTCATAGTATCGGTCGTCAGCGTGATGTAAAATTATGACAACAAGCTGCGTGCTTCACCCTCTCGCGCATTGATTATTCCATGCGTAACCACCAGGTATAATCTATGTAATTGCTTGATTAAAATTTTAATGGTATTACATGTTTTCTATTATGAAATTCTCTTCACATCTGTCAACTTTTTATATCAGTTAGGCTGGTCTAGAAAAAGTATCGAAGAGTGCCGTAAATATGAAACAGATAAAATGACGATGTTTATTAATGAAGAAATGGTATAATATTTGTTGTGCGCAATTTTACTTCTCTTTCATCCGATATCCCATTCTCCTTGTAACGATCGTTTCGAGATGAAAATAAAACAAACAACAAAAACACAACAAAATTTGTAAAATCGTTCGCTATTACAAAAATATTCTAATCAGATTATCCGATCTTGTATATTATTACACTGAAGTGGAAACTTGATTCCTAACCCCGTTTAGCACCAATTTAATGCACGGTTGCTCTTGTTTTTCAGCAAGAATTGGTTTACGCAAAATACACAAACATGATCTCAGGTCAATACTCAACCGAACACCTGGCAGAAGACAAGCTTCATCTAATTTGTTCAGGAAAATTCACGAAAACGGCATCATTTCGTATTCAGAATATTTGTTTCTACTTTGCATCTTGACAAGTAATTAATTCTAATATATTCTTCACTTTCATTTTCATTCTTTGGGAAGTAATTGAATAAATTCTAGATTTTAATACTCAGTAATTAATTTGAATGATGTATTGCCATCAGAATTCGAAGTAGTTGCATTGTATTTTCCCTCTGGGACCAAAATTAATATACTTCTTGGAGTTTGAAATGTAGGACAATATTGTGAAATGTTGCACAGAAGGGGATATATTGTATATTTATAGTAAATTGTTTAACATATACGAATTCGTATTGGCGACGACGGACATAGATTTATGAATACATATTCATTGTAATGACCATTTGGCCATGTTTTTATAGTTTGTTTACTTTGTTGCATCTGTTGCCATGTAAGAAGTTAAAATCTATCACTGGAATAATAAAATAGATGCTTTGTTCACTAATTTTATCTACTTAACGTCACCTCGCGAACCCCCAAGCTTGCAGACAAGAAAAAATGCATTGTTTAGATTTCGATTAGTATGCTTTCACTTGTTGAAAATGTGGAGAATTAAATTGAGCGTATAAAAACATTTAACAAATCAGGCGAGTGACGTAGTGACTGCGATTTATAAATAAACCCAACACAGGATGATTGGTCGGTTGTGAAATTAATCATTTTAAATGCAAATCCAGCTAGTAAGTCCATAATAATTTGCAGAGTAAGTTCTGATCGCAGTTCTATCTTCAAAGTTTTTTCTAATTATTGCTTAAAGTTTAATTCTAATTATCGTTCAAACAGTAAAGTAGGTCACTTATGCAACAGAGTCACGGTACAGGTCATTTAGTAAACTGAGAAACAATAAGATACCGCTGCTTAATCAAGCCAACTTCTAGTTGAATTTTTCCAGCAAATAATTTTCAACTAATATCAAACGATTCGAGTAGGAAAATCTCTAAAATCACTTTTTTTGGGATGCCTTGGTTCATAGCCCATACGAGGATAAGGTAGCCCCGTGGTCTGTTTTAAAAGAAGCGATATGTCATCAGCGTTTAAGGAGGTATCTGAATAAACAATGCTAACGGGGCATGTCGTCTTCACTTACGAGTTTTCGCCCCATTGATATTTTGGCACGAAGTAATTTTTTGGTCCTGTCTGAAACAATCCTACTTTAAAAAAAAGCATGCTGTACAGTTCAAATATTCCGTAACTCTCCCACAATGGTCAAATCGGACGACGATTGTATGTTGGTAAATGCGATTTAATTGACCTATTTCTTTTTAAAATTCGAAATGGTTTCGTTACTATTTTCTCAGTTGAAGTTGAAAACATTTTACCCGTGATTTGTGAAGCTTGAATTTACGTTCTTACACAATATCGTTTGAGGTCCTAAAAAATCTTATTAGCAGTTATATTTCTGCACATTCTTTGAATATTCGTCCATTTTCAAAAATACCAGTGAATAATGAAAGTGTGTTTCCGGCAAGCGGGCATATATTTTGCCAAATTAAAATCTCGGTCAAAACCTTACTTTAGAGCGCACAAGATTCCGCTAACTTTTACGTTTTGTTATCACAGTAATGGAAGGAGTAAAATTTCATTACACATTAATTTCGATTATATCTGATTTCCTAGGAAACAAAAATTAAATGACGTCTAATTTGATAATAAGCGAGTTATTTCCAGTATCTGAATTTATTCTTCTTCTTAATTCAAATTTATTTGACTTAATTCAAAACAAATCTTGTACATTTTAACGAATTTTCTTGCATAATTGTATCTCCATGTCTAGCGTTAGCAAAAGATTGAATGTGAATATTCACCTACCAGTGCTGGAGTATATTTAAGCACTCATCAATTATGAACACCACTCTGTTTTATTGTAATCGTATGCCGCAAGATTCAATCAAATCCGATGATTTATTCCTAAATAAGAATGAAACGATTTAGTTAATTAGTTGACTTAGACGGCAACTTGGACCGAACAACATGCAAGGCAAACTTTGGTGTTTTTTGTTTGACCATTTGCTACCCAACGAGCTCATGTGAACGATTCGGAATATAGACGTTCATGCTATGACATGAGAACAGCAAATGATAAAAGGTCATTCATGAGCAATAATACATGATTATGACATGTAGCATTACTTCTATGTATAACAACTTATCTCGGAATTTTTTTTCTTCAATCAAAACTTTTTTTACTCCTAGAACCAAAAGCTGGCTTCAAAATTGCTTTCAAAATGTTTGATACCGACGGGAATGAACGCGTGGATAAACAGGAATTTTTAGTGGTAAGTTACTGTAAAATCATATCATATACAATGAATAATAAACAGGGTCATGAAAAATTTCAATTTCATTTCAATTGAATTTGGTAGAACAATGTCGTAGGATTTGACCCATTTTTTCTTAGTTTCATTTTCTGCCTTGTGACCTACCTAGTCCAAACTGGAGTTTTTTAAGTTAATGGTGAAAATTTACATTTCGACATTTTTCGAATTTTGAAATACGTGTTGCCGGTGATCCGTCTGTTATGTATGTATTGAATTCGGGTCATTTGCTTTCCTATCTAGAAAATCTTCTTGTCACGACAAGAATGAATTACATATTTTATGGCTTCGGTTGTTTGTACTAAAAATGCTTCTGCGGCCGCGAATTGTATTTTTATCCAACGCACCCCAATCGACATGAGGACACTGAACGTGGGAAAAATATAGGCGTGGCAAATTGAAATATGAGATGTCTTCGATTCAAGTTTATTTTTCAATCTCGAGACTTTTTTGAATAGTTTGTGGATTTGTCGTTTAATCAAATATCTGGCAGACGCCAGAATATTTTCGGTTTAGTTTCAGCGCACATTTAGAAACATCTCTATTGAATACTAATATCTTTGAATTGCTAATCATTTCATTCAGGCGGCTACAATTTAATCGGAGCATTAATTGGACCATGTAGCATAATGAACACTCTCGAATTGTTTTTTTTTCGCCCGGTACCTGATAGAGATAAGTTCAAGGTGGCCACGGTTGGGATTGCCTGTTATTATTGCGGAAACCTTCAGCTCTTCAGTACATTTTTTATTTCATTTTCTTTCATTCCCTAATGCACAGGCGGTATTTATATTTTGTTACGCTCAGTATAACGATGCTCAATTCAGTTTTTTGATGCGAATAAATTATCGAAACCGAATTGATTGGTCGGATTGGTCCTCTTTTCGATTGCTTATTCATCGTAATTTACTTCCCAGACTTCATAGCGTTTAGTTATGGCTAGCGTTATTCGCATCGAATTCTGCGATTGAAACTTTTAAAAGAGGTGATATCATCGGCTTTCATTATTATTTCTGCGATGAAAATTGATTTAAAATCTGTCGTTAGCATCCAGATATTGCGTAGCTGATTCTGGTTCTCGATCATAAGATACACATGATTCATGTTTTAATACAAGCAAACATAATTTCATGTCACATAAAGGTCGCCAGCCAACATATTTATTTAGGTCAGAGATTCTTACGGGGATGCCTTGTTGTGAAATAGTGCCTTTTTTATTTTTATATGCGTTGCAACATACCAATCCCACCAACAATATTGTGGTTTGCGTGACACAGATTATGTCTTTGACAAGGTGTTGATGTAGACACCAGTGATCGATTATGCTACATTTCCCTACCGCCGATCGCTGTTATGTTTTATTTTTCTACCCATTTTGGGTTTTATGCTTTTGCAAAATCGTCTTGTCGCTCAAATGTGACCAGCACTCCTATACTAATATTGACAATAGGAGGGGCAATGGCTAATCTCTTTTATATGTAACTTTGTTCTTGTCCACCTACTTGTGTGCTCGTCAGAAATATAGGTTTGGACGAAAATGAGTCAAGAGCGAACAAGGGTGCTGGCTTTAGACGAAATCAAAAAATCAAGTTGGCCGAGAGGCGAGAGCTTATATTTATGATATCGAATAGTCGAATTTGCTTATCCACGCAAGGTATAACGCTGTAAAATAAAATGAAATTTATAGTGGAATTCTAAACTATCAAAACCATTTCTTTCAAACCTTGGCACACCGTCGAGGATTCTAGTGGGACAATGAATAGCCTATTTTTATGTGATTTTCGGTCTTATATACCCTATAATACGCTAGTTAATAGTATTTTCTGATATATGAAGCTAATGTAAGTAAAAGGGCGAGAATCAGGTCCGTTTACGCCGTACCATTCTTTGCACTTTATAATAGGGTTTGGTTTGTTACATGAAATTATCAGTCTGCCGGAAATGAAACCTAGGTTTAACAAAACTCCTTAAAACCCCACGTGCCCCACTCTATAAAACCCCACAAGCCCATTTCAACGTTTTCAACTTTTGACAGCAAATTCGCGTGTGTTATGAAATAGTTTATGAATTGATTAAGCATTGTGATACTTTATAATAACATTTGCATTCGGTCTTCAATGTCCATAGTTTCGCTCAACACGTCCATCATTTTAGTACATTTTTGACAGCCTCACCCATTTCGATATTTACTTTCGGCTTATGTTTGGCCATGAGTAAGTCGTCTATAATATGTTACGCCGTAATCGAGTATAGACTCGATTTAACGATGATTTTACATTTAGCTCGAGGAAATTTTCCGGAACAAAACAGAGAAATCGACAATAGTGCGCGAGGTATGTGGTTTTATACATTCCAAAATCTTCAATTTTTCCGAGTTACAATTCCTTCGCAATTTATTCGGTCAAGTATGGCTCAGAAGTAACTGTTAAAAATGACTTACAGTATATTCTTGATCCATGCATGATCGATAGTAATAGTTGATGTCGTGTTTGCGTGTCGAAAGTAAATTGTGACATTGTTGCGTGTGAGTGTTGATGTATCACTTGTATTTAATTTGTCACGTATAAAACCATGCTTTATTTGGCGTGGTCCTTATTTAACAAATGTGATTTTTATTGAATCCCCGCGCCCGATAAAGCATGACATTTTGTTTTGTGTGATAATAATGGACAATAAATATTTTCTATTAGATCTCTCCATCTCTCACGAAGCTTGTTTTTGTCTGAGTCTTTTTTTTTTCTGGAATTTCTCTCTTTTCTCTCGAAAGCAAATTACAGATTAGCGGTTTCTGACCAGGACATCGAAGGCTTGGATGATTATCAACTAAGTTTCTTTATGTTTGGTGTTAGGTTTTTCAAATTCACTCAGGAGAAGTCGAATGTTTTTTCCTCACAAGCTCGATGTAGCGCAGATTTTCAGTAAAATTTAGAAATTCTAATATTATGAGATGTTTGAGACCCGTCCGTATAATTAATGTACTGACACAGTACTAAGAACTGCGCTTTGAAAACGTACCGCGATGACTTTGTTTGAGCGATTGTAATTCGATTTTCCAATTTTTTTTTTTCATTTTAAAAACAACAGTCCGATGTCAATATTATGTTACGCAACAAAGTGGAATTGCTACATCAATCAGACGATAATAATCTACCCTTTATGGTATAACCATTTTTCCACAAGTCAACAAATATCGTTGAAGTGCTGTGAAACGGAAATTATCGTCAAATTTTACGAAAACCACGCAAGAAATACACAAGATTTAACACGATTAAAAATAAATTAGGATCGAAATACATACCATATTCACCACGATACAGTGCCCCTATTATAGTCAATCGAACATAAATCATGGATGATAGACGGTTCAAAACAGATAATCGAATAGAGGCGATAATATCAGCGGAGTATGATTCTTGGGAACAAACCAAACTAAATATTAAAAAATAAATAAATAAGTTTGTTATAACTTATTTTAGTTAAATCTATATCTACGACGAGACGAAATTCCAGTTGTTAAATTAAGAATTTTGTACTCCCGTATTCTTCATATTCAAAGATATTATAGTCTGATACAATTCAAACTTAAATAAACGAACATTTTTAAGCGGTTGATAAGGCGGCTATGCTTCCTTTATGTGGTTTGGTCTTCAAGTATTGACTGCTTCTTAATTTAGCTATTTTGAATCCTTCTCGACATCAGGGCGTAATACGTAATATCGCTGTCACAAAGAACTTCGAAATTCAAATCATCAAAATATTATTTTGTTAGTGAAATTGGATTTGAAAATTCTAAAATTTTTATTTAAATCAATTTGTTTGATGTTTCATGTTTGTAATTGAAAAAATGTTGAAACCGGCGTAACTTTTAAGAATACTTTATGATATCGGCTTATTTAAGGGAATACATTCGCTTTGGAAATACTGACTGACTGATTTGTTTAAAATATTGAATCGAAATAAATTTTTAAGGATTCAAACATTGTACACGGAGTTGACTTATCAGAGGTATGGAAAAAATAAATGAATGCCGGTATATATCCTCTTCTATAGCAGTTTGGAATCCCAGCTTGAGCGAAGCTGACTCCATTGATATGCTGGTGTGGCTTGGCTGGGAATTTCAAATTGATCACTTTTTTCTGTGAAATGGAAAATTTTTAGTTTTAGCATGATTAGCTGGTGTAGAACTACTTTATTCACGTTGGGCTTTGAAATATATGCAACCTTGTCAGCTTATTACTAATATTAAAGTTGGTTTGGTATTAGTTTGAATGTTTATGAATTATTTTAGATAATCAATGTAATTATTTTTTATAAATTATCTCTAATTTGCATGCGTAAAAAATCAGCAAATTTCTATAATTTCCCTATGCCTGGAATAGCTATACAGCACTGCTTTCCCAAGCATGGGCAGAAGAAAAAAAAAGGTGTTGAATTGTGTGATCTGCTTGATTGGGGTTGTATGTAATTAACATGTGAAATTCTAATTCTTTAATTTTTGCATATATGTGTTCTGGTAATGGTGTAGTTCTGTGTTTATGATTTGATGTGTACAGGAAACGTTGAACGGTGGAATACTCTCACTCGCCGACATTAAAGGGGTAAGATGAAACGTACAAACAAAACATTAAAATAAAATAAAGGTATTGCCATTATTCATGTTTCTTGCTACATACATCTTTGTCTCATGGAAAACAATTGATCAGATTGTTGATGCTTGACAAAATATGTTTGATACTACCATGTTTTATTGACAAGTTCGCTTCATAAATACAAGAAACATATCTCATGCGAGCTGATTGGGTCAGTAGCGCCCTCTTGTGAATAAAAATATCATTTATTAGGTTGATTTGCATGTTTTCGTTAATAAAATCTAATCCAATCATATCGATGTTTCAAAGATAGTTGCATGTTAAATATGTTTGGTTTTAGTACAATAATTGCATGGCTTAGTGTAGTTAAAGAAGTTAGCTAGACGAAAATATTCAATTGCGACTTGTCTGTGTGGGGCTATATATATATATATATACATTATAACCTGAACATGTGTCCCCTGTTATGCAGGTATACAATTGTGTGCACATATTTATGACATAGTTTGCACACATTTATGATCAGACAACACAATAGTGTTGGAATAATTATGCGCTATAGCATACTATTTATCCCTTATTTGAGATGTTCTATTGGATAAAAAACAAATAAGGATAGGTATGTTTTCATCCCATGGAATGTTATTATATTTAATCACATAAGAAAAAAAATACCGTATTATAGAATAAAGTATTAACTAATTTACGGCTTCTGAACAGATTCTTTCCAGTAAAGACACTGCTGTGCATGATACATCACTTCTTGTACACTTCTTTGGGCGAAAAGGAGACGAGACGCTGAGTTTCGAGGATTTCTACCAGTATGTATCTATATTTTATTTGGCATTCGAGTTATACTTGCTTATAACTAATGGGCGATTTCTGTTTTTCTTTTCTAATTTCTCAGGGGTCAAACCAAGCATAATTGGTGCTAAACCGAATAAAAAAGGCTGTTGGTTAAATCTGATTAGTTGTTTTTTCTAATTGTTCTGCTCTCGACAGAGAACAATATAAAATCTATTCAAATCATTTCAATAAATATTATTCTGTGATCGAAATAATTTTTTAGTCTGAATGTTTTAATTTTTTATATTTTAAATTTGGAATCCTTTTTTTATTCCAGGTTTATGGATGATCTACAAACGGAAGTGCTAGAAATAGAAATATCCTTTTCTAAGTTGTTGTTCTTTACTGACCATTGCTATTTAAATATATCTTGTATCACCTCTAGCCATCTAAAATAGTCGCAAAACATCACAATAGCTGGAAAATCCCAAGTAAACGTATGATTGGTTTACTCTTGTTTCCAGCTCGAAATTCTCTGCAGTTCGTTTTACCACATGATTGGCGAATCAGCCAAAAAACCATTCTTATTCTCTTGAAAACAAAACATCAAACTTTCAAGAACACATTTGAACAATAAATCGAATTCCGCCACAGTAGTTGCGGAATTTTTGTTTGAGTATCACATTTGTTATAGGACGCATTCAAATTGAAACGGACAATACCAGAAAACTAATTGACTCATATATAGCTCTGTACTTTCCTTAACATATCTATTATCTCTTGTGCACTTTTTGACGTATAGTCATGGAATGCCCACAATTTCAGAAGAAGATTTTGCTCATGTTTTACTGAGGTTCACTGATATATTAGATGAAGAAGAATATTATAGAAAGTTGAAGGTTCGAATGCCAGAAGAAAAAGTGAGTTATATATATATATATCAGGACAGTCTGTTGAAACACATCAATTACCTTTTCCCGTTTTTCACGTTTTCCTCTTGATAAGTTTTTCTTTGCCCTATACAGGAAGGTATACCTACATTATACGATACAATAAACCATATTCCTCGGTTTGTACGCCAATTTTTTTTATATTGTGTAGGTATGATTGATGTCGGAAGTTGTGATTCGCTTTTATTATTTTTGTTATTTACTATCAAAACTCATTCCAGGGATTGAACTTTGAAGAATTCCGATCATTTTTCCAATTCCTAAATAATTTGGAAGATTTTTCAATTTCAATCAACATGTATGCTATAGCCGGGAAGCCTATTGGAGAAGGTAGGTAGTAAAATTCAGTATTGAAATAAGAGTCAAGTTGGTGTAATTTGAAATTGCAATCCGATGTATCAGATTAAACAATATTTTTAGAATGTATGGAAATAGCTATTTCGTTTTGGCGATTAGACCCTCGGAATCACAATGTGGCTACTAATAAACCATTCGTCCTGAGATATCTCTGGAGTACTTGTTGGTGTTATTTTTCTATCATATTCTGTTAAAACAAATTTCTGGTGACATTGCAATATCTACATATCGCCGGATGAGAACAGAAGAGGCCTAAGTCACATTTTTGCCAAATTTACTTTTTCAATATTTTGGGGTTTTGAGCCATGCTCCACAAGGTGGTGGTCTTGAAATCCTGAATTTATCAATAATAAAAATTTTAGCTGGACTTAGGATTGTAGAAGTTAAGAACAGAATGGGCCTAAGTCCAGCTAAAATTTTTAATATTATGAAATTCAGAATTTCAAGACCACCACCTCGTAGAGCATGGCTCAAACCCCCAAAATACTGAAAAAAGATAGTCCCAAGTTCCAATATGATGGGCATGAACATCAGAAATGAAATGTCCGAAACTTACATCCTTAAAAATTTCTTCAGTGCAACTTAGGCCTAAGTCACCTTGTTTTACCTTGCATCCCATACAAAAAAATTCAGAAGTTGTTGAGAACAGAATGGGCCAAAGTCCATTATGGGGTTAAAAAAGCAGGAAGGCCTGTTCTGTTCCCATCCGGCGAAATATTGCAAAAATTCGGAACGAGTTGTTTCGTTATTTTATTAAATTTTTCAGACGAATTTCACCGAGCCGTGAAAGTCACCACTGGACAAGACTTGTCTAAACATTTGGTTCACACTTTATATCAGCTATTTGATAAAGATGGTGACGGGAAACTCAGCTATTCTGAGTTTATAGGAGTCATGAAAGACAGGCTACATAGAGGATTCAGGGTATGTAATATATCTTCTGTTGATTTCCCAGTTGTGAATGTTTGAGTGTGTTACATGACATGTACAAACCTATATATGTAATTATCTTGACTGACATCGAATAGTGTTTTAATAATATTAATTATTTTTTAATTCAATCTTATCTCTTTATTGTTATTGCAGTATCCAATCCATTTTATATAACAAGATAACATATGTTAATTTCAAATTAACCCTTCGTTCTTGTCTTATCCCCAGGACATTATTATACATTCGGAATTTATATACTTTCAATCGGTAGGGCTTCTTTGTATTGGAACATGCAAAATATGGTAATTTTTCTGAACAGTTTTAAGTTAGCTTTACCTTGTTTATCAATTTTATTATAAAAGGGCAAGAAAGTGAGTATTCGGTCTGTGATATATATGTAGTAATACTTCACTAACTATGTAACCTTGAGTTGTTTAGCGAACTAACATGCGCACTTTAGAGTCAGTACTGTTGCGAATACTTTTCACTCGATATTGTTATTGTTAATTACACCACACTCCTCGTTTAAGAAACAATCTACAAAGAATGGACTTCGACTAGGATATCTATTCAAAGTATTTCGCAAATATTATTTGATACATTTTTACAAGAATATGTTATGTCATGTCAAATTTTACAATGTTTAAACGGGTTTGAATATTCATATCACAAGTCATGCTTGGAAATATCTCGTGTCATAATTTTGCTGCATCATTTCCTAAACTAGGACATATTTAATTATACTGCTGTTATCATTTTTTGTACGTTTTTTTATTTATTCGCTTTTTTAGCATCGTTATAATTTTATCTAACAATATATTTATTCAACAACTTTACTTTTACTTGCTTTGCTCACATTGTTCTGGAATCAGTTTTACGATACACACTCGGTAAGTAACAGAGTGGATTTTATTTCTTATTTGGTCGCGTATCAAATTTTAGTCCATTTTTATACTCTGTCGGATTTAAGGAATAACCTTAAGCTCATTCCCAACAAATGCGTTGTTTCTTACGCACTGAGGAGTTTGTAATGTATGTTTGTATAAACAAAAATCAAGCAGGATGTTGCATGTTAAGTCTATCCACTGTAGACATCTTAAAAGGAAATTATCTATACTTCACTTGTATTTACCGTCTGAAGGTATTTGACGACGATAGACTATCTCCATTCGAGTTCGTCAGTTTTCGTATATTGAGTTTTTTATATTGTCACCCCTCTTATCGTGTTGTGAACTTTGTATACATATAATATGTACGTGTATAACTTTGTATGACTGACTACGTCACTGCTGCGTCACAATCATGTAATAGAACTTGCCAAAAGTATAGCGACGATTGCACGTAATGTCGTCTTCAACAACGACCTCGTAGTGACGTGATTGTGACGTCACGCCTTTTCACATCGACAAGGAGAGAAATACTAGCAACATAATAACAAATCGATCCATACGTCCACTCCGTGTTCAAAAATCATATAACGCGCTGCTTGCATTACTTTTTAACTTATATATTGTACGATATTTTTATGGCGGAACTCTTCAAGTAACGCAAAATGCACACAACCCAAATATTATTTATTTATTATTTTAGCATGTTGATTCTTTTTCCCCTTCTTATTTCTGTGAGACACAATGATCGAATAATTACGCCAATGCATGCATTTTGCCTGCCATGTTATAAATAACTATTGCTTGACCCGTGAAACTTACTTTAGGTAGATAGATATTTATTTTATTTGGCATGTTCTCTATATAAGTTTGTTTTCAATAAAAGAGTCCAAAACTATTATTCGTCATAGCCTGCGAATACTATTATATCCTTCGTTAATTGGTATTTTGAATTCCTTAAATCTATAAAGACGAATGTGCTTATCGTATATAAATTTGCTGTTCTAATCAATGGCAATTTTCTAATTTCTAATTTCATATATCTCAAATTTTTATATTTTACGTTCTTCCAACGTTCAAATGCCGATAAATGGTTTTAGTCCTCGTCCAGTGGAACGTTGTTTTATTTTAAAGATATTAAATACCTAAATATTTCAGATTTTCGTGTCGGGCCTCCATTCTGACGGTCAATATGTTCACGAAATTGGCGTTTTGTTGTTTCTTAGAAAAGCCCTTTATATGGCCCCATGGCAATTTTCCACTACATTATTCAAAATATTGAAATGAGTTATACTCTTTTTTTTTTAAATTTAAACAAGATTATATGGTGATTGTCATTTTTTAATTTCAGTCTCACGTAATGAAACATGTTGGATGGAGTGGATTCAAGAAATGCATGAAGCACAACATTAAATTAAGCAAAGCTTCATAACATCTATCGGAAACGTTCGAAATATCCAACGGCGTACTTTCGGAAAACTATTCTTCTTTCTTATATTTACCTATAGCTGGAAATACTGCTTTAAAATAAATGCTCTCAGGTCTAAAATGCAAGGAACTATACTATACAATAAATGGACGTTTTGGTGTTTTGCGTTACAAACCGGATTATGTTGCTAATGATTTGTATATTTTGAAAAAATGTTACCTGATCAAGAGACAATACCTTTATCAATTGAGCAACGCATATTTTCATCTTATTTTTAAGGATTACTATGTATCGTCATTTTGCATTTGTAGGTTTTGCTGCTGTTGATCTCTTTGTAGGAATTAAAGTTTTAGGTGCACGTTTTTTGTATGTAATATTTTACCAATTTAAATATATATATATCTGTAGATTTCTAATGTAATCACCTATTCTGTTTGAACGCAGTTCTAGTATTTCTATTCTATTTAAAATGAAGTTGTTGCTATGCTTTGGGACGAATTAGCCACTCTTTTGGTAATCTCGCGCCAATTTTGTAATACTATATGAGAGGCCGATTTTTTTCGTTTAGTTCCGTCACAGAGAATGCCAAAGTTTACATCAGTTTGTTTTCAAAGTTTTGTTACCATACTTTGCATTTTACCTGGAGTAGAGTGAATTTTTTGACATTTTGTATCCTCATAGAATTAAGATTTAATTTCGTCGTGTGAAGTCATTAAACGTATCCTCATAAATCGTGAATTTACTGGATCGTCCGTTTTTATTTATGCATTTCGTTAAATATTAAGTATCCTTCAAAAAACTATTGTTGTGTAAAAATAATCATCATTCACACGCTGGATTAGTTTGATATGGTTCTGTAATCCATAGAAGGAAATTGGGAAATATACTATATATTTGTATGCAAAAAATGTTTTTTTGTTGTGATTTAAAAAGAAGCAACAGATTTTGACAAATTGGGACTATAATGCCCAACGGGATTTTCCATGATCCAGGCAGCTGTGTTTTACTATCGTCGCCGTCTGCGTCTTTTTCTTGGATGTAGTCGCAGGTGGATCAGATGTTGATTGTGTATAACATGGTGTCACCACATATTTCAAATAAACAAGCGTTTGTCTTCGATCTGAGTGGCGTACGATTGCCTGTTGGGAATTGGCATCCAAAAGATCCACCACATCGCAGAGAGTCATTCAGCCAACCAAATTCGAATATTCGATTCGAAGGCACCGACCCCACTCACAACTGTAGTGTAAAATCTTTTACAGTACTTTACCGTTTTATTTAATTCAAGAGTCTTGCTGCACACTTACACAAATATATTTCTGTAACGCTTCGTCTGACCAAGGTCAGACTTCTTCAGACAAGCATTTTACAACAAGCATAGTTGTGACCTTGGTCAGACGAAACGTTACAGAAATATATTTGTGAAGTGTGCAGCAAGACTCTTAAATTAAATAAAATAGTCATTTTCACTCTTGCTATAGCATCCTTGCGTTATACGCATACGGATCCACCTGCGCAAGGGCACAGAGCAAGGAAAGGTGGTTAGTTTCACGAAACCCCAACTGTTAGTTACTTTACCGTTTTTAGTAACTTTTCCTACATAGTCTACAGTGCGTTACCGGTGCCGAACTTCCGTCTTTTGCGTCTCGCGAAATCAAAACGGGAGACCGCCCTCACGCTTAGCGAAATAAAAACAGTGTTCCCCTGAATAGAAAAACAGCGGCATTTTGGGTATAAGGGGAAATTTGAAAAAATTTAAAAGTTGATAGCCTTTTGGAGACAACATTAATGTTCATCCACTGAAAATTTCAAAGCGATTGGTCCAGTACTTGAAAAAAAGGAAAAAATTTCACAAAAACGACAAAAAAGGAATTCTAGTAACAACATAATATCAAAACGATCCATAGATCCATCATACCGTATCCAAAAGCGATTTAAAAGTTCACTTTGTGTCCAGTAAAACAAGTGGTGACTAGTTGCTTGATAAAGTCATGACAGTATTCTTATACCAGTCATAAAATGGGTACAAGTAAAAAAGAAGAAATCGACGTATTTTTTCGCTGTCCGGACGTTAGTTCTCCTCTAATCAATTTTAATAGGTCATTATCGTTAGTTTGAATTGATTACAGGTGATCACATTCACCATGGTTTAAAATGTGATCTAACGTAAAAAAATGGTTTCGTCACTATTTTTCAGCATGGGACACATGGATAGGGCATATTCTAATTTGACAGTATTATTTAAATTCTCGTGTATCAAACAATTATGACCTTCGCTGACACAGACTGTACACTCTCGTACATCATGTGCCATACTGGATTTGACCTGATATACGGTATAATTATATATACTCAATCGAACCGGTAACTTTCCCACAAAATCGAGTCACACATGCTTTTGGACACACCACACCTGACATTCGGGAAATTGGTTATTGCTGCGTTAAGATTTTCATCATTCGTGTTGAAGTTAATTACTAAAAAATCAATTGGTCAATTGTTGTCATTGGCTATTTTTCTCATTAACAACAACAGCAAGATTAACAACATTTAACGTATCGATCTATAGATATGCTTCGTGTCCAATAACAAACACTATATATATATACAATGAATAGCATCGGTGATGTTTAATAACTAGATTTCCGTGCAGTTTTTGGACAACGTAAATGTACCAGAAGTTGTCCAGAACTATAGAGCAGTGTGGTCTCAAACTTTCATGATTCGTGGACCTCGTTTTGAAACACTCTCGACATTTCTGGCTCTTTGCTCTTCTATAAAAATACCCACTTTCGCTTTAAACACATTGTCATCAGTTATTTTATTTGCCATGTTTAATCATAATAAAAAACGAAAGTAATATGTGAGAGAAATATTGCTCAAATATATTTACACGAAGATCAAAACGAAATAGTTTAACCATCAATCATACGGTATCCCTAACGAAACTGAAACTGTGCAACAGCTACAGTAACTTACGAGTGAGAAAGGCTATTTTTTTTAAAGAAGAAAAGAAAAAAATACTAACAAGAATATACTAACAAAACGATCCATATGCACACCAGAAAATAAATGTATTGCAGACCAAGAATTAAACAAATCACAGTCAATTAGCTCTAAATCAGGGCTTCCCAACCTTATTTCGCTGTGGACCCAAGTGTTTATTGGAGATATCCAAGTTAAATCACTTGCTGTTTTAATAGAACTATTCAATTTTTCATTATTTATTATATAATACTACGTATTATTATCACCCTATTCAATTTTGGACTGGCAGGAAGGTAGATTTGCTTGTCGAGTTTGAGCTTTTCGTTTGGTTCGGGTATATATACTAAGTGTGCATATTCATACGATTCGAATTTTGAATATTCTATGACTATGTTAATTCAATAATTTTAAGTGACAAAGTCAACATCGTGGATGATCAAAAGGTATAGAAAGAATGGTTTATTAAACAAAGATTAATATAGTAATTCAATATATATATTATGTCAAAATATTATGCAGATATCGAGGCTACACTTGCAAATTTGATTGACCAAGTTGCAAAGACGGAAGAAGTAAGTTATTTAATTATTAGGAAAACAACGGAGTATTTCGAATATTAGGAAATGTTGGGAATAAAATAGCTTCATTCAAGTTACAATAAAACGTTATATCAAAACAACATTACTGATTAGACATGACGTATATGTCGTTATGGATGCTATGTTAAACGAAATCACTCAAGATGAAGATATTCGGGATATACTGGAAAGCCCTGTTGACTTTTAGTAAGTTGTATTAATATTTGTAATTCATTGGCAAGTTCCATAGTATTTAGTTTTTTCCTTTTATTGATTTTTTTCATTTACTTGGGCCAAAAAATAATAAATTTATCTTGAAATAATAATAAAAAAATGGAAATTTGTGTAGTCACCTTCATAAAAATATTAAAACAGAGAAAAATCTAGCAGATTATAAAGTTTACGTCATATTGATTCTTCTGCCAATATTGCTTATTTTAATTGACTTATTTCTCTGCTCACAGGTTTCACAGGACATTGTTAAAGCTTGGAGGGTAAAAGCTGGAAAATTTTTTAGATCAATAATATTTATTCATTTCGCTTTCTTTTTGAATAAAAACTGTAAAAATAGAAGTTTGTTACATGACTGAGTAGGTACTTATAACACATTAAAAAACGAATGTGCTCAAAATACAAGACCCGGAACTAATCGTAGACACATCACACAACAAAACATGTGGTCCTCATATAAAGACAGCAGTTGAACACAAAAGTCAAGAATTCAAAAAACCTCACTGTAATAAAAACAAAATGGTTGTTTTATTCGTTTTGTCGTCTCTGAAACTAATATGGCTTCCCCGAATATAGGACTCAGATGAAATTCGAAAAATTGAAAGAAAAGGGCTTCCTGCGACTACCCCGTTTCCAAGTATGTAAAATTTTTAAATCGATTGTTTTAAAGCAGCTTCTCTTTCCAACAGAAAATAGAAGTAAGTCATTGGGGACTCCTCTCGATTCCTTTTCTGTTTTATCCCGAGAAGAAGCCGGTTGCATCCGATGCAATGACCATTGTCGATTTATACGAAAAACTGCAATGCGGGACGTTTTTGTGCATGCCCAACTATGGGAATTTTAAAAGCGCACTCTGGTGTTTAAAAATTACCCATTGCTAAATTAACATAAACGAACCTACATAAACGAAAATATAATGCGTTTTTCTTTTGCGACGTTAGTCCGAAGAAAATTCAAGAGAACAAAGCTCAAATGGTCACGAAAGCCAAGTCGAAATATATATTTCACCATCAATTTCCCGAAAATCATACAGTATCCTGAACGAGCTGGAACTGTGAAGCATGGTAATGGTAACTTGCCAGCAGTGGTGTGCCTAGAGGGGGCGGAAGGGGCAGCACGTAGTATGGGGCAAAACCAAGCTGTGAAGTTGGCGGTATTGAACATGTTTTTATTTAATTAAAAGTTGACATTATGTGTTCAGTCTTGAATGGCTGACTGTGGTGATGGCGAGTCAACCATGGATGTTTTCACGACCAGTGACCCCAAAATTCTTCCTATCCTGTTATCCGCGATTTAGCCCCTTATATATACTGGTGATGTTTCAAACAATCATTTTAATTCGAAATATTCAACCCTGGTATTTGAAAGTACCGGTAGAAAATTTTAGCCCTGTCTATCACAGCTATTTTTGAACTAATTTTTGATTATTGCGATTAAAATATATGAGAAGACAGTATAATCATCGGGTTCCATTATTTTTGCACCACGTACATTTGCGCACAGGACAAATGCATCTGCATACTTTTGTACCCAAGAAAATTTGCACCCGCAGATTTTAGCACCCACATACAGACTGCACCCATGAACATTTTAAGCCATGAATATCAGAACAATGAACCCATGGACATTTGAACCCAACGGAGTGCAAATGTACGCGGGTTCAATTGTACGTTGGTGCAAATGTACGTGGGTGCAAACTGCAAATGTACATGAGTGCAAACGTCCATGTGTGCATATGACCGTGGGTGCAAACTGCAAATGTACATGAGACCAAACGTCCATGGGTGCATATGTCCGTGGGTGCAAATGTCTGCGGTTGCAAATGTACTGGGTGCAAAAGTGCATGGGTTCCGCGGGTGCGATCTATATGCGTGTGGTTAAATCTATGGTTGAAAATGTATGGTTGCGAATGTTCTGGGTGCAATTTACGGGTGTAATTGTGCTGTCATCAAATCATTGACTTTTTTGATTCGTTCTGAAATTACCAAAACACAACCAAAAACTAAGAAATAGCATGCGAAAACTGGGCAATGTTAAAACCATGACAAAAAATCTGTCTGTGCGACTGCTGACACGGCTACGTTACGTCGCTTTCCGAAGTGGGACAGATATTTTCCAAAAAATTCTGAAGATTTTCTTGCTTCATTGGTTGAGCTTGGCATGTTTTTCAAACTTTGTGCGTTGCTCTTAAAGCTGTGAGTTTGTTGCTTAGTTTGAATAGTTATTAACTAAATGAAACAAACGTTTCTATCTTACTTGACTTCAAATTTATTTATTCTCTTGTATAATGACATCTATAATCTGTTTATCCCTCGAATTATTTATGAAGTTAGGTATAAGGGGCGGCATTATCGAAAACTCGCCCCGCAGCAGAAATGTTTGGCACGCCCCTGCTTGTCATTGTCAGTACCTCTGTCAGGGTACCGGTAAGAGACTGCCCAGCGTTTCCAGGTCCGGTGACGATGATTCATGCCTCCAGTTTCAACGTGAATTAAAATACCTAATGATCTGGGTCACAACTGTATTATTAAAACTTTAACAGTTACGTTTCCATAGCCTACCGTACCCCATTCGAAGCTTCCGACTTTAGCTTAGCGCGAGATCCGCTGGACTGCGGTCGCAGAAACGCAAATAATTTTTATTTTCAATTTGTTGATAATAAATCAAATTATCAAAGTAATAAATAGTCTTCTTTAATCACTGAAAATTTCGAAGCAACTGGTTCAGTAGTCATTGAGAAAAGCGAACAACAAGAAGAAGAGAAGGTTGACAACAACATAATATTAATAATAACAAAACGATCCATAGGTCCACTCCGTATGTAATGAAAAAACCTAAAACTCGATTTACAAATAGGAGTATCAACGATTTCGAAGCCATTAAAAAACAAATGTCCTGCTGTAACGAGCGCACGTGTTCCTCCCAATTCATTACCATCATCATGCTATGCACAATCATAGCGGTTTCAGTCTAACTACATGGTGATTTCATGTAACTTCGATACCGATTTTCAGATTATGAAATACAGCTAGGACAATGCTAAGCGATGACATAATTTTATGTGCTGCAGTACTATACACAATGACTTATATATTGATTCTTTCTATGGTTATATTTGTATTAGTTATAACCATATTTTTACGCATTTATAGCTTAGAAGTTCTACCAAACAAATGTAGAGGTAATCTAACTCTCTTTCAAAATTGTCTACGCTACGGCATCGTAATCGGGCATTACCTAAACCAGCTTCACACATTACAATGTGAGTGAGCAATGGGAAGTCGTACATGAACTGTTATAAACCTATAGTTACAGTGTGCTTGAAAATAGAATAGCGGAGTTTTAATCATGATGTCTCATGAATATAGGTAGAGGTAATCTTATCAATCTTAAGCAGCATAAGTCGTTTCCATCGTTTTTGACGTCATGTGAGAAGGAAAACGCGCAGAACGGAAATTCAGGTCAGCAAACAACACAAAGGACGTAAACTAACGTGAAACGATGTTTCAGTTAGATCGATTGAGTAGACGACATTTTATGCATCCCAGGTTAATGCTTATGCAATATATGTACTATTTCTGATGCAACTGGACTATTCTATCATAATTTGTAATGACAATCCCGCATTTCCTCGGTTCCCATTTGGCGTTGCATAACAAAACGACCCATTATTGCGTAGTATAAAAAATCCAGCATTATATAATTGACTATACTATTTGATTCAAGAGTATTGCTGCACACTAACATAAATGTATTTCTGTAACGTTTAGTCTGATCGGGGTCAGACTTCTTCAGGTTATTGTGTTAGAAATAAATAGTGTAGTCATCTTTATTCTTGCCACAGCATCCTTGCGTCACACGGATACGGATCCACTTCCACAAAGGCATAGAGCAAGGAAAGGTAGTTAAACTTGCGTAACCCCAACTGATGGTTCTATTAGATAATTGAGTCCTGATTCTGCAGAAAGGATGATTGTAGTAGCGGATATTATGTAGATCTTTTCTGTTAGAATAACATAATCTCTTTCCACGAAATGGTGAGTTATTTATAAACTTTCGTTAGATCTAACTTTTTCAGACAACCTACTGCATATTATCATCTTAGTACCAAATGTAAATATTAAGTATACTGTATAAATACAAAAATGGGCAACCACTATTCCAAATTTGAGAATCAAGTGCACATACATAATACATTGTTTTACTAAATTCTAGTTGTTATTGGAAAAAATTGCGTTTTCTCGCAAATTCTGGGCCATTCATTTTCAAATAATCAGTATTTATAGATGGCTGAAGCCGATGCAAGAATACTAATTTTTTTTTTGCAAATTGTCTCGAAGTCCTATGGGATCCGACATTTTATTTAAATAGGAACATCACCGCTCCCCATTCTTGACAAACTCGATTCTTTAGGGTACCGTTGCGCGGCGTTTGTGTCCATACATTTTAGCATAGATTGCTTTCTTCTATATATATCACTCTAATATTATATCGTTTTAAACATCCTTGCTGCTACATGTACATAGTGTAAGTATTTAATGTACACAACGATGGACAATCACTGATATATATTTGAAATACTGATGCTTATACATTTTATTTGTAATCACTTCAAGTATAGAAAATATGTGAATAGTGTCGCCCCTTATTTATCCAGACCTTGGCTGGTAACGTCATATTCTCCTAACTCCGCGCTTCTGGTAACTCCGTTATTGACTTAAATTTAAAAAATCGTTCGAACTATCTTCTTCTGAATCGCGACTGTTCCTGTATTGGTACACGTAAATTTTATTTTTTGCGAACACTATAAATGAATTATATGGATATTCTGTTAAATTTTACTTTATTTTACCAGCAGTATTCTGTCTCTAAAGCTATTCTAAGTTTTCAGACCATTGTCCACATGCTAAAAGGTAGCGAGACCGAGAACGGTATCAGATCTTAAGTAAATGTGTAATCAATGGAAACTTGTTTGCATTTTTATCGGTACCGATTTAGATATTTGCACTTATGGGCGTATTAAGGTCGACACATTTCATAATTTATTGCGATTATTATATGATGGGTCATTTTCGCTTAGCATGTGAGGTGAAGCTATTTTTGATTTTTAGTGAGGTATTTTGTGCAGGTGTGAGGATGCATTTTCTACATAATGTATTTTTGTGAGGTTGCATGACATTTGTGTTTTCAATTTTGGTTTTGTCATCGATAGAAAAAAGCGATTGCTTTCCCTTTGTCATCGAGAACAACTTTTTTCGAATACCTTACATGCGAAGGGCTGCTTTAAAGCATAAAGCTCGAAAATAAATTAAATTTGATGATTTCTGCATGATTAGAATATAAGCATATTTTGGGGTCAAGTTTGAAACACACGAAAATAATTAGCGCTCGTACTTGGACAAAAGATAAAATTTTGAGAAGTAACTACGTCAGTTGTTATTGAACTTCTCATATGCGCATGTAGATTGACAAATCTTTCTTATAAAACCGGAAAAATACTTGAGTGAATGAAGGCACATATTTAGTACTTTATACTACTTGGTGGTTGGCCAAATTATCAGTGGACGTTCACCGTGTTTTGTAGTCGAAGGAGTTACACATTAGACTCTACTGATTAGAGTATAGATTATTCCTAATTGTCACGAAGTTTGTTCCTCCTGAAAGATTTACTGCAGAATTTATAACAATCAATAGATATTGCATGATTGCCACCAGGTAAACTCATGTTGATAATAAATGAAGCACAACCGGTGTTAGCAAAACGATGTAATTTGGATGGATCCATGCCCTGATGACGTTTTTCTGTATAGAAATTCGAAACGTCGGCAAATAACATCGTTTTGCTAACACCGGTTGTGCTTCATTTTTTATCAAATCAATAGAATATAGTTGAGTAAAATTTCTGCATGCGATATTAGTTTGAGATTTCCGTTATTATCATTACAAACTTGAGTGCAAATTTGAGAAACATTATCTTATGTATTAGAAAACAATGTCCATTTGTGTAATGTCTACTTCGTGCTATCACGTAATGCCATTTGCAAAATCATAGTAATATTACCGTTCATTTCTTTGCACAGTATAAATAAGATTGGCTCAATGTAAGAAACAAGCACTCCAGGAATACCGACTACGCAGTGGGAATTTTAAATAGAATTCTGTAACGAATGTTATCATGTCATCTTCTGTATTCAAAGTAAAGATCCTACGAGGTATCGGATTACCTCAATTTGGAAGTGACGTCACTGATGCCTATGTTTCTGTAACATTTCGAGGTGAGGTTTTTTTCTGTAAATTTTTGCTTTGGTTTTTTATTTTTATATTTCATTATAAATTTACCTGACCTACCCAGCAAACTTGACATAAAAAAAAATCACTCATACAAAAATATTACTGACATTTGAATTGTCACCAGAAATGCTTGTAATTGGCAGATATATCAAAAGCATCAAAATTTACTGCAAAGAGACGTAAAAACGCGTTTTAACAAAAGCATAATTGTGTTTGACAAAGTTTTAATAATTATTCCAATTTTTTCGCATCTCGCCCTAGAGAAGTTTGTTGATAATTCATCCGATATTATTATTTATTCTCTCTCAAAGAACATTTCTATGATAAATTAAATATATCCATTTGAAAGTTTAATAGTTTGCTCTTGGAAGCTCGAGATTCTCTAACTTGAACACAAAAGTGCTTTTCTAAATTCGGTGAATATTTCGAAATATGCTATCATACTGTTAGAAAATTGAACCTTTCATAAAAATTGTGAAAGCAATGATTTTATGTTGGCTGTATTTTTTTCTATAAGAAAATATCAACCCATAAATGTCACATACGTATATATTTTTAATTTTTACGATGCTCATTATAATGATTATTTTAGCAATAAAGAAAAATATATCAATTTGTATTTACGTCAACAACATACCATGTGTTATAAATACTTTATTTAGGTGCAATTGATATCATCGAAACATATATATATATGAGCGATAAACGTTTTATAACTTTCTTGGTAATCAAAACGAACCCAAGGTAATAGTTGAGCTGTAGTTTAAAGCCGAGCATATTCCATAGATGTGCCAAGGGTTCGGAATCGGCCCGGTTATGGCCAATTTCGAGTACCACACGTACAAGTTTTTCCGACTTCCGTCATGGAGTTAGTTTGTTAACAAGGTGGAGACCGTAAAATTTATTTGTTCTCTTCTTCAGTTTACACATAAAACAATACGTCTTCCACAGTCTCCTTTATTTATTTTACTATTATTCTATACGTTCCTACAAAGCTAACTTGACGACTGAATATTTAATATGTTGTATATTATACTGTATCATGTTTGGTGAAACGAAAGTCCATTAAAACCAAGCGCTATCGTATTCGTTAGACCTCGAGACATTATGAATAAATACTAACTAAACACATATAGATGAATTAACGGGAGAAATTTGACACAATGATTCCGAGTATACATTCCAACCAAAAGCTGTTCAAATCTATAACCTTCTCACTTCATGATACTATGCTTTTATTATCAGGTAAAACAAGGAAGACTTCCGTCAAGGAGAACAATACTAATCCGGAATGGAACGAGGTAAATTGTCAAAACTTCGAACAAAATTGATTATTCAATAAATTTTGGGCATACTATATGGTTTCCTTTTTTGAGTAAGAACAAACGAAAATTGGATTGTACTATGTTATAAGGGCCATAATTTAAATTGAAAATGGTAGTTTTTGTACAAATCTTATTCTCGCACATTCATATTATAACTATTCCGTTAGCGGGTTGACATGTGAAACCTTCAAATTCGATCGCATCATAATCTCAAATGCATACCCAATATACACATAACATATCCATTTAATTTGTAATATTTTGTCGATAACGTAACGTAACGTGTGTTTTGCAATACGACTATATTTCGGCGAAAATGTATATAAAAGATTGTGTTCATGTGGAGAAAGGACGCGGCGCATCGCTTCCAATCCCGTTTGAAATCTAACTTACCGTATTTCACTTCAATCAACAGCATAAATTTTAGTTTCCAACTGTTTTATATTTAGGAACTTGAATTTGAAATGAAAGGAGTTCTCAAAGCTAAAGACTCAATAAAATTCCGAGTATTTGATAAAGAAGGAATGCTCTCAAGTGATAAGTAAGTTTGATAATAACAAAGGAATCTGCGTAACTTTGGAATTCCTGTAGTGTGCAAACATATTATGCAAGAATGTATTTCTGGTTCAATTGTGATAAATTTCCTATTTTTGTGGATTCTCTCTGATGGACTTCCAAAGTAGAGTAAATATACATTTTCAATAGCTCGAATCTTGACATGTGATGCATGTTAATTAACAATCAATCCTTACTTGCCTGAGAATTAATAACTCAGTGTCGTACCAATATTACATTAATATTCAGGCTGATCATGAAAATCGTTTTCTTAGCGTGATCCAGATATCTTCATAAAGAACGCGCGTTTGCTTCAGGAAACAAGGGCATCGAGTTAATTAATCATATGTATCAATTGTATAGAACACCTCACATTGCGTAACGACATAGTGCTCCAATATCGTAGTACGAAGTACGAAGTATTGAAATATCCTCGTTGGACACGAAATAGACCTATGAATCGTTTTGTTATTATGTTGTCGTTGTGAAATAGCCTTTCTGTTTAACCACTCGACCAATTGCTTTAAAAGTTTCATTGATTAAAGATCGTTGTTATCGCTAGAGGACTATTACTTTTATGTATTTGAAAAAATCCTCTGGGCTCTATGGCATTCGTTTTCCACTTCGACGTTTTGTGTGGTGACGTCAACAAACGGTTCCGCAACCGCTTGGCAACGCAACTCGTGGAACGGAACTCCCATGTCAACGGAACACGCGAAAGTCGGAATTTTTTAATGGTTCTGCACCGGTAATGGGAAAAATTTATAATACAGTTGCGACTAGATTTTTTTGGTATTTGAATTCACATTAAAGCTGTAAACAAGGTGGGACAGTCCGCCAGGTTCTTGTGACTTATCGTATGGCTGTTACCGCTTCGTTCAGATTATGATTTTCAGGGAATAGTTGGTACGAATTTTGTTTGGCTTCCGTGTCCATATATTTGAGCATTGATCTATTGCTATTACCGTTATTGTACACGGTATGTGAAACTCTGTATAGCTTTTAAGCTCTTGTAAGATTATAAAGCTGTGATCGCCTTCCTTAGTTTCCAATATAGAATCAATGATCGGCTGCAAAATTTGCAACTTTGCTCCTACACCAAACTATTTAATAAAATACAATGCAATTTGCCACTTAGTTTGATAATGATAATTTGGTTTGTATCAATGAATGCTATAATTTGGTATCGTTTCCGGTTCAACGATCACAAAATTAGGCAATCAATAAAAACGGCCCCATCCCTCATCAGCGCATTCTTTATATTAAGTAGTTTACTGGCCTTTGATGCGTTCAAGAATCTGTTGTGTATCAGGTTTTTAGTTGTTAATCAGTTGTTGGTTACAGCGAATGTATCTCCTCAAATAGTCTAAGTTGTGGGTATTGAGTACAGACGTTAGCTGGGTCGCTTAAAATTTTCTGGTTTGTTTATTTTTGTAAAAGAGGTATGAATGTTCAAAATGAATTTGGTTTATATAGATATATCACAGGTTTACAACTGGTCGTTTGTTTTTTTCATTCAAATTGTAAAATGGGTGGAATTGAGATATTTTTTTTCATATACTATATATCATTAAGTCAGTTGATTAAGCTCACGTATCAGCGTTCATATATTCATTTATTATTTACAACTCTCAGTTCCACGTCCCATAAATGTCTTTGAATAAAACTCACATGATGGTAAGCGAAAGTAGTTGCGAATCCTTGATTAAATAAAATCACACATTGTGCGAAGTGGACGTGTGTGCGTCGCTGCGGGTTCCACCGACCTGAGCCGATTTCCAGGAGTACGGTCGCTGAATCTGACCCCGCGATTCTCTGTATAAGTACAAGCCGCAAACTTTTCTGTAATCATAACATATCTTTCAGAGGTAGCTAACGCTTCCAACATGTTATATTAAACGCTAAAATAACGTTTATGTTAGCAACGCTAAATATCCACGATAAAAAAGAGTACGAATATTGATTCCTTATAGGTTACAGATGTTGGAAACTTTTTGCAAGGTGCAAGGGCGGATAAATTAATTTGCTCAAAATTTTGATCTGAATATGATGGAACAAATTTAAATTGAGAGTGTGTAAGACATTGTTGATCACGTCATCTTGACAAACAGAGACGAATTCCTCTTATCTTTCATCTTGCGTTTGACTCAGAATTAGGCTCGAATGTCGGATCATTTTCCTGCAAAAATGTACTTTAGCAATTGTCCGTAGCCTTGCCAATAGTATTTACTTATTTGAATCAGGATAAATGAAGCAAACAGCGTAAATGATAATCTTACATTGGACATCATCGCAGATTCTCAAATTTAAATCAGCATAACAATACCACACACGATCGAGGGAGGCCCAGACATTTATCGCATCAAAACACTCTAATCAATAAGTCGATGAAGTGTCTGGGTGCTTTATCTAAATATATTTTCTGCCTGTCAAAAGCATAGTATACGGGAAGGAAATGTTAATACGTTTACCGTTGCTCACATATTAAATAAACTAACGATTTCCTTTTTCGCTGAGGTGAAACACTTAGGTTTAACCACTTTTGTTTCAGTTGGAAATTGTAAATGAGTGAAGATTTTAGTCATTAAAGTTAGTCATTGTGTTAAGCATGGATTTATAATATTAGACAGCAATTAAAATGCAACAAGGCTCAGATGAGATAAGATAAATCCATCCATTTATAGTTTCATGCATACTGTGTTTGTGTGACGTGATGAGCTTGTCACTGTCAGATTTTGATAGTAAAACTAGCACAAGAGCATGGAACGTATCTATATTCAAGACGAAATAAACTTTCAAATTTTTGATGTTATTTTAAGGAATGCATTTTGCACAGATGATGTGCCCAACTATGCACTAAGGAAAATTATACAGGGTAGTCGCTAGAAAAACAGAAAATTTGTCAAACATCTATTTATTTTTACAAAGAATAACTTTTACAACATTTTTTCAAAGGTATATTTTATATTTTACTCACGAATGCTCAAAATGTCGTCCGCGCACTGCAGAACAGTGTTTTAACCTAGAAATCCAGGCTCGTGTAGTGTTTTGAAGGTTAACCTATGGGATATCATTCCAATTCCACATATAGGCCTATACCTATACGCATTTTATTCGTGATCTCATCTGACCTTCAAATTTCTGCTTTTCTAGCGACCACCCTGTATATTGAATGCATTTCTATATGTTATTTTTATTCATATTTAACATTAGATTAGTTGCATCCAATATGGAGGTAAAAGTTGCAAAAGTTATTATCAATTCAACCTTATATCTGAGCATTTGAGCCCTAACATTGGGACTTTATTCTATATAATCACAAGCTTTGCCATGTGTGGTACAATCAATTCAAAATGTATTATGACGTGTGAGCCGAAATATTCTTTTTGTTTTGAAAGTTTTCAAATCAATCCCTATAAAGTCACGCTACTTTAAATTTGAAATGCAATAATTTATATTGATACATCTTGATGCGTCTATAGGTGTGTAAGTTGCAATTTGGGTGCAGATTTGTTCTTCTCTTTGGGCAGTTCTAACTTCTAAATCATCATTTGTAATCAAACGTACTTAATTAAATAGTTAAAGGTATAGACATAGTTAAAGCGTTGATATAGTATTTCGCTTAAAAGTTGAATTTTATATCATTGCATTGTTTATTCGCGTAGTTTACTAATAATGAACAAAACATTGCCTGATGCAGACCATACTTTGAAGTTGGTTTGCAATGCAGAGGGAATAATTGTTTTGTTCATGTAGGCTTTAAATTTGCGTGGCCAATTCTGGATTCATTACTTAACAAGCGTAGGACGTTTCCGCTACAACCCGAGAAAGTGTAACAATTGATCAGGAGGTGGTGTAAACAACTTTAGACTTTTGCAAAAATACCAGGATATCCAAGGCAAGCGGTGCAGTTAGGTCAAGTTCAGATTTTTCTTAGATGCGTTTAAAGTGGTGCAGTGGTGTGAGCTTTTATTATTTCGTGGCTATGTGTGTTTCTTATCATTTTTAATTTTGCTGTCTCCGTCGGGGAGATATGATAAAACGTTGATAATACCATTCATTTGGATTCTTTCAATCAATTAACAGATTCATAGGTCAAGCTTCTCTCGATTATCGTGATTTTCATGGTGGCAAAAAACATCACCATCTAATGTTGAAAGGAAAAGATGGAAAGTCTGGAGAGGTAATTTTAGTTCAAACAAGATCGTTTTAAAATCATAAAACGAAGTCGAATCTTTATTGCTGTTGAAAAAATAGCTTTATATAACTATAACACAAGACAAATCGCAAGAAAAAGTGAATTTTAACATAGTTTTAATATAGTTTAATATAGTATATAGAATAACGGTATTCTATCAGAGTTTTATTTCAAGTAATACCATGTGTAGTAACCGCAGATTCAGTGAAAGATATTCTGCTTACAGGGTAAGTTGGCGATTGTCACGGACGACGGAGAGAAAAAAGACGAAAATGAAGGGGGACAAAAGCATAAAAACGCAGAAGATCAAGGTAACATTATATGTAACGATATATTAAAGCAAATTGTCATTCTACAAAACATAAAGTACATTACTTATGTATCGAATTTAATTGCTTTTTAGAAGGTGACCATGATAGCAGCGATGACCGCCAAGATGATGAAGGGGTTGATGTTAGCGGAGGAGGAGGGGGAGGCGCAATAAAAACAACGTAAGAACGTAGTTTTCACGTATATATTGGTTTTTGAGTATTTAATACTATAATAAATAAGATTGATGAACTTGAACGTTGATTTGAGAATTTGTGACTCAAGCAATACAAAATTTTTATTATTTTTGTCGTTAAAATTTTCAGTACACATCATTATTAACTATTTTTATTGTTGGCATTACAGTACAGATCGTAGTAAATTATCTGATAAAGTAGAAGATTTTCAAATTCGAGTGAAAATTCACGAAGGACGGCAATTGGCAGGATCAAACATAAAACCTGTTGTCAAAGTGAAGTGCGGACCGAACCAAATAAAAATAACCAGAGTCAAGAAGAGCTCGGCTCCAGTGTGGGAAGAGGTAATAGGCCTATATACCGAATAAAACACTAAGTCGTTTCCTTTGTTGGCGTCATTAGTGTAATGGCTGACAAAATTATAATTATGACACTTGTATACTGTTTTATAGATGATGATCTTCAATTTTAAAGAATCTTTGAAAAATCTTTATGACTGTATAATAGAATTAACTGTCAATAATTCAAAACGTCTCCGATCTGATGCACTGATTGGATTTTTTAAACTGGATCTTGGGAATGTCTATGACCAGCAAGGTAAGTGTCATCATCAGCACTGATACATACTTTAATGTAAACTAACAATACATATTGAGCTTTTTTCATTTTAAGGTCATGCATATGTTCGCAAGTGGATCTTACTGACAGATCCAGAGGATTCGTCAAACACCCCAAGGGGTTACCTGAAAGCAACTATCTGTGTTTTGGGAGCTGGGGATGAGCCACCTGTAAGTGTTATAAATAAGCTAAAAAGTAATTAGATTACATAAAATATACTCGTTATTTATACGTCTTTAGGCGAGGCGTTCATAAAATAGACCAGTCTTCGTCATTAACCAGTGTTTGTTATCGCTTACATTTTGATATAAAAGTAGAATTTTGTTTTGACATAGCGCGTGTAACACACGCTCAACAATTTCCGTTTATTACCGCATTCATCATCACTCTGCCACGTATGAACTATGTATAAATTTTGCACTGTTCCATGTATATGACACGTTGTTTCAATTTTAAATGAGTGTGGATCAAATATCATAAAATTTAATTTTACTACAATTTGCAGAGTGACAGTGGTGGAAAAGAAGAAGACGACGATGTGGAAGGGTAGGCACTATGACGTAGCACTGCTATTTTTTATAGTACACGGTACCCGATGTAATCGATATTTCTTTTTCGATAGAAACCTTCTGACGCCTGCTGGAGCAGCTCTTCGTTCCGCAACTTTTGTCCTGCGAGTATTTAAAGCCGAAGATGTTCCCCAGAGTAAGTGTGTTCACAATGTAACAATTCTACAAATTTTATTCGCTTTGCTAATAAATTAGAAATATAAAAGCGTGCTTGTTAAAGATATACAGACACTATTGCTCAAAGACCATTAAGTCAACAATTGGGTCTCCCATCTATTATCTTGTGAAATCCGGGAACGCGTAATACTTTTTAATATTCTGTTCCGCAGTGGATACTGCTGCATTCCAAAGTATGAAGAAATTCATTGGCATGGGCGAAGAAGCACAACGGACTCTCGTTGATCCATACGCCGTTTTCAGGTCAGTATTAACTATCAATTCTTCCGACATTTAAAAAATACTCATGTAGTTACCGACACGAACAATTCAAGAGTGACTGAAATTTTCTAAGTAGTTCCTCGATGCGAAAACCGCCGTTCAAAATATTTTTTAAACATTGAGAAAGTAAAAAAAAATATTTTTTTGTTTATAAGAAGATTGATGTTGTTTATGCATTAGGAGAATTATAAGGTTTACTCGAATAACAACATCATGGGCGTTGCTCACCATAATGCCCCCTGTAGTTGCTGGTACCGAGAGTGGAACCTTCAAGCAAACTTCCCACAACATTTTATATGGTACAATGTTTTTCAAAGGTTTGCGGGAAAAAAGCGAAAGACAAAAGTAATCGAACAAAACAACAACCCTGAATGGAATGAGGAATTAGCTCTACCTTTGAAATTCCCATCGATGTGCGACACACTTCAATTAACTCTTTATGACTGGTAAATTTGAAATATTCGATTTCATTCTTCGATAAGTCAAATCTATAATGAATATCCAAACTTTTGTGATAGTATAATATGATCTTCTATGAACCAGGGACAGAATAGGTCACGACGACGCAGTTGGAACTTTTAGGATCCCGATTTCAAAAATATCATCAACTGGAGAAGACTCGGATTCAGGTATTTATTATATTCTGCAGATGGATTGAAACTATGCATGCTCGTTTTTGTTTTGAATGAAATAGTTACAAATACGTTTGACCTTTTGATTTTTTGGTTTGAGTTGATGTTAAGTTTGCAAAATCCCGGTCTATGTACCTTTCTATTGCAGAATTGAAATTTCATTTTATAGTACAAAAATCTTCAACTCTCGAGTTATAGTTATTATATTGCGATATTTATATTTTCTATATATTTTTACTCTGCTGTTGTTTAATCATTTCCGTGATTCTCAAGATTGAAGGTTAAATCTATTCAATATAAAGTTTTCAAACATGTTTGATGTTATATAATTTCTACTCAATTTTCTAATTAAATATTTCGTTTGTGTTTTTTTTGGCCTGTTTTGATATTGTTTATCATTTTGTTGTATTTGTGTCGATGTTTGAATGCATGATATTATGTTCTTCCTTCTTTTCAATGCATGGCGATCACAGAAATGGACGAAGGCGACGATGATGGTAAGAGGTTTTGTGTTTATTTGTCTTTCTTTTTTCGTGGTGTCATTGCTTTTCACTATGCCCTATTTCAACAGAATGTTTTTAAATATTGCTTGAAAATACTGATAGTTGTCGTAAATAGATACATCTTATTTATTTTTAAAGGTTTCTTGCCTACGTTTGGGCCAACTTTCGTTAACATATATGGTTCTCCGAGAGAATTTTCGGAGTTTGGAGACAACCTTGAAGGAATGAATTTGGGAAAGGTAAGAAATTAAAAATGAAACATAACAGTAAACAACTGACAACAAAAAATTGTTTCGTTTTCTGAGTGTTCGGTATGGCACTATATTTGCAAGTTAGGTATAAACATCAGAAGTTGCCGAAACTTCTCATTTGAATTCTTGAACTGGGATGGAAATTCATAGCCGTTCACGTGTTTTTGCTGTATGTAAATAAAATAAAACAATTTTTAGTGTGATGGATGCGCGTACCGGGGAAGACTTATGGTTGAATTGCAAACGAAAGTCGAAGAAGAAGGAATCGAAAATCCTCCATCTTCTCAACCTATTGAAGATGACATCGTTGCAGCTACAAAGGTAGTTTGATGTGTGGCCTGTGTGTGTTTGGTCGAATCGTTCAGTATTTTTGTAAGAAAGTACTATATCTGTTGTACCCAGTATGCTGTAATTGAAACAACTCAAATACAAACTACAAATATGATTCCTCACACCTGCTTTTAACAGTATATACGCTTTTTAGAAATATTTAAGAAGACGGAAATATCGTCTGATTGTTGCTTTCCAAGAAGCTAGTATGATTGAAAAGGCTGATCAGCCCATCGAGTTTGAAGTTTCAATGGGAAATTATGGAAACAAATTTGATAACGAAACGCAAGCAAGTTCGTCAACCACTGAACCAACTCAAGCTATATTCGAAGGTGAGTCAGCATCAAATATACATTTTTTTTAAATTATTTTGCTAGATTCTTGTTGTTGATATTCTTGTTATTGAAGTAATTTCTTCCCAACGTACGATTTCAAATATTCAGCACTTGGCAATGGAAGAAGTCACAAAAAGGCTATCTTTAAAATTTGCTTATTCGTAATTTCACTTGGAATTTTGCTGTTTTATTTTACATAAATGGAAACCTTTTTTGTTCCGTATCGCTTTACCGCCTCCGTTTTGTTTTCCCATCCATCCCGAGATGCTTAACCATGCTAGGCCATTGTGCCCACAAATTTACTAATTCATGCTTAATCGTTTTTTTTATCGACAGCGAATAAATGAAATGCGATTCGTAAATATCAGTTTGATTTTTCCCAAGTGTGTTATATGCTACATCCGCGTACTTGCCTCTACGAGAGAGGTTTTTAAATGCCGTTAAACATAAAAAGTAAACGTAGATGACCCGATGTGTAATATGGCTTGCACGTGTGCATGTCTGATACCGATCTTGAATTGATAAAATCTATTACAACGAACAAACGCAGCCTTCTACTAATGTTCAATTTCGGTGTCTGAAGTAATTATTTTTGTTAACCTTATAATACCATAATACTTAACAAACAAAAATGTTTAGAGTCTTCAACAACTTAGTCAAGTCATCATATCAACCAGGCCAAAATTTACTTTTTTAAAAATAAAACACAAGGAGGAAGGTTCAACATTTGTTTTGTTATATATACAGGGACTTATTACTACTATCTTCCGTGGGCTTCGAAGAAACCTGTAGTTTGTGTGACCTCGCACTGGGAAGACATTGGTTTCAGATATCATTCACTCAATGTTCTCTTAAGACTGATTTCAACCATGGTGAGCTTTTCAATCTATCTCCGCTCTGTGGACATATTGGCTACTATACCCGCATCAATAATAGAAATGATTCTCATACATTAGCTTTAAAAGCTCTCGAACAGCCATATATGATTTGATATATCTTTTATTCGACAATAAAATACTTGTTTCAAGTCGTGGCAAGTTGTTGAATCAATCGATAATCACAATTATTACCTACCATCACACGTATTGAAAACCTTCGCTCCACTGCTACCTTACGAAACTTTTTCCCTTTCTAGGAAACAGACATTGCTCGTGTAAAAAAAATGATGGCAGATGAATGTGACGAAATCGAAATTGCTTCAGAAATCGTTGAAATTTTAAACGAGTTATTATTGGCGTGCACGTAAGTTTTTCCAATGCTTAAGAAATCTTAATAAAGCATTCGATATGTCTGAATATATCGACTGATTTTCGAATATATATATACATGTATATAAAAAATCGGCTCCAATCGTGCCCTAAATGGACTCTAGATGGGGCAAGGGTGGGTATCTGTAGAAACTGTGATATTGCATTAGCCTATTTTCCTATGCCCTTTGAATTACTTTATTTGAAATCTGTATGCTGACATTTACAGAAAAGGCGTTCCTGATCCTCGTGGTCGAACTGTAGCAAACTCTTTAGACTCGAGATTGTACGGACAAAGATTACAACAGCTATCTCTTATACGAACAGAAGCAGTTGAATTGAGACAAACGTGTACCGATGCCAAACTTGCGCTCGTTGCACTTGAGGATTACCTAGAAAGATTGAAAGAAATGGCGTATGAGGTGAGAATTTATTAAATAATTTTACTAAATTTATAAATACCACAACTCAGTTTTTAGAACAGCAGCTATGGAATGCATATCCTAACTTAAAGGTATACACACAGATAACTATTTTGGTTATGCCAACTCCATAGCCTTCCAATATAGCTTGGTTCATGCTATATAAAATATTTTGCAATCGCTGTCCGGTAATTGCAGTACTGTGCTTTACCAACAAGTATAGATAGATAACAGATAATTCATAATCCTGATTAGTTCGTAGAATGTAGATAATCGCAACTTAGGCTATAACACTAGCCAATATGTGTGACATTTATTTGGGTTGCCATGCAATTCAAAGCGCAATTTTCTTTTAGACGAGGGTTTAACTGTGCTTAATAGTTGTTTACGTCAGTAGTGTACAAACTAATCAATGCAAATCATAACATTTCAGCCTCAAAGCAGCATGCCTGATGTCATCATATGGATGTTGTCGGATAACAAGAGAATAGCATACGCAAGGTAAAAGTACAAACCTCGAAAACTGATGTAACTCTTGTCCAATTAGCAAAGCTAATATCTTCGTCATTTGCCCTCTTTGTTTATTTTTTTTTAGAATACCTGCTAACGAAGTACTTTATTCTAAAGAAAGAGAACAATATTGCGGAAGGATGTGTGGTAGAATGCAAAATATATTTTTGAAGGTATTCTTACTAGAAAATTATTTATGACATAACTAGAAACACTCATGATGTGTAACCTCATACACATTTCCACATTTTTTTATTACAGTATCCAACTGCGAGAACTAAGAGCAAGAAGAATTATAAAATAGCCTGTCAACTGCAAGCGATGGTTTGGCTTGGTCGAGCATCCGATCAAGACGATTTCGATTTCAATTCTAGAGGGAAGATATCAGTCTACGCAGATACGGTAAATAGCTTTTACAGGTGATTTGCCTGAACTCGGGGCCGTACTTAGCTTGTGATACACGCAAAATGTATTACGTGAGACCAATTTGGGTAGAAATTAGGGTACTCCTGGAGTATGCGCACCGAGATGTCGCACAACCTGAATCCTAACCTGGTACACAACCTGAGTTCAGATTGTGCGCCATCTTGGTGCGCATACTTCAGGGTGTCCGAAATTAGGATATATATAATAACTCAAAGGTAAAATTTTGTAATCGGAAATGAATTCGTATTTACATTTCATCATATTTTAATTAAGTACAAAATCACGGTTGAAGTAACTTTTTGAAGGTTTCAGAAATGAATGCGGAGCGCCTTTCCTTTTAATAGCTGAAACTTCACCTGCTCCTTCGTATTTTTACTCTTCCTACGTACGATACATACTTTCTACCAACGTCCCTAGACTTTTTCTGTAAATTCCTATCCATCTCACACTCTCACTTTCAAATAACAAAACACATCATAACATAACATCAAAGCAGAATAAACACGCTACATATATATATATATTTATGGTTAAAATTGATAAGCACTAAATTTAATACCTTTCACAGAATTAGCGTGGGGCCCACAGGATCGCATAGTTTGCAGTGATTGAAAGTCAGCTGTATACAAACTTGATTTAAAACACCAGTATTGATTAGTTCCTATTTTGTCAGATTATTCATATAAAGTAAGGTAATTTTTTAATTTCTCAAATTCGAAACTTTTTTACTATTCTTCAGTATGAAACGGAATCGAAAGTACCGGTTAAGGGATGGTCTGCAGATGGATTCAAAGATCGCACGATGGAGGTAATAATAAATTTGTTAAAATCATTTCTATTTTGAAAAAAAGTTATAATGTGAAAAATAAAAATAAAATTGAAAATTTCAGATTCCTCTACCGAAAGACAAATTCAACTGCCCGCCTGGTTGGCAATGGGATGAAGACTGGTTTATTAGTCCAAGCACAAATCGGCTGTATGACGCTTCATCAGGATTCGATGTTTACACCGAGGTAAGTACAACTTAAATTTATCCGAATGCAGCATAGGTATTGATGAAATCAATTGTCACAAAAGTACAAAACTCTTATATATTAACAAGGGGAGTCAAAAAGCGGATGGGTTTCGAATATGACATGGCTTTATACCAAATTTCGAAAGGCAATTTGTTAAAAATGGCAATTTTGAACTTGAGTATTAAAATACAGAACGTTAGAAGATAATGCATCACGTAAAATATACCATTCGTAGTATCTAGTTAAATTGCTTTATTACCTTTAAAAATTGTTCCTTAAATTAATATCATCTGTGACTAATTACAGGAAGCGTATGAAGTCCAATACAGATTCCCTGGGGGTTCATGGGAGGATGAAGGAATGTATGACTCAAATCAAGATCCTATTCCCAATTTGAATGCGATAGAAAGTCAAGAGGGTTGGGTCTGGCAGGACGAATGGGAGATCGATTGTAACAGAGCTTGTGATGAAGACGGTAAGTCGTCGATGACAGTCCTCACTCACTCAACTTGTTTCTTTCAATATGGCTGATTTATATATTTTCACAAATATACTGTATTGATAAATCACTTACTGTTTTAAGGATGGGAATATACAATAACGACCGAAGAGCAGAATCCAGTTTGGCAAACAATGGAAAAAGTTTTCCATCTTAATAGAAGAAGAAGATGGGTTCGAACAAAAAAATGTGTTGACGCGAAATTACAAGCCAGAAAAGAAGTAATATGCATACTACTGACTATTTTAATGTGTCTGATAAGAACATTATATTTTGTTATATATTTATTTAAAAGTAAAAGTCTTTTATTTCCATCTAAACTATCGCGAGTTTAGTTTAAAATACCGATACTGACTTCTCATGTTACAGAGAGAACTCATGGCGTTGGAGGAAGGATGGGAATATGCCAAAACAAGTGGAAGTACATTTCATCCCGATTCAAAAACGTTTGATTTGGTTCGGAGAAGAAGATGGATGAGAAGAATGGTTGCTGAAGAATCTAGAGGATCAGCTGCAATATTCAGTTTGGATCGACCCTTAGTAGTAAGTTTTAATGTTGTATTGTATAAAAAATACACAGACTGAGAAACAAAAAAACATTAGAATATGATTGATACGTAGACACCTTGGAAATATCAAATATTTCTTATAATTTTACAGCACCCCGATGGCCCAATCTCGGAAGAAACTTCTGCAATGTCTCCATCCGGAGAGGAACTTTCACCAGGACCAGATGGTAAGCGGATTCTATATTACACGACTTCGTTGTTAACCTCCGCGTGTCGTTTATTCAGCGTCGACATTCCAAATAGTTTCGGGTTGCGGATACATCACAGATACATTATATTTAAACTGCTTTCATTCTGATCGGCGCATATTATTTGTTGTGTATTCGAAACATGGTTATATGATACTAGAGTGTTTCCAGTTTAAGGATTTTTATGTTATTTGCAGTGGAAGTTTAACTTGATATGCAACAACTACAATCACCTGCGTTGGTATTAGCATTGCTTTTATAGATTTCTTTTCGTGGCGGGAAAGTATAAATAGGAGACAAATAAATTTACAATATTGCGGACTAATTTAAAGCCAAGTTTGCTGCATTATAATCTTGTTATTTTCACTATGTTTCAAAATTGTCCAAAACACCTAGAGATACAAAAGATGACGAAGAAAATATTTCGCATACCGCAACAATGTTATTTTTCATTTTCGCTTTGCCAAAATTCAGAAAAATAGAAAAAGGAGCATGATTGTTATTATGTTTTCAGAATCTCAAATGCTTAGTGATCCTAGACCAGAGGAAGGTGCAATTACTTCGGATGATCATAAAGAATATGTTGAACAAGCAAGTTCATCGACCACAAAAAAGAAAAAGAAAATTGGTCTCAAGAGGAAAAAGGGGAAAAAAGAAAGCGTAGCATCACAACCTTCAGGTAAAATATTCAATATACTTTAAAAGTTAAAAAAAAATAGTATAGTTATTGACTCATGATTAGTGTTCATTAGAAAATTCAAGTTCGTCAAATTTTATTTTCACGAATCAAAGAACAATCTATTCAATTGATCTATTGAAGCTATTCTGGTAAAGTCTACGTGTAGAGCAAAATGGAAGTCTACGTTTGAATATATAACTAAATAATGATAACCAGAAAAATAATACTTTTATAATAATAATAATTTTATAGACCAATAATTATACTAAACTCTTAACAACTAAATATTTTGAGACGTAAAAACCGGAACATTTAACATTTGATTTTTGCTTCCTAACGCTATTGGGAAATTTGTTCTGCTTGAAGCTGCTATGTGCTCTCTTGTTAGTTGCTAGAAGAATGTTATGGATTCTAATGCTTTTAGTGCTTCATGATCACGCAAATTTCTAGCGACCGTTTTGAATAGTTTTCAGCATGACTTTTTATTTTCACCACGGCTTATAAGGATATCACGCTTTGGCAACATTAAAGTATGATTTCTTTCAGCTGGAAAGCGTGGAAAGTCTTCAATATTTTCATTTGGTAAAGGTAGAAATCACTCAATAGAATCAAATATCATTGCTGGGCACTAATTAACCACGCTATTTTGTTATGATTGAACTATAGCAGTAGGTCAACAAAATTTATCATCGCACTCAATTTTGCATGAATCAGTTTGATAGTCAACGATTCTTTGATCATATTCAAAAATTGCGAAACTTCAAATTTAAGCATGGAACTTCCTAAACTAGATTCAGCATTGATAACAAGCAATATATAAATTGAATATTTTAATATGGTATAGAAATTTGATCAATGAAATATGAATACTAACACGAAATTATAAACAAGCCATTCAGTGTCAACAGCTTTTCATCACACATAACATGTCAAGCCGCGGTTCCATTACATTTGAACCCACGTACATTTGAACCCATGACAATTGCACCTGTATGCTATTGCACCTATGGAATTTTTTTTGTTTCACGGATAGGTAAACCCATACTAACCCTAACCCATGGGTTTTAGCACCCGCATATAGATTGAACCCGTGGATATACGCATGGGTTCAAATGTACATGGGTTCAAATGTACGGTCACCGTCAAGCCGCATATAAAAATTTAACAATATAATACATGTTTCTCACATCAGATTCATTAGTGCCGTCATTTTAAGTTACTAATCAAAGTATAATAAACCTTCATTCACACCAAAATAATTACTTCGTAAATTCGTTTTAATTTCTCGATAAATCAGATATTAATTTGTGTGTTAAATTGCTATGCTATAATAATAAAGGTAGCATCGGACTTCACCGTCTAATTGTCAAATTATCTCTAATCTAAGTAATGTGTTTCTGCAAGAAAACATGGGACTGCTTTTTTTCCCTTGTTTAGAACAATATAATATTTCAATGGAAATGGTAAACTCAAGTCATCATGAAAATATGTTATTATGTTACGTTGATTTATTTATTTCATTATTATGTCAAAATCTATACTTAACACCCAAACTGCAAAACTACTAATACCGTAATTTATACTTGTTTACGTTATTTTATTATTTTTTAGCAAAGTCAAAAAAGTCTAAGGTACCCAAGATGCCAACACCTAGAATTTTTTTAAACTTTGAAGGAGCAATAAAACTTCAACTAAGAGTTTATATTTATCAAGCTAGAGATCTATTACCCATGGACCAGGATAGTTTTTCAGGTTTGTGTCTTAAATTGCAGTTTGAATATGATTTTTGCTCTGCAAAGTCATGGAATATTTCTATGTAGTGTGCAAAGTTTTAGTTTAATGCTAGTTGAATTCCCATTTTCAAGCTGACATACTTTTGAAATGAAATCGGTGTTTCAGGAAGATATGCCAAAAACTGACTCTCTCATTCAGATAAGATAAATTTATAGATCACCAGATGATATAAAAATTTTGTATTTCACAGTTTGGTACAAATTAATATATTTGTTTCAGATCCATTTGTATACGCAACTTTCATGAGCTTATGTAAAAGATCTGAACTCGTTCGTCATACATTGAATCCAATCTGGGATCAGACTCTGATAATGGACATGGACTATTATGGAGATTTGAATCATCTCAGATCTTCATGTCCAGATGTTATTTTGGAAGTATTTGACAAGGATGACATTGTAAGTTATGGGAATTTAAAATTGTTTCGATTTTGGGCTTGAATATTGGTTGGAGGCAAATTTCATTCAAACTTGTTAACATTAGGCTTGTTAACACATCATTACACGATCGACCACTCAACAGGCGACGAACGACGTTTGGCCATCGAAAATTTAAAACAATTAGAATGAATGCACTTATTAATTCCCTGCATATGGAGATGCTTGCAATTTAACCTGTATATGTCATTAGACCTAAATAAATGTTGAAATGCATTCTTACTACTGGAAAAAGAATCATTTACAGTGAAAGGGTGAAAAGCGACTACTGAAATTCCAAAAACTTGTAAGATGTCACATATTGATGATATAGATTGCGACATAACATCTCTGTTATATTATTATCACATTACCAAGGCGGATAACTTTATATAAACGGAAAGTAAAACAGCTCGGTGGCGAAGTATTCCACATTGTAATGTTAATTATAATAAAGATTATTAAAATGACATAATATTACTGAATACTGGATGGAAAAAGTCGATCAAGAATGTATTTCAAGTATAATAATTTATTGAAGGTTCCTATAAACTTTACTGGTCGACGATCAAGGACAAATCAGGTGGAAGACAAGAGGGGACACGTTAATAAAGTAAAAAGTCCATCACCATTAACCTAATCAGTCATTGCCTGATTAGATGTTTGAGTTAGTATTCATCATCGATGAATACAATTAACCTGACCTATTTTCTCATTATTTTATTTTAGCATGAAAAGCCATAACTTTTACTAATTAATGACTAATAATAATTTTCGACGGTTCTTTAACAACGCGCTGCTAACTCACTATTTTATTATTTTTTGCAATTCAAAAAATATAACCTTTTTTGTATGCAATATTACCTTGCTAAAAAGTGTTTTTATATAATAACAGCGAAAGCTAAATGTATTGGATGCTATTTATTAGGGGACTATTTTCTTCCTAAAACAAGAATTTAGCTTATTATGAAACATATAGGTGTAAACGGCCACATCTATGACAAAGCTAATTTATACATATTTAAAATGCCGTGTAGTCGTTATTTGGTCGTCATGAGTATGTCCAATTTTTCTATTTAAATCTGCAGGTTTATATACTATAATCAGACGCGAGACTACTTCTTTTGACGGGTCCTAAATTTTGCGTATCATATTGCTACATTGAATTATATATTTATTACCATTTAACAAAATCACTTTTCATATTAAAAAATGGAATTACATTGGCATCATTGCATGATTTATAAACAACCAGTCACAGAAGTCATTTTTTATTATATTTATTTAAATTTTCATTCTTATTTCAAGTATTATGTTTATTAGTAAAGTCTTTCTGCTGAAATATGTGAACCATTATCTGATATCCGTTTACAGGGATCTTTAGAATTTATGGGACGAGCCACTCTCCAACCAATGTTTAAACTTGACCCCGAAGAACCAGTTTCGCCAAGATTAGCCTGGTTTGACATCATGCGCGGAAACTTGGCGGGAGGAAGCGTTTTGGCCACTGCTGAATTATTGGTGGTATGATATTAAATGAGAATTTTGTATGCCGATGTAGATCATTATGCTTATGACGATATGCGCCAGAAAACAACATTTATTTATTGCAATAGCGAGTTCTCGTACAGAAACTAATAGAAGTATGTTTGTTAAATACAGAAATCTGAAGACAAGATGATGCCTTTTCTTCCTCCTCGGCGGATGGAAGTTTTTAAAGTTCCCCCTGGAATTCGTCCTGTGCTACAAAGAACTGCGCTCGAGTTCGTCATTTGGGGAGTGCGAAATATGGAATCATTTAAACTTCTGAGTGTGGACAGACCAAGCGTCGTGATAGAGGTATAGTTAACTCACATTTTAATTATCATTTTAGACTCCTGGTGTAGTCACATATAATAGATAAATATATGGAATATAATGAACTTTTATCGCAATGAAGCATTTTCATTTATATACGGAATTAGTGTTGAAGATACTTTCTCGCCACACGAGTACGCACACGTACATCTTAATTAATATTAATACTATAACTCAACATTTTGAATGTTCACGATTTTATATATACCCGTTTTTTTTCTTCAAAATTTTTTTTAATTTCAAGATCGGTGATGTAGAAGTTCGGTCAAAAGTGATCAAGAATATAAAGAAGTTTCCAAATTTTTCTGAGCCGGTATTTTTCCTGGAAGCGGTAAGCTTTTATTAAATAAAAAAGAGTAAATTACTCTCTCAATTCCACGGTATTTTATATTACTTGTATTCAATGACAGAATCTTCCGAAAGAACAAATTTATTGTCCACCTATTGTTATACGAGTGAAAGACAACAGGAAATTCGGACGAAGGCCAACGGTAGGACAACACATCATATCTGACCTATCTACACACGTTGTTGCTGCTCCACCTATACCCAAAACAGACCTTCATGAGGATGACGAAGGATTTGGTATAATTTACTTTGCTCTGTATATTGGATATTCAGTGTAACAATTACATCATAATAAATCATCTAAATTATGGTACAATAACTTCAACTGAATATTTTGAAGGCCATTATCCTCTTTTTCAGATGATGACCCAACTGTTATAGAAGTGATCCCACCATCACCAGTTGACGACGGTGCAAGTAAAGGACTGGTAAGTTGAATAAATTGCTATATAGACGTCAGTGATTAACAGTTCATGGAAATTATATTAGATTCGATTTATTGAACTGTTAACCGACATGAAGTCATAAGTGATAAGTTTGTGTTTCTACCTTAGCTGGACTCCTTCAAGTTGTCATCAATTATCCCAACAACGTCGGAACCTGTGGTTGGTATTGAACCGAGCAAACTATAATTTCGTCATAATTGACTAATTTACATAAATCATGTAGTAAAAGATTAATTACAACGCATGACTTAATTATAACTTCAAATTCATAGTCACTCAATGCTACTCGTACTCACATTCACTATGTAATAAGCACTTATTAATATTCTTTTCATTTCAATTTTTCCAAATCCATGCACTTCAAATCAAATTCGCAATCACACCATCAATCAACCAATCACAACCATTTGTTGAATCACGTGATCATCTCAATCTATAATTATAAAGCGGGAGGAGTTGAAAAGAATGGGGAGTGTGGTAGGGCCACATGAGGTGGTAGAAGCACCATTCGAATCGTACCGCGATGACCGAGTATTAGTAAACAACGACGAGTTGGGAGACATGGGACCTAGCATTGTGATCACTGATGCTTCGGGAGAGCCCCGACTATCAATTTCTGAGCACAGTGAATATAATTTCCAAGAGATTATTGAGGTATACGACCCGGACCAACCGGGAGAGGATGAAATGGAGGAATCAGAGGAAGAAGAGGAGGAAGACACGTTTGCCCAAGGAATTTTGGCGAGCATCGAAGGTTTCGGGAAAAAAATTGCTAGTGCAGTTCCGCTTATTTCTTTTGAAGAGGTAGTTTCAAGTCTTACGTGTAACAATATTCTTTTATAAAATTATTTATGATATATGACAAAGATTTCTAGTCAAGAAGTTATAATCACTAATATAAGTCGTAATATTACGCTATTTTGGATATAACATGTTTACACCTATATAATATGCTCTGTAGTAACATTCAATACAGTGAATCATGTAGTTGCTAAGACCCCTATTTAATATAGTAAACATTTTGGCAAAATAAAAATGACTAAAATGATATTTTATATCTAGAAAGCAAGAAACAACATCAATAACTAATCATATATTTCTTATGAATGGTGCTGGCCAAAGAATTTATTTGCCATTTGACATAACATTCTAAATTTATTAGTTCGCATCTTGGACTCCAGCGACTTTGATTCCACCACGAAATTAAACTACTTCAAATTAGGTGTAAAGCTAGTTTTTTTCACTCCACTCGAGCACAAATTCGAAGGTTAAAATCCGCTATTTTAATCAGTTAACGATTTTCAATCATCTTTTATCAAATCATGTTTGTACATCTCAACATTCATTCTAGAAAGCTGATAAAAGGCGACGTGAACGAGCTTTGATTTTCACCCTAAAAGTGAGAATGACATCACCCATAAGCATTTCAGTCAACTCATATCAAACCTATGTTTAAATATTTCAGTACTCATCGCCATATATGATATTTTCATCAATTAATGAATGAGTGTCGTTGAATTCGCGACACGCTACATTTAACCTATGATATTTTTAGAGTTAAAAACTAATTCTACTTTTGTTTTTTTTAAATTATTTGAAAATTGAATCACATATAGTATTATAATTTGCATGATTTCTCGCGCAGGAATCCTGAGATGCGTTAAAGTCTACTAATTTACGAAGCATGTGATATTATGAATAATTATTTGCTATAGTTATGCCTTACATTAAAGTTTTTTTTTTTTTATATGTATATTATAAATATGTCTACAATTTTTAACTTGAACTCCACTGATTGCTGATATTTATTGTGGTAGGAATTTAGAGAGGAAGAAATTGACTGGTGGTCTAAATACTATGCCTCAATAGGAGATGCTGACAAATGCGGACAGTATCTTTCAACAGGGATGGACACTATAAAGGTAAAGAATGGTATATGTAGTTAAAGCGATAAGTCTAATTTATTTATATAACTTGGAATAAATTAAATTTTAAATACTTGAGTTACTTAATGTCAATTTCCCACAGGTCTATAGAAGCGAATTGGAAAAACAAGAGCCATATAATCGTTTCAGCGATTTCATCCAAACATTCGAATTATTCAGAGGGAAGCAAGGGAAAGATGACGATGATGCTCCTCCTGTAGTGGGGGAATTCAAGGTAATAGAAAATATTGTTATTTTGCACTTTATTGTAAATGATTCTGTTCATGATTGATCATGATTGGTCACGTTTTTGTTATTTATGTACAACATACATGAGCCATTATTGATAATAAAAATGCCAAAAGATTTAAAGCACAATTACATTTGCTCTATTTTAAATAGATGAAATATTAATACATCTGGTATTTTATTCAACAGGGAGCTATTTTCATGTATCCTCTACCAGCGGATCCAAATGATCCAATGCCCGAAAGAATATTCAAGAATATTCCATCAACGGATCCCGTGGTAAGTATTTTTTCAAAATATAACCGAACTTTCTTTTTAACAAAATATGAAAATTTATTTGCAACGCCGAGGACTAATTCAATTTAGACTTTTGATCCGTTAACAACGATTCCCTTTTCAGGAAGTTAAAGTGCGAATTTACGTTGTGAGAGCTTTTGATCTTGCACCTCAGGATTCGAACGGGCTTGCTGATCCGTATTTGAAAATCAAGGTCGGAAAAAAGAGGATATTAGATAGATCCAACTATTTACCCAACACGTTGAATCCCACATTTGGAAGGTATAAATTTATATATTTTCTCAATAGCATAATGATCTTTGACTTTGGTCAAGTATTGTTATGTATCAGTAAAGTAGTGCAAAATTTGGTCATAGCATTGGATTCATTAAGTAATACGACTAGCTAATGTGAACTATCAAATCTATTATTATAATAATTTCTCAATATACCATACTTGCGTTTAGAATGTTTGAATTGGATTTGATTCTTCCAATGGAAAAAGATTTAAGAGTGGAAGTCTTTGACTGGGATCTGATTGGAACGGACGACAAAGTAGGAGAAACTGTCATAGATTTGGAGAATCGATATCTCAGCAAATTCAAAGCTTGGTGTGGATTGCCAAAATCATATTGCTCGTAAGAAAATCTGCCTACATAGGTTTAAACCAGGGGTCGGTAACCTTTCGTCTCTCTTGGGCCAAAATTAAGGGTTGCAAGTCATTGGCGGGCCGCACATATTTTAGAAAGTTGAAAACCGAACGGATGATAACTTTTATAATAAAAATCAAGCAGTGATACATCTCTCGAACAGAATATAGATTTATTTCCTCATTGCATTGCATCTAAAAAATGACATATGAATATTTCAGCACCATTGAACCCTTTGCACTTTTCTGCGTTTTGTTGCCATTTGTCTAATTATAATTGAATTATGAGCTCATTAAACGAGTAATTGTGAATTTTATACTTGTTAGATTATATTATAATTTAGTCTACACGTGTCTCATACTAAATTATGTTATGTAAATAATATAATCGTCAAAACAGCTGTTTTGGTACTATAATTTATCGAAGCGTCGCGGGCCTGATCCGGCCCGCAGGCTGCCGATCCCTGGTTTAAACTATTAAATCTTTTTATGTATATATAAGTTAATTGGTGCCGAAATGAGTAGCCTTTTTTACCATGAATCGGGATATAAAACCAAGATTACAAAATTGAACCCACGCAAATTGTATACCACTTTTGATAGACATTACACTGATGTATTTCTGTAACGTTTCGTTTTCAAAAAATATTGTTACAAAATTACTTTGAAAATACTTGTCTGAAGAAGTCTGTTAGTGTGCAGCCATAATCTTGAATCAAATAGAATAATCCTTATTTTAGTTACAACGCCCTTGCTTTACACGCCTATGGATCCATTTGCGCAGAGGCATAGAGCAAGGAAAGGTATCTGGTCTTGCGTAACCCCGACTGATAGTTACGCTTGATAGAACGATAAATTAATCATATTAGTCGCGATTTTCTAAGCACCCCCACTATTTCGGCTAGTGATAGGTGTAAGTCGTCAAAATTAAATAATAAAAATTTGAATACTAAGAAGGACTTGGTGTACAACGTTTCATATTTTTTTTAAAAATTTGTTGCCGTTTATTATTGATCGTAAGTTGTCAAAAAATAGTGCGTGTTATGACTATGATGTTTTATTGCCAGTTGTATAAATAAACTTTTTTTAATATTGTAGAAGCGGAACAAATAAATGGAGAGACCAACAAACTCCAAAAGACTGGCTCATGCAAAAAGCAAAAGAGCTTGGAATCGACGAACCAATTTGGAACGGAAATACCTGTGTTTTATTCAACAAAAAGAAATATTTACTTGAAACGTTTGAGAAGAATATGGTTGGTCCAATATTTTGAGCATATTTGTTGGGTTTCTGTACCGTATATGAATATTTATATTATAAATATTTTCTTTTAGTCACCATGCAAAGATTGGGGATCAGCAGACGAACGTCTGGCTCTACATGTGTTGAGAACTATGCCTCATGTAACTGAACATGTTGAAACGAGACCACTTTTCACTGATGTCATGCCTGGAATTGAACAGGTATTTGCTCCTCCTTAATGTGAATCGTTTTTTGTGTTTTGTGTGCTGATGACAAATGTTTTATAATTTGTAGTGATGTTAAAGCAAGGTCAAATTTATCTATAGGCAAGACAAGGTTAATTCTAGTGACTGAACTTTCATATTTTAATATATATAGTAATATTATGACGCCATAATTAGTTCTATAGAAGTTTGTATGACGTCTTCATAGTCTAACCCCGACCCTGTGTAGAACAGTAGTAAAATTTTAATGTCAAATTTTAATGTTTGAAGGAATATTAATATGTTATATTTATATTGCAGGGAAGAGTACAACTGTGGGTAGATATGTTTCCAAAGCAATATGGTGAACCAGATGATCCGTTAGACATCACACCACGAAAACCTTCAGAGTGAGTTTGTTTTGTTTTAACGTTCAATAACATATTTCATTTTACCATATCATCAACAGAGCCTATCATGTTTTTGTTTTTTTTGTAATTGAAAGGCTTTCAGTGGAATTACATCGCATGTGTTTAGAAGTTATTCAATTCGTTTTGATTGTTTTATGGAGTTTGAAACATAGAATTTGTGGTTCAAAACAGTGTGAATTTAAAAGTGTTTTTTTCTTTAGGTATTTTATCAGAGTGATTGTGTGGAATTGTCGTGAAATTCCAATGATGGATACATCTATGTTTGGTGAAAAGATGACTGATATTTATGTAAAAGGGTGGATAGAGGGATTGGAACATAAAAAACAGAAGACCGATGTTCACTACAGGTAGAAAATACACAGAATATTGCTTGGCATTGTTAGCAGTTTAATACTTCATACTTTCAATAAAATTTAGTGCTCTTAATAATACTTCCAACGTTCATGCATTATCATACCATAAATCAATCATTTTTTTACCTATTGGTAAATTTCTTGAACGTTTTGTCAGATCTCTTGACGGCACTGGGATGTTTAACTGGAGATTTGTTTTCCCGTTCGAGTATCTTCCACAAGAAAGAGTTGTCGTAGTATCGAAGAAAGAGCATTTATGGAGCATGGATAAAACAACGACAAAAGTTCCTCCGGTTCTGAATCTTCAAGTTTGGGACAATGATCTTTTCGGCCCGAACGAATATATTAGTAAGTTATAACCAAACGTACCAGTACCAGCGAAGCAGACATTTTCAAATCTCTATTTTTATTTTTAACGAACTAAAACACGAAAAAAAGAAAAGAGAAGCATTAGTATATTAGGCATAAATGTATGTTACATGTATGCACGTCATAGAGCCAACGAGGGCCATGGGGGAATCAATGTCAGCACAATCTCTATACGATTCAAAGGTAGTGATTTGTCACATAGTTGTTTCCGGCAAATAGAAAATTTTATGTTATTCTATTTCAGGTGAAATATCTCTTCCACTCAATAAAACTCCGAAATGTGTGAAATTCAACAAGTTTGCAACTATAAAAAATATACCAGACCTACAGGGTAATTGTTCTGTTCCTGTTGTAAATCTATTTGACCAGAAGATGCTAAATGGCTGGTGGCCTTTATATTGCATGAAAGATGGTGAAAGAGTCCAAGCAGTAAGTATTTTTTGTTTTGTTTCAAAGTATGAAGGAGGTAAACATCTAGGATGATTTTGACATATTTCTAAACGTTTTCATAAGATATCTAGTCTTTGAACATTTCAAAAATCAATTAGTTTTACTCCCATACTACATACTATGTACTTTATGTAGTTTGTACCTGATCATATAATTTATTCAATTCAAATGTTACTTTTTTTTTAGGGTAAAATTGAAATGTCGGTAGAAGTCATATCGAGAGAAGAACACGAAGAACGACCTGCTGCAAAAGCAAGAGATGAACCGAATGAAAATCCAAAACTCGAAAAACCAAAGTAAGCATACAATATATTATTTTGATCAAAAGGTTGTTTGGTATATAGTATCGGACACGAAGTGTTTCGCTTTTCTTGGTTATTTAATTGTCGAGGATATATTTTCTTTCTTCTTGTTTTCTGGTTATTCGTGGAACATAAATTAGTTTCATTTAGCAGTCTGTAGCACTAAGCAACTTTTTTTTGTTTCAGGCGCCCAGCAACGTCCTTTGCTTGGTTCACATCACCGTGGAAATCATTCCGTTATATAATATGGAAAAAATATGGCTGCATCATTATCACGATATTACTCGTTCTTCTGCTCATTGTATTCCTCGCATTATTCATATATACATTCCCGGTAAGAATGCACGAATTTGGTATAATGCTGTTTTTTGTTTTTTTTTCCCAAATTAGCATCATTGCGATATTAACAAATTCACGATCATTCCGCTCTATCTGAAACCTCAAATATGAATGTTCTATGGTATATCGCAATTGTCTTTCTCTGACGGAATAATGATTCCATTGTTTCATACATTTCATACATTGAGTATTTAACATAATTTCGATTAGCTGTTACTTCATTCAGCAGTGATTTCCGTATAGGAAATGGAATCAGTTACTTTAACTTTTATTATTATTACTTTGTGTACAATCCTTCATATATCCCAGAACAATATAATTTTTAATTACAGGGATCTTTCACGGGTTGGTTTCTTGGAAAATTCTAAACGTACCAGCGTCACATATGTGTAAAACATGGAATTTAACCACTTCCCCAGTGATTCGATGTACCGTATTTTATTGCTATGCGATCCTGTAACATCTTTTTACGAGTATTGGTTGCTATTTTTTTCTGCTTGGCTTCATTAGTAATTAGTTATTTGTGGCTTGCTGATTCGAATATACAATTTGTCATAGTAAGAACATTTAGAAATGCAAAAATATGTTACAGGTAGTAAATATCAGAAGAATATATCATGCTATTGTCCTAAAAAAGAAAGAAATGATTGCAACATATTTCGAAAGCGTCATCAATAATTGTGTCATATTATATCTTATATATATATATATTTTCGAAAAACAGAAATCAATGTTATGAAATTTTTAAATACATTTGTAATTTGTGTTACATCATTTTGGTGCAGAATGCAATTGAGCTTGAACGTACAGAAACAAATATTGTTTTTCCCAATATTTCTGCCGATGATCCATATTTGATGATTTACAATATCTTTTATATTTGACCATTCACTAAGATAAACAAGTACAAATATATGTTTGAATTTTCTCACTGTACTTATACAATGTATATGTTTTGTTATCTTTTCCTATATACACACAATAATTTTAGTTGTAGTTATATTGCCTATAGATTTTATTGATTTAAATTAATTGACGAATCGCCTTTCAACTAGAATGATCTCTAAATAAAATTATTGATAATTAATAATAATTTAATACATAACAGATATTGAGTGTATACTGGACGATGGTTATAGTTTGAGTTTTTTACAAATTCTCGTAACATGGAGCATTTAGTGTCATGAGATCTAATCAATCATTCTTTATGAAATAATGAGAGAATCAAACTGGCGAGTAGTTCGATTGTTGAACTATTCGGGGCAGGATTTGCTCCAACATTATCCTGCATGCCAATACTCGCACTTTGAATAACTTTTTGACTAACATCGAATGTCATGCTACATGAAGGGGTTGCCACATGCCGCGATTTCATTTTCTCACATTCAGACAGTGATGGAGTTATGAGCTTACTAAAACAGAAAGGAGGAAAGTGGGATACGTCAGGTCCTTCAATAAATACTCAAAGCTAATATATTTCTAATATCTCCATTAAAAACGATTTAGTTTTACTTGAGAGTAATTGCGATAGATAATAATTTTGAGCTAATGTTACGTGACAATATTACATTTTCGTGATTGGATGTGAAGCTACGACAGGAACTGAGTCTTTTAAGATAAGCTAGGGGTAAAAAAAGAACGACAAGATGAAACAAAAAATAAAAGTAAATTTATTCAGTTCAGAATTCACCTCTCTGCTGAACCTGTCTATAATGCATGTTGATAACCTGTGCTCAACACAAATATATCAAATATTCATTCTGTATTCTGGCGATGTTGATTGTGTATAACCCAAAAAATGACTCAGACAGGGAGGTGATCAAAGACTTAATACCAATTACAATCACCTTAAACAAAATGAAGAGATGTATTAAGTTATTTCTACTTTGCATTATAAGTAATGTGATTCAGCTCTTTAGTTGCTATCAATCCTTGTCACTGAATTCTCGATTTTTGAATGAAATACGAACCCCAAAACGTTTTATTCTGTTCTGACAATGCATACATTATTTTTTCATGGATCGTTTTCATACCTTCACATCGGGAATACAATATTTGACTTTTCTCCCCCAGTTCAAGTGTGAATCTCTTTGAATTCGAGCCAACAGAAGCGCTTTATGTTGCACCTGATCCTGGAAATGGAATTTTTCGACTTCCATGATGTGAAAAGTTTGGGTTTTACTTCTTTAGTAATGACCGATGATGCTAATGTACGTGAGTGCTATATATTTGATGATGCTAAATTATGTGAGATGCAAATGTATGTGTGCAAATGTCGGTGAGTGCAAAAGTGTACAGGTGCAAATGTCTTGGGTGCAACTGTACGTGGGTGCAAAAATAGTGGAACATGTGACAATTATTTCCTGAATATAACTGATTGTTTGATAAATTTACATGCACTCATTTTCCTAATTCTACGCTAAAAACGCAGTAATAGAAACTCTAACCATTCAAAGAATTGCGATTGCTTGAATAAAGAATACGACAACCCAAATGCACCTTGCAGCAATGTTTGTTGTCATATTTCAAATTCCCATCAACATGGAGTCTATGGTAAACCTCTCTGAGGCGCATGTTACCGCCAGGCAATGCGATCGACCTTAGGTAACCTGTGAGGAATTTAATAAAATCTTTATTACCGACTGTTATCTTTGTTGATTAAGGTAATTAAATATGTGATATCGCTAATCAATCTGGGCGGGAAAGTAGAGAAGCGACTTGCATTCCTCAACCTGTCACAGGGTTACGTGATGACGAACGGTTTGCGTATTTCGCAAGATTCTGGTCTAATCGACGTTGTCATTGCTTCTTTTGACGCTACATCAAGGTAAGCAAATGTTTTTTAATTAATATAATATACATTTCAAATGTTGCTATATTTCTGCTATTCTTAGTATTATATTTATACATAGCAACTTGAAGATGGTTAAAATAATTACATAAACGTACAAGGTTGAGCAACCAATCTACTTATGTGCTTGACTACCCGAATATAGGTGAGACGCCTTCTTAATTTTGCTGAATTTTAGGTACTCCCGTAGTGTGTGTACCAGGTTAGGGTTAGGCCATAATTTTATTCCGATTTTCCTTATTTCAGTTCTATTACGAGTTTGGGGACTGTCCGTGTTAGCCAAGTGAATATACCTCCTGTCCAAAGGTTCCAGTCCCTTTACACAACTTGATGTAAAGTAGTCGAACAAAACTAGTTACCTCCATATTGGTACACACACTTCTGATGCGCCGAATCTTTCTTTCATACACTTTAAGTAAACTAACATTTATACATTTTACCACCGTACCGAGTTAATGAATGCTGGTAAGCTGTTGCAATTACAATATACGTCGATCTCGGTCTATTGGTTCCATTTATCAACTCGGCGGTGTGGCTCACCGTGCTAAGCGTTAGGAATACGCCGAACCGCTGATTACTCTACGTCGGTTCGCGGGTTTGAGTTCCACGCGGGGATAATTATGTGCGAGAGGATTGCTGGACTTCTCGCCGCCGTAGGGTAGTTTGCGTAACCGCTGGTCGGTTACGGCTTCCTCCACCATCAAGTCCATGCTTCCGAAAACAAATACCTAACTAATCCCATACCCGACATGGAATGGTAACCGGACGAGAGACCGTGGTTCGCCATGTGGTTAAGCCGTATTATCGGCTTTCCTTTCCCCCGGGATAAATATGTAAATCCTATCCTATCCTATCCTATTGAGACCAACAATGTGTCTAAAAGTAGTTTTATTGCTTTTGGTATATCACGGTAACAACATCCGCTTTCATAACTTTTAATCGTTTGGCATAAAGAAGCTTATTTACTTTTTAAAAAATGTTAAAGGCATATCCTAATAAATTACAATTTTGCGAATATATTCTCTTATCAGGTATTTATATTTAGATCTACTACATTGTTTGACAATTGCGTGGAACGTTGTACAATGAAATATAGACTAGAGGATGGAGAAAATCATTTGAAAACACGCGATTATAATCGCCACAGAGGTAAATATTCTACGTTTATGTCATATACCACGCTGGGTGTAGATTACGCGTCAAAGTTTGAAGTCAATATTGTCGCTGCCTACGCCGTGACGCCGTGTTCGAATTATTGGTTATAACCCAACCTTAATGTATCGCGGACCCCCGGTCTAAAACCACTGTTATGTAAACGAACTTCTGTAGAACATATAACAACAAACTTGATAAATAAAAAATGAAAAACACTCGATAAAGAGATCGTCCACGAGTTTTGAAATCCACGAATGGTTTCACCTCGTTTTCTTTCGCAGAAAAGGGTTTTGCTCATTGTGACAATTAGTGCGAATATTAAACTTACCATTTTTAGTGTTTATGTTAAGTGTTAAAAAGCTATAGGTAGCCTACTAAGTTTACTGGCAACAGAAGGCTGCAAAGCGGTTTTCAAAATGAACTTTAACACTACTGTTTGATTTATTTGTTGATAGATCGGAATGTGAATCAACTTGCCCATTCAATTTATTACGACGAAAACGCACTTTATTATAATTTACGCATCGTAAATCGTAAAACTACCTTTTACCTACCTAACCACATCCTACTTTATTCTACCCTACTCACCTGAATAAACATGGTGAATTAGATTTATTTTCAAATGAACGTGGGTTGTTAGATGTTTTATAAATACAAGAATTACTTTTTACGAAACCGTTTGCGTAGCGCGTTTTTTTATTATTATTTTTTGGCGTGCCACATTGGATCAGCGTGCATCGTGTCGGGTACCCCAGTTACATAGTAGTTCATGTATTACCGCTTACACTTGCCAATATTTTGCTAAAGTAGCATATAATAGTTGGTCACTGCCCTCGGGATAGCCCGCTAAAACACTTTGGACGAGCAAAATAAACTTCTCTTTTGAAAAGAACTTTATGAATCTAAGTTTAAGGGGTTTATGTTCACCACCGACCTATAAATAAATAACAATGTATATATATATTTATTTCATGTTTTTTAAGCAGCTGAAATATGGCTCAAAAAATAGATTACCTAATTGAAAAAAGACTCATCGTTGCCAAGATCAGTGATATTGGATAAAAAATGTTATCAAATTAAGTGCGAAATATTCGCGTGATCTGTGATTAGTCCAATAAAACGGATACACTCTTTCCCTGTACAACGCACACACTTACTGGAGTCTGTTTCAGCAATATGACATGTTCGGAAAAACACCAAGATCGTGAAGTTTAAATAATATATTTTGAGTAGTTTTACCTTTGATTTATAAAACACAAATATCATAGATTTGCATTTGTGTGACTCCAGGTGTCTCAGAGTTAATCTGAATTATGGTGTGAGGTTTCCCTTATTATTGATTTGTCGAAAAGTTCTTGTTTGGCCTTTTGATTGATGTTTAATTGATATTTCGAAATTTATTCAACTTCACTAAATTAAATTGCTTTTGGCGTAGTACTTAATCGCAACTGTTGATTTAATAATATTCATTCTGTCAGATTTGTATTTATTTTTTCATTGTTTTTAGATGTTCTTGTTTCATGAACTTAAGATCGATGATGGGAACAAGACGGAAGGCAGCATCGTTTAATATACAGATAAACGAAAAATGCTACTAATATATAATACCAAATAAGGAAAATAATATTTTACATGTAAGTTATATGTTCATGTCAAACAGTATTTTTATAAGCGACACTGATTTTCCTAATTTTTCTGAATTAGGTACTGTAGTGCATTTTGCCGATTTGAATCGTAATTATTTGCGGCCATTTTCACTATTCATCAGTTGGATTAACTGAATAAAATAGACTTTTACCTCACTTTGTGGAAGTATATGTTTACATCGGTAAACTAATTGACGCAATATTTGAAAAATTATTATTATGCATTTCATGTCAGCCATAATTTTTGTGTACAATCATAACATTTTTAACAATACCTTATTAAGCTTTATCGTATGCTCTCGTATACGCCATATAGTGTGTATTCGGCATCAAGGAAAATGCGCTATATGAAATATATTGTCATTGATCTTAGTTTTCCCACCATTGATTGCAAATTCAAGTTAATTTTCTAAGCTATTGTGTCTTGAAGGAGAATGATCAGAAATAGAAATCAGATCAGAAATTCAATCTCGTTCTGTATTATTTTATATAATTGATCTAAACACTTAGGAGATGCTGTCAATGATAATTTGTGTGACTTTGTGCAAAACAATCCAGATGTATACCATCTAATGTATTCTGATAATACTTGAACAGATAAAACGAAAACTAACTTATCATGTTATTAATTCCATTTCCTTTTTTATAGGTCAAACCTCATTGACACCGAGGAAGATAGATGACGATTCTGTGACAATATCAGCACAGAGGAAGGCGTTGTAAGCCCAGTTTTTGTCCATTTTGCATATTTGACCTTGCCAGCAGTATTTTTGATACAATATTATTTTTGCTAATTTTTTTTTATGCTTTATATACAAACTCGGGTTTGACAAGTCAATATTTTACTATTTTGTACACCATACCAAGTTTATCTTGTGTAAGTATCGACTCCTATTCAGAGAATGTGTACCATATGTTTGCGCATACGTGACAAGTTTTTAAATTTTGAATGAGGTGTTGAAATGTTTTTGTAAACAAAGTATTTGTACGAATATTGTTTATTCAACGTTTGTGGTTTGCAAAACTGACTATAAGTAAGTCCAAGTGGAAATTTATATTTTGTATGTTTTGAGCATTTCTCGTTTATTCATTTATTTGTGAACTTTTCTGCTTTTTTCACTTTGCTCTTTCATAATTTTTACTTGTGACCGTGTCAGTAGTCAGGCTGGATATGCAGTGGGAACGCCGTTACGTAGTTATCTAAATTATTATCAGATTGAGAGTGAAAGGCTGACTAGGCTGTAACTTTAGGATGCCTGATATCTTGAAACGATCATTGGTTGAAAAATCTAACTTCATCATCAGTCATCTCGGTAACTTGTAATGTCACCTGTCACCAAACTTGTCATCTGGCCATGTTTTATCAGATCGTCTCGAGAAGGAATTGTGTGTTTTGCTACAGATGATCCTGTGAAAATTTGTCTACTGGTGTCTTGGGTAGGTATTGTGCGAGTATTAGGATGTGAACCAGAAACATGTTCACAATTCACATACAGTATGCGAACAATTGTCTTCTAAGAATCAAGTGCACACCTCGGCGTTGTATATATAGCCTATCCTTTCTTTCTGCCACGAACCAACGTTTTAAGATCTCATTTGATTTGCTTGTCTTTGATATATATATTATCGAAACGACAACTTGTTCGTTGGGATCATTGGTTCATCCAGATATAGATTGCAGCCAGGGGGTTTGATGATGCTAAAACTTTGCTAGTGTGGCTTGAAAAATGGTGCTTTCTTGTTTATTTGTTTTATATTTTTCTTATTCACGCTCGGGTCATTTTCGTGAACACACTTAAGGTTAAAGACTTATCTGTCTCAAGACATGGTCGCTGCGAAATCTGGTATATATATATATATATATATATACGTTAACACTGTTGTTGGATGAATCGTTTTAGTCTTCCATTAGATAGGTCCAACATTACTAGGAAATGGGCCATTTCTCCTCGGTTACGACGGTTTTCCTTTTTGTTAAATCGCTATTTTGAGTCTACATTACCAGGAAACGGGCCACTACTATCTGAAATCGGGATAACCAATTAGCAATGCATATACTTCTGTAGTAAGTAAGCTAGTTAAAAACCTTTGAATTGGTGGAACAGTCTGGAGGATGGCTGTTTTGGTGCTGGTGACAAAGTTAATATATATATATACTCGTATATGTATCATCGGGCCTTTATCCTATATGTAAATTTGGTCGCTTCCGAAGTATGCGAACGAAGATAGCGCACAACCTGAACCCTAATCTGGTACACATACTGTGTTCAGGTTGTGCGCCATATTGGGGACATACTTTTGGAGGTCCGAAATTTGTTTGTTCTGTCGCGACCGGGTGGTACATTTTGATTCTTATCTGGTGCATTGTGCTTGTACGTTCTGGTGGTGACCCTAATGCAAGCAAGAGTTACTTGGAGTGGAGTCTGACACTGGGAAAGACAGCCACTTAGTACCACTAGTTTCGACTGAAGTACTTGAAGAAACAACATGTGAATCTCTCAAACAAGGACCAGAGCGAGCCATCGAGCCAGCATGTAATTCAGCTTATCGTCCGCCGTTCCAGCAAATCCGGACAAAATAGCGATCGAAAAATAATGTGAAGTCTTTGAAGCTCCAAGGCGATGGATGGTCCACTCATCGTATAACTTCATATGGCGTTATAGCTGTTTATTTAATCACAAGGAGCATTCGGTGCATCTCGTCACAAAACCTCAATTTCGTTTACACGACCCTACCATTGATGCGTTGTGTTTCATATAAAATGCATTGCAGAAACCACTACATTTTAACTCTTCATTCAATTAGTAACGTTCTGTTGCCATGCTACTTGAGAAGTTCCATTATCCACAATTGAGAAGACTAACCAATTTAGACGCGTATATACGATTTTTACTTCAGTTTCTTTCCTTTCTTTGCTGGCGAGGACATTGGTAGGCCTAGTTATTTTTTTTTTAAATTTTGCCATCTAGTCATCCATCTAGGCTATTTAGTTTTTGCTACAATTTTTTTTTTGCTGTCATAACTGCTGTAACTAAATTAAAACTTCGTGTTGATGTTATTGTCCTTGTCCTTCGTCTAACTGATGAATTCTTGAAATCGCCCTCTTAAGTTTTACTTAGTATATCATATTCTACAAGCACATTGTCGCTTGAGTTTCACAGTTCGGCTGCAAAGCCGGAGAGTTCACATTGTTTCGCCACAACAACGCAAGATCGGGGAAAGTTTCAATCGGCGTGCATTTTTCCGCTGATAGTAAAGGATAGATATTAAAAAATAGCAACGCAGGAAAACACAACTGCCATCCAAGTACCCCTGGAAATCTTTCCGTGAACCCATGTAGGTTCTCGAAACCCAGGTTGGAAACCCCTATGGTATATGTAAGTATGTCCAACCAGTGGTGGAATTCAACTTTTTTTGTCAGCCGGTTTCATCACATATTTTTCAGTCGGTTCTGTTACAAAAAGTCATGTTTTTTCAGTAATGCTAACCGGTTCCCTGATCTCATAAAATTCTGTGAGACTGTTCTATAGAACCGGTAGGAACCGGCTGAATCCCACCACTGTGTCCAACCCAATATAATGAAAAAGGGAATTTGAGCTATATACACAAATTGCTAATTTAACGTTGGGCACACATATTAGGAAATCCATCCTATATTGGATCTACTAATAAAAAGCGTCCCACGTATTGTAAATTTCTCTCTCACAGCTATAAAGTATGAGTTAAAAAAATTTCTATCTGTATTTGGTTTTGATTGTAGTATTTTAGTTACTGTTCCTTTAATTTTTCATATTTTTCATTACGTCACCGGGTGTCAAAAATTGACTATTTCTTTATGTATATTAATAATATTTTCTAATTCCAAACCTACTGAATATATACGGAAAGACAGAATTTTTGGAATTTGATGCGAGAGGCCGCACTTTGGTTGAAACATCCTACAATTATGAATATGTATTACTGCACAACCTATTTGGTGTGTTTGCACAACAATAGTTTGTCACAAGAACACATTCGCATCGCCATCTACCTGACGTTCAACAGCCTTGAAATTCATTTGAAACTTATTTTACAACATACAAATAATCTTCAGTTCACGAATCTGCTCTTTGACGAGAAAAAAGTAAATATTCAAATTATGCAAAATGATACAATATATGAAAAAAAATATGGATGAAATTGTCTGCGTACTATAACATATGTTAATATTTTTACACGTAAAGCAATAACGGTAATTTTTTATCTTTCCAGTTTCAATGCACAAAGTAGCAGATCAAATCGAAGAAGTTTCCAATAAGCTAATCAAGATGGAATGTGATTTTCCTGCCCCCTTTCAAAACAGTAATAGAATGGATTGATTTTGGAACAGCAATCTCTAAACCTTCGTCTTCTACTGCACTTGAGGGACTCCTAACAATTTCTTTATCAACTGGAATTTTGGAAGTCCCATTTGTCGGAAGAATACCACTCTTTCTATCTTCGAATTCGTCGACTTTTGATCGTTTTGGTGATGGGGAGTCGTTATCACGAAATAAATCCTCGTCGTGATCTCTGGAAATGTAATTGCCTTGAGCTAGTCTTAACAATGGTTTCATCAATTCAATGTTATCTTGAATCATTTTTGTTGGAAATTTCGTCTGATGATGGACTGGTAGTTGCAAGAGTGGCGTGACGTAATTGCCCATCGGCGAAATGCTTTGTCGCCCTTGCATCGTGACATTGTAGGATTTTGAACGGCACGAATTTCCACCGGCGTCTATGAGATGTTTTAACATAGCGCGAAGTCTATTTTTACCAATCCATTGATCTGAAAACTTAATTGAACGATCGACAATGGTTGGGTCTACTGGGTGCCGATAGAATGGTCCAGATTTCGGAATATGTGATAAATATTTTTCATATACCGCAAATATTTCCCGTTCACTTGTCACATCCGAATAAATTCTTTTTGGGGTTATGCGGATTCCATTAGATTTACCAGTAGCCACCATCATAGATGTGAGAGAGGGAGTGAACTCTAAATACATTGAAGACTTTTCGTCGTCCCTTTGATGAATTGCGAAATTTTCTGATCGTAGATTCCAGTGATCATCAATATACTGGATACCAAAAGTTTTGTGATTATGCCAGAAAACTGCATTCAGCAATCCCTGAGCGCTTTCTACGTTCAGCCCCCTATTCTTCCATTCCAAATTTTCTTTGGCATATCTGTCATGAGCAGCTGACAATAGGTCGCTTTTAGGAATTCTATTAAGATTAATATCGCTTTGATTTAAAAGTGATGATCTTGGAACACTTTTTAATGATGTTGCTCCATTGTTAGTAAGTTCTTTTATACGATAATCGAGAACAGATCGAAAATTACTATAAATGGCATTGCTTCTGTCAAGAATACATATAGTTGGTTTTCCAGCTTGTTGTCTCAAGTAGCGTTGGATTCCCATGACAATTTGCATCAGAGTGTGTGGGGGGTAGGGATTGCCATCTTTTCTACGGATTTCCTGGATGAAAATAAAGTATATGTTGTAAGTTGTTAATTACCTTTTTCTGTTTGTAATATTTTGATTTTTCAAGTTCAGTTAAAAAAGGTAACAATGAAAGAATATTATTTTACCAAAACGAGTACACTATATGGTAGGTATCACCAACTAGTATCTACTTTTCTACTAATCTTAGTACAACAATAGGCGCTCCGGGAGTATTCGTACCAAGATGACGCACAACCTGAACACCCTAATCTGGTACACATACTATGTTCAGGTTGTGCGCCATCTTGTTACGAATACTTCGAGAGCGCCCAATTTCTAAACGATAATGGAGTAATCATTCTCTATTTGAGATTTACATAATGTGTGATGATTCCCAACTTAATGCCTCGAAGATTATTTCTGAATATTACATTTTTAATACCTATAATCAAGATTAACTTTGTAACAGTAGTTTTTATAAGAGATCTAACACTCTAACGATAAGTGCAAGCAACTTCACGCGTGGCATAATTAACAAAACTAACATTAGTTTAGTCTGTAATTATTATTGCATCACCTCGGGTTTCAGTTGCCATAGAGAAGATGGGGAAAGAACTTTATTACAGTTTCAAGCCCGGATCGAGCTTTATACTAATAACCCGAACCGGCTCATGGCCAAGTAGGCTCAAAAGTTGAAATATTTTAGGGAATTAGGTAATTAGGAAAAATATGAATAATTGTCTGCGCAGTGCGTCATAAACAATATACATGCTGTCGGAACTATATCACTCACAGAGAAGGTAAGGAAATAGTCAAAACTTGTTCAGCCAATAAACAATCATAACAATAAACCGCCTAAAATGACCGATTAATTATCCAGAAACTGACAAAAAATAAACGCTACGTGAAATGTATATTCTCCATCACCTGTTCGAATTTTTTGACAGCAAAATAGCCCTATCCGTAGTCTTAAATTAATTTTCGTCGTTTTTAAGCCAAAGATGCGCTTTCCCAAGCACAAATAATAGTTGATGGGATCCAAAAAAATTAATGATCAAGCTTACCCTGACAAAGTTGCACAACCAATAGTCTAATTCTTCTTCGGTAGCTTGGCCGACATCAAGTGGAACACCTTTATACGGTCCAGCGAAGCTGTCTTCCTATAGTTTTGGAATTATAAAACAGAATTTTTAAACATTGTGTTGTTTGCGTACGGTATTTTGATTACGAATTCCATATATCTCAACTGGACAGGGAAAAGTTAAATTTATTATTTCAATTTTGACATGCATTCAAATAGATTTCAATATTGAAAAAATTACCAGCATATTTCTTTTACGAGCCCATTCCCTCCACACGTTGAAAGCCCAACGATTCTGTTTCTTTGTTCTTTCTGGTATTCCCGGAGCTTCTGCGGGCTGAACGTCATCAAGATATCGTCTGAGCCTTTGTTGCATTAAATCATCCATTGTGAAAGTTGAAGATGACGATGGGACATGAGCCAATATCAAATCACTGGAAGGCGAGGGAGACTGAAAATCATTCTCAGATTCATTTTTGTTTGGTGAATCTGTGTTAGAATTGTTATTATTGTTGTCGTTCTTGTTATTGTCACTAGCACTGTCGAGATGAAATTGTCGAAGGCCCGTTTCGAACCGCTGACTGTCGGAATCTGATTGTCTTTTTCTAGTTTGTAAAATACGTTCTGCAAATTTTGCTACAAAATCAGGTTCTCCTGTTGGTGGTGTAACTGGATTTAGATCTTCAGGGGCTAGTTTCTCGTTTTCAGATTTTGCCAAATTGCTGTTGCTAGAGTGTGGCGATGATGAGCCCAAATTGGTTTCCTCTACTTTGGCTTCGTTATCATTCTGTAACGTTTCCATTTCTTTATCGCTCGCAGCAGACGATTTCATTATATCTTCAGTGTGATTCCTTCTCTGAGGTGCAGCTGCTTTTCTTCGACTTCCTTTTGGAAAAAACTTGAGCCCACTCAAACGTTCTCCAGTCGTAAGATCAAGAGCGTCCATTTTGCATTAAACTATTTTAAAATAAACTAATACGTTTTGCTGTCGACTTCGTAATATAAATTGAAAGTGTAAGCGAAAAAAAAACTAAAACAATTTATTACTCAAAAACGAAATTCACATCCGGCGTCGTGCAACGCCAAACCCGAGTACCAGTCAAGTACCTTCATTAGAAGGTCATTTTCAATGTAATTTGTCGTTATAACGTGGGTATATCTCTTAATTAGATCATTTAACGCATCACTCTATCTCATTCGCTAACGATAATCGCACTGAGTCAAGCACGACAACGCGTCAATTATATACTAAAAGTTATCAATCGATTAGTTCGTCCAATAAGCTCTGTACTTTGCGATTGCTTATTAAAATATTATTTTAGAGAGAAACCCGAGGAACGCATAAACTGGCACGGAAACGCAGCTCCTATTTAGGACTCACTGCAAAAATATTCCGTAAAATACTAACATACATCCGAAAGTGTGACTAATAATCAAATTTATATATAGTGTAATTTGTTACGTTTGGCTGTCGCTAACTCCAGTCTAATTTAAATTGAATTGAATGCAACCATGCATGGACATTGACGTCCGGCTTTCTAGACTTCACGTTGGGCAAATTTCTAACTCAAAAGGTTGATTCATACTTGGCGCGTTTTGCGACCGATTATACGCCGATGTTGACAGAAACAGTTTGGGTTGAAATATAAAATGTGATCCCTTCTTTATTTTTGCTTCTTCAAGCATAGTCTTATTATATATAAAAGTATTAGAAGATAAAAAGAATCATATCTTCTCGAATCTTATTCGATTTCCTTTTTCAATTTAGCATTTTCGAACATATTACGCGTTGAGGAAACAAAATACTTGAATTTTAATCCAAATATGGGATTGTAAATGAATGAAAATAGATTGGGATAGGTAACGTTCAATATGAAATACCAATACTATACCTAATCAATTGCTCGTTAACTAAACTGTTTTTCTTCTTTGTACTGAAACCATATGTTTCAGAATAGGAACTTTTATTGTTTCCGATATAGCCGAATACTGCATCGCGCGTAAACGTTTTTCCGTTCTAGGTACTGTATTATTCACTTGTACACTCTCATTTTCGCGTCATCAATTTAAAATTTTAATATGTCAAGGCATGGGAAAACTGTGACACTTGTTCTGATCTGGCGGCATAATGTTTCCTGTACGGAAATACTTTAGCCTATTTAGCGCAATGACATGTTAGTGGCGCTTATTACGAGACGACACAAAGAAAGAGAACTTTTCCTGACTTGAATTACAACTAGGTACGTGGTACCACAGAACGCGCCTACCCAAATGGTACTATTTTATATAAATATCTTGATATATCTTAACGCACACTTGGCAAAATATTGCAATAAAACGATACGGCACATCGAATAGAATTTTACATCAAAGTCGTGTCGGCCACTTGTACGATTGTCGCTAGTGTTCGTAACCTGCAAAGATTTCCGTTCAGAGCGGAATATGCTCGGTACATAATCGCCCTTTATCAAACAGAAAGCCTCAAAAAAATTGCACTGAATTCATATTTATTGCCATTGCGTGATAACGATTCAAAATATAGCCTCAATAGCTATTAAGCAACTTTACAGAGCTAACCCACAAAATTAATGTATAACTCGGCTGGGGTATACATTTATTCGAGTGCAAGATAGAGAGATTTTGTCTAGGCTAACGTTTTAATGAGAGCTTGTTTGGTTTAATAGGGTTCCGTGTTCACCAGTTCAAGTATACACAATACACTGCTATACGGTATTACTTAGTTGCCATTTCACATAAAGCTTAAAACAAATATTTAAGTTATTAAGTTTGATGAGCGTAGTCAAATATATATTCCGTGACAAAGAATTTAGCCACGTCTAACATTTCATATTGAAATTGCAGCGGAAACAATGTAATGCGAAAATGTAGAATCATGCGTGTAAAATAATTGGCGATATTAAAGCGAATGCAAAGTTGCATAAAATACATTAAAAGCATTCTGATTTCTTAAAAGTAAAGTTCAAAGTTCATTGCATTATATGGGTATGTTTTTATTCAGATTTATCTATGGTCATTTTCCAATATAATTATACAATTGAGTTTACAGAATTGCTGAATATTGCACAATACGCTGGGCGATCATATTTTATTACCGAGACCTGAATAATAATATCATTACAGTGGTCAGTGACAAATAATATTATCATATCGCTCCTACAATGCAAGTATACAAAGTAAGAATAAGTTGTATAATGAGACCTAGATCAATTGCTAATAATAACCCAGCTTAACCATTCAATTTTTACGTACTTATGTTTAGGCATTCTAAACATATTTCCAAATCCTGACTACTACACGTTCAGTCATTCTAACTTTAAGCATTCGAACTAACAACTAAAACAAGTCTATTGTTTTATTCTTTCGCGAAGCCGTTGAAAGTTTCGCTTTTACAAAAACAAAGGCCGAACGTTTGTTATTCGTTATTGAAACTTCCTATCCTATAACGATACACGGATAGACTCGTCGTATTTGTCAGGAGCGTACACAAGAATGAAATAATATTGTAATGTTTCTTAATTACCAATATCTAATTGTGTTCTCAGTGTAATTGGAGAATCGCGAGAGATAGTCTTTTATAATCACAACACTTATTCACAAAAGGGTCTATTCTTTTTTCACAATGTAATAGCCGATCTATAAAGATGCGTTGACGCTCGTGAAAAACATGATAACGATACCGGGCGGCTAAGATGTCATCATTCAAAATAACTGTATATGGTTCACAAGAAGCCCGAATAATAGGTATCTAAATTAATCATTTATTTTTTAAAACAACATGTAGTCATTTTCACTCCCACAGCAGCTGGACCTACTCTCGACGGACAAAGCTATCTTAGCACTACATACAAGCATATTTGAAAATGTAGTCTAAAACCAATTGCGTCTTACTAATTTGATGTACCTTCAACAAGGCACTAACTTAGTCTTTCTTCTAAGTGAACGCATTAGTTGAGTAGACTTTTGAGTGACGACAAGAGGCAGAGAACAATAGATTTCCTCGCTAATGAATATCGGATAAGTTTTGTTGAAAGTTGCCGTTAAAGCGACACTTGCTTTGTCTTCGTTTTAAAACGAATTATTCCTAACGGCGTCTATCAAGTGATCCTCCTTGACAACCAAGATTGGTACAGATGTGCAATGGAGTCATGATTTATCATTTCTTATTGCAAATTTTTTTTAAAGATTATGCTTTTTTCGGTTTTATTTAAGGATTTTATCACATCTTTACTTCGACGAAGTAGAATGTTTTTCTGATTTTTTACAACCTGGGCAAGGTTTTGAGAATGACTCCCCGACTTTTGAAAAAATATATTAAGATAATAATATCAGATTATATATACTAAATATCTGTTGCTTGGAAATAGCGAGTTAACAAAAAGGGTGTGACTCTGATTACGGAACACCAAATAAGGCATGCCAATTTTTTGAAGAAAATAATATTGAATCTGGCTTACCCAATTAGCTTAGCTAATGTAGCCAAATTGACTGTCTGCATGGCAATTTTGGAAAATAGAGGTCACTAGGTTAAAGCTCATATTACACAAGTAAATTATAACCATGCCCGATTATCCGAGAATATGCGGTTAGGGTCTGACCGCAATTTTGCGTATATGAATCTGATGGGTCTCTATCGTTGAGTGGCGGGAAAGCTTAGTTGAGAAAAACCCAACCCGCGCTCAGGTGTGCACTGATGTTACTGGAGAGGAAGACGTGTTATACACTCCAGGTTTGACTAGACCACTGGAGGTTAGAGTTTCTCCCCCTGTTGCTAGGCAAGATATTAGGAGAAAAACGAGGCCGGTTTAGTTTTTGCATGGGGTTTACGTGGTAAGACGCTTCTCGCTGTCTGACCTCTTATCTCGATCACGCATAATTTTCGAAAATTTGAAGGTACATTTATGTAAACAAAAGTCGTTTTTTTATATTTATTTTCTTGGTAGTCAATGCACTAGTGCGTTCACACTTTTTGGAAAGTTTATATGCATAAGCAGTTCAAGCACCTTTATGATGACCCAGCCGATCACCAAAGAGAGTCTTCATGTTGTGGTTTGTCTAAGCAAATTGGGGAATTGTAGCTACTATGAATCGATGGGAACGCTGTCGTCTTATATTTCCAAGTCGGCCCCCGTATACGATATTCTACAAAGTGTAATCGTTCCCTCGTCTACGCTGAGCCTGTCATACCTGTGATTCCCTGGAACTTTACCTTAATTGTTGTCCGTAACTTCCTTATCCACATTGCGATAACCCTGGATATTGTCCAAATGGGGCAGGTGCATTGGCCCATTGTTTGTTACAGGAAGCTAAACTAGTTGGAATTTGAAGGAGGGCTGAGTTTAAGCCAGTGCTAGCACTGTCGACTATTGAATCTCGACATTGGTACACACGTGGCCATGAGCTTCTGAATAATACCGATGTTAAATAGCGATGTCGTAAGTATGTTTCACCAGAAATTACTAAAAAAAGTTTGAAGCGTTTTCATATTCAGCAACTAATAATATACTAGTTTTCTTTATCTGACGTGTGAGTGAAATGTCTATTCAAGAAAGTAAAGCTAAAAATAAGAAAATTGATTTTAAAGTGGAATGGCTAAATACAACAGTGAAGTGTTTGACACTAATTTGCAATTTTGATACCTGTATGCATAAGCTAAAACAACTGCTAAACTTTGCGAAACTTATTGCTATTCCACACCAAGGAATGTGATAATCCACAAAGTTTGTCGGGAAGTGGCACCTGATAGTGATTTGAAATAGGAAAATCATGGGAGGGAATAAGAAGTTGACTTTCTGAAACGCCATTTAAATCTGTTGTGTATTTACGTCATAGCTTGTTGTTTTAACACGGACTAGATTTGTGATTATGATGTCATAATTGTTTTCTCGTAATTGCTCCTTGCTTTTACCTGTCTGCGTGCTTGTTATTTATTCTTGTGTTTTGAACTGTCTAGCGCAGTGTTTCCCAACCCGAGTCCGCGGTCTCAAATGAGTCCGCAGAGCGTTTAAATGAGTCCGCAACGAGTCAGAAATTCACTGCGGGCCGCAAACGTTTTTGCGAAACTTAATTAAATATTAGCCAAGTTAGGATTTGCGTTAGAATTTACAAAAAAAACATAAAAAGTCAGTTTATTCACATGACATTAATCGCGTCAAAAATTACTGGTTACTGAGTAGGGCTGGGCTTATATTCGAATATTCAACTATTAGAATAGAACGGTTCCATTATCTTTGAACCCGCGTACATTTGAACCCAGAACAATTGCACCTGTATACTATTGCACCTATGGACATTTGCACCTACGGACATTTGGACCCATACATTTCCACCCATGGATTTTAGCACCCGCATATAGATTGAACCCGCGGACATTTGAACCCGTGTACGTTTGCACCCGCGTACATTTGAACCCACGTACATTTGCACCCGCGGACATTTGAACCCATGTACATTTGAACCCACGAACATTTGCACCCACAGACATTTGAACCCACGTATATTTGAACCCGCGTACATTTGAACCAACGGACATTTGAACCCGCGTATATTTGAACCAACGTATATTATATTTGAACTCGCGTACATTTGAACCCACGTACATTTTCACAAAAAATGTTTGCCCCAACGGCAATTTCCAGTCGCAAATAATTTTCATGTTACAGGCGCAAGCTCAATATTCTAAATTTCAACACTGTTTCACTTGCCCGCCATTTACCCGCTTCTACGAAGCAAGCATTTTTGAGTGTCATTGTAGTCCGAGGGATAAAGTCTGTTAACGATATAAACAACATTGTTCTGCCAAGGTTTTTTCTTTAGCTGTTTTTTTTTACATTGACATTTGTGAATCCTTATCTCATTCGTTAGCCGCGATCTCCAAAACAGACGATGACCTAGAAAGCGGTATTTCGTTGAAATACCTGAAACCAGGGCTAATACGGAACAAATATCTCACAGACCAATGAAGTTATAAATGAGGGTCTTACTAAAACTAGCTTTACAGTAATATTTTTAGTGGTCAACCCCTATAAATTTGTTCTGAAATTATTGCACCGAAAACGCCTACTATGATATCCCGCCCAGCATGAGATTTGGGAGCTCTGTGGCCACTTCATGTTTTCTTGCTAGCATGTTTTACAAAATTGTTATATGTATGCATACACGACCACGCTTTACTGTTGAAAATGAGTGTTGTCTCAAATCAGGTTTTGCCATTTTTCCTAAAATCAATCTATAAATTGAATACTATTGTCTGTATATAAATAATTAAACGCACAGATTCTTCGTTTCTAAGAAAATATGAAATTAAGATAATGAAACTATGCCATTGTTGTAACAACATGTTCATAGCCAAATGCCAAATGACAGGCCATTCAGCAAACCCCATATACTCGGATGTTTGCATCGGAACATTCCTTGTAAGGCGTTGTGAAATCCTTCTACAGCGTTTGTTGTTCTTGGGGCCGAAGGCATCATTATAATCTCTTTGGCATAGTTCCACAATCGAGGGGGAAATCTTGCTTCTCTTGGACGTGAACCCATTTGAGGCCCACGAATGTAGGTAGATTCAAAATATTGCAAAAGTTGATTGCATTCGGGCGAATCTTCGAAGGTGTCGCAAAGCAAGGTGAAGACTTCGGTAACCTCGTTAATGGGAACAGAAGCCAGAGCTGCCAAACTTCTAATTTTCAGATTGAAAGAGGGTAAACATTCAATTCTCTTTTAATCCGATAGAACCAACTTTTCGAATTATAGCTTGTGACAGGTGAAAATAACATCCTTTAATATCGGCCAGAGGAAATTGTGCATGGAATGCATTGATAGCTGCTATTTCAAAATCAACAATGATTTTGGTGTGGGTTAGCATTTGGGAAAATGATTTTCAACACTTCCAACATCTGAACGTATGTTTCTTGTCGCTTGTCTCGTAATAGGAAATATACGCATGGTGGATAGGATGCGCCCACTTTAAAGTGAATTGTATACAACTGGAAGAAAATATCGGGCACCACATCAAATGTACCGTCGCCAAGATATGTGTCACTATCTAGATGTGCAAGTAGTGATCGATCTCCAATGGCCATTATCCGATGATGATCCTCCGGGCCAGTGTCATGCAAAATGATATCTAAATATTCGCTCGGAATATCAAAGCTTGCACTTGTAGGATTCGTACGTGAACAATTTTTCTGTCGCCTTACTCTGCGTATATTGGCCTTCAGAGTCGACTTGCCTGGCAAACGCATTAGTACATCTGTTGATCTATTATTCAATACTTCACCTAAAATATATCTTGTCGATGTATTTGATGGTGTTGATGCTGCTTCTTTTAATGTTGCGCGGATGATCCCAACTTCAGTCTAAATGCTGTCGCCAGAATGACTGTGATATCCTAGTTCTTTTATTACATTTTCACCGATCGTAATAACAGTCGATTTACATTGAAATTTCCTAAACTGACGGCAGCGCCAATGAGTAGCATCTGAAACCCGATCATTTCGCTTACAATATTCGTGGCCTTTGTAAATCAGTAAGTCGTTTCCTCTTGTGGTCTTGGAAAATGTAGGCGCCATGTTTCCAACTTATTTTCGCAAAGGGACTTGTCATCTTCGCAGCTGCAACGTCCTGAAGAAACAGTTTGGAATTGTCTGCGAGGGAAAAAGGGCATTGATGCGAGGAAAAACTTTGCGCGGGATCGAACTATCTGCGAGGGAAAAAGGGCATTGATGCGAGGAAAAACTTTGCGCGGGATCGAACTAACACATCAATTAAAATCCTTGCTCGCGCTCTTCAAGAGTCGTCGACCGTTCAAAGCACAAATCATACTCCCCAATTTTGGCTCGCATTCTACAGCGGAACATTTTGTCCATTCAGTCTTATGATATCGACAATTGCGATGACAATGACAGACGGAGTATAATATAAATATATAATATAATTTAAATATATAGAAAATAGTTGTAATAAAGCCTTCGAGTATATAATCGAGAATTCCATGGTGTTTTCGCAACGTATGCATTTGGAGAAAGTGTACCTTCCAATCCTATATACTATAGGGTGTATATGTAAAGACGCTAATATCCGTAAATGCAAATGCCCATGGGTGTAGATGTTCATGGGTGCAAATGTCTGTGGGTACAATTGTACGCGGGTGTAAATGTATGTAGGTTCAAATGTACGCGGGTTCAAATGTCCGTGGGTGCAATTGTACATGGGTTCAAATGTTCGTGGGTTCAAATGTACATGTGTTCAAATGTCCGCGGGTGCAAACGTACACGGGTTCAAATGTCCGCGGGTGCAAATGTACATGGGTTCAAATGTACGCGGGTGCAAACGTACACGGGTTCAAATGTCCGCGGGTTCAATCTATATGCGGGTGCTAAAATCCGTGGGTGGAAATGTATGGGTTTAAATGTCCGTAGGTGCAAATGTCCATAGGTGCAATAGTATACAGGTGCAATTGTCCTGGGTTCAAATTACGGGTTCAGATGTACGGGTTCAAATGTACGTAGGTTCAAATGTGCTGTCACCGAATAGAACATTTACTAATCGAAAATTTGGTAACACGTGACGCAACAGGTCACTTGCGAGTCGCTTAATCGAACGATTGGATTTCACAACTCACTTGTGGATTTCCGACGAAAACAAGAGTCTGTACACGCTTCGATAGATTCGTAATAGGTGTTTCTCGCTAGTTCGAACAACGAGGAATAAATTATTTTTCTGGTAGGTGTAAATGGTGGCAACCCAAATTTTCTAAATTGAAAAGCGGTCCGCGACCGATTAAAAACGCTTTTTTAGACATTGCAAATCGCAAAATTTCGGGTGCTACCGTAGTATACGTACCAGGGCATTTTCCTTCAGGATTATCTGCCTCCACATTAGTCATGTCGCCCAGTAAGTACGCACAGTAGTAATGTCGAATTCACACAGATTTGTCGAAATCACAAAAATATGAATCAAAACAAGATATAATCGAGCACTTTACCACGCATTTTTGTGCCCACGTATTGTCATAGTATTTTCTGAGTAGTCTTGCTCTTATTCACACAGATTTGTCGAATTCACAAAAATATGAATCAAAACAAGATATAATCGAGCACTTTACCACGCATTTTTGTGCCCACGTATTGTCATAGTATTTTCTGAGTAGTCTTGCTCTTATTTCGTCAACACAACCGCAGATTAAAGAATCACACATGTGGATGGATTCGTGGATTGAATATTTTATGCAACAGGAAAAATCAATTATACACCAAAATATGCAATTCCTGCTACAGCATCCTTGCATTACATGCATACGAATCCACTAGCGCAAAGGCATAGAGAAAGGATTGGGAGTTAGTCTCGCGCAACCTCTACTGATCGTTATACACCAAAAAAGTCGACTCTTTTAACGAACACGTAATGCGGCGAATTTCCGATTTTGAGATCCGTTAAATTTCTGTTGTGTTTGGTTTCATTGCTTCTTTACACAGAGTACGGTTGCAATAAACGCACCTTCAGTCCGCAAAGGTTTTCGCCGGTGAGAAAATAGTCCGCGACCAAAAAAGGTTGGGAAACGCTGGCTAGCGTTATACCGACGTCTTACTTTGCCGTATGATAAACTGTAATATTTCTGTCTACTGGTGATTTGGTAATACCCAAGACATCACACTGGCGACGAGTATGGGATATTATTGCCTATAGGGCGAATACATGTTAAAACGAATCAACGTAATCTAAAGAGAGGCAGAAATACCCGCTCGATCACTCAGCAGAAAAATCAAGCTTCGGGAATTGAAAATAACGGCATCAATTGAAATAAAGTCGTCAGTCATCTAAGTAAACAGTTATCACTATTTAAAATCTGTGAAATGGCGGTGGCAATTGGCTCAATCGGAGAATTTATAGAAGATCAGAAAGACTGGCCTACTTATGTTGAAAGACTGGAGCAATTCATGATTTCTAACGAAATTGCAGATGGAAAAAAAGGTCAGCGTTTTCCTTAGCGTCATTGGGCGTAAAACCTTCATGCTTGTACGTGACTTGGTCGCCTCTGAAAAACCTGCCACTAAAACATTCGCAGAACTCTGTAAAGTGTTAAAAGATCATTTGTCGCCGGAACCACTGGTTCAAACGGAAAGATTTCGTTTTCATCAACGAAGTCAAAAACATGGAGAAAATGTGTTAGCTTTTTACGCAGATTTAAAGCGCCTCTTCACCACATGTGAGTTCGGTGCTGAGTTGGGAAACACACTTCGCGATAAACTCGTAAGTGGACTGAAATGCAGCCACACACAAAATCGATTGATAACTGAGAAAAATTTAACACATAAAAAAGCATTGCAAATTGCTGTAGAAGTTGAAATTGCTGCAAAAGATACAAAAGTGCTTCAAGGCAAAAATACTGCAAATTATGAAAGTGAAAATGCTCATTACGTAAAGCGTGATGCAGCAAGGAAATGCTACAGGTGTGGTAAAATTGAACACCATCCAGATAAATGCTGGTTTAAAGAGAAATATTGTCTTAATTGTAATAAAAGAGGTCACACCAAATTTGTGTGTAGATCTAAACCACACCACATAAGAAGCACCCAGCCGCGACCTGGGCGTCAACAAAACTGCACTAGCGAAGTAGAGAAAAGCGTCGCTGCAGATAAAGTGGCATCGAAATTTCTATCGAATATACAAGTGGCAAAAGTAAATGAAAAAGAAGTGTCCGGCCATGCCACTGATATCATATGGATACTTGTCAAAGTAGCAGGAAAAGTAATGGAAATGGATACGGGAGCAGCAGTATCGATAATATCGAATAAAGATTATCAAAAACATTTTAAAAATGAGAAGCTCACACCTACCGCTATAAAAATGAAAACATACATGGGTGAGCCATTAAAACCACTTGGGCTGTTACCAGTTGAAGTTCAATGTGGATATGAAGCAGCAAAACTGAAATTGTATGTGGTCGAAAAAGGTGGATCACCATTAATAGGAAGAGATTGGATCAGAGCATTGAAAGTTAACTGGAATGAATGGGACGATGTGAATAGCCTAAATCCAAATGAAAATCCAATTGATATGAAAAAGAAATTGGATATTTTGCTGAAAAATTATGAAGATTTATTTAAAGATAAATTTGGTACTGTCAAGGGCCATCAAGCTAAATTTGTATTACATGAAAATGCATCCCCGGTGTTCAAGAAGGCACGTCAAATAACCTTCGCCATGAGACCGAGAATTGAATCGTCCCGAAAAAGAAGGAATATTTACCAAAGTACCACATAGTGATTGGGGAACACCTATTGTAGCTGTAACAAAACCAAATGGTCAAATACGTCTCTGTGGTGATTTCAAAGTAACTGTTAATCCAGCTTTGAAGATTGATCAATACCCATTCCCAAGAGTTGAAGAACTGTTTGAAATCTTAGCTGGTGGACAAAAGTTCACAAAATTAGATTTGAAAAATGCTTATTTGCAATTAGAAGTCGATGAAGACTGCAAACATCTACTCACATTGAATACACACAGAGGACTGTATCGTGTAAATAGAATGGTTTATGGAATTGCATCAGCTCCAGCTATCTGGCAACGGGTTCTGGAACAAATTTTGCAAGGATTGCCTAAAGTGGCATGTATATTAGATGACATGATCATCACTGGATCAAATGATGAAGATCACCTCAAAAATGTGGGAAACGTCTTAAAGAGATTAAAAGAATATGGGGTGAGACTGAATTTAACAAAATGCGAATTTATGAAAGATCGTATTACTTTCTTTGGCCATGATATTGATTGTAACGGACAACATATGACAGAGAAACTTGGCAATTGTGGATGCACCGCGTCCTGAAAATGTATCTCAAGTCCGAGCATTCACTGGTATGATTAATTTTTATGCTAAATTTTGCAAAGAGCTAGCAAGTGTGCTACAGCCAATTTATTGTCTATTGAAAAAGGGTCAAAAGTTCATATGGTCAAGGCATGTGAACAAAGTTTTCTAACTGCGAAACAATTGATTGCATCTGATCAAGTATTAGTGCATTATGACCCTAAGAAACCAGTGAAATTGAGTTGTGATGCTAGTCAATATGGTATTGGTTGCGTATTATCAAATGTAATGAAAGATGAATCAGAGAGACCCATTGCTTTTGCGTCACGAACATTAACAAAAGCAGAAATGAACTATTCACAAATTGAAAAAGAAGCTCTGTCCATAGTATGGGTGTGAAAAAGTTTTACCTATATTTATATGGTAGACGGTTTACACTGGTTACAGACCATCAACCACTAACATCCATTTTCCACCCGGATAAATCAATTCCAAAAATGACAGCTGCTCGTTTACAGCGTTACGCAATGTTTCTAGCATCACACCAATATGATATCGAATATCGTAAAACTGAAAATCATGGTAACGCAGATTTTTTATCAAGATTTCCATTGTCTGAAAGTTCACATACAGATGATGAAGAATATTCTTTACGTTGCATTTTTGAAGTATTGCCCGTCACAAGTACGGAAATAAGAAAAGCAACCACTAATGAGCCAATATTGTCTAAAGTGTAGATTTGGTCCTGAAAGGTTGGCCAAACAAAATCAAAAATGATGAATTACAACCATATTTCAATAGAAGACATGAACTCAGTGTTCATGAAGGATGTTTATTGTGGGGAAACAGAGTTGTAATTCCACCTAAATTACGTTCAAGAATTTTAGAAGAACTACATGAGTCACATCCAGGCATAGTCAAAATGAAAGCATTGGCTCGATATCTGTCTGGTGGCCACAACTTACTAACTCAATTGAAAATAGAGTAAAAGAATGCGCTTCTTGCCAGGAAACGCGAAAAATGCCTGCAAATGCTGAACTACATATGTGGAATTTCCCTCAAATGCGTGGGAACGAATTCATGTTGATTTTGCAGGACCGTTCATGGATATGATGTTTTTTAGTTGTAATTGACGCGTATTCAAAATGGGCAGAAGTAATCCCTATCACATCGCAAAGAACTATCGAAGAACTCCGACACATATTTGCAAGTGTCTGACAATGGACCTACTTTCACGTCGGAAGAGTTTGCAAATTTTATGAAGAATAATGGCATACGTCATTCACGATCTGCACCATTTCATCCGTCAAGTAATGGTATGGCAGAAAGATTTGTCGGAATTTTCAAGAGTTCTCTTCTCCGAGGGAGGAAGGAGAAAGGTGATATTTTACACAAACTGGATAATTTCCTACTAGCGTACAGAAATACACATTCGACAACGAACGAGTCACCAGCCATGTTATTAATGAAGCGATCTCTACGATCACGTTTAGACTTGGTCAAGCCTGATCTAGCATCAAAAGTTAATGAAAAGCAAACTAACGTGCAAGATTCAAAAAGAAATCGTAAACAGATAACGTGCAAGATTCAAAAAAATCGTAAAACAAGATATTTTGAACTTGGTCAAGCAGTCTTGGCTCGTGACTATTCTAGCAAAAAGAGAAGATGGGTCAGTGGCACAATTAATAAACATCTTGGACCACTGACATACCTTGTCAAAATTTGTAATGGTGTAACTTGGAAATGCCATATCGATCAGCTGCTGAAAGCTGAAAACGACGAACTTTGTCGAAGATATGAAAAACCGGAATGGTACAATTGGAACCGGTCAAGCACATTGACAGATGACAATCTTGTCCAGCCACAGGGTAATCAAGGAGCACAGCAACAACCTATACCCAGGCGCAATTCTCTCAGAAACAGGAGGCCGCCTGACAGATTAAATTTATAGTGATATTGATAATGAACATTGAATTGAGAGGGTTCACTGTAAATGTGTTAATTTAGTGACATTGTTCATTTCTTCCTAAGGGGAGAAGGGTGTTGTGTATTTACGTCATAGCTTGTTGTTTTAACACCGACTATATTTGTGAATATGATGTCATAATTGTTTTCTCGTAATTGCTCCTTGCTTTTACCTGTCTGCGTGCTTGTTATTCATTCTTGTGTTTTGAACTGTCTAGCGTTAAGCTGCGTTATACTGACATCATACTTTGCCGTATAATGAACAACGAAAATCGATCGAATATCATGCCCAACACCGTGATATTTTACCAAATTTTCGTTTAATTGAATGGCAATCTTTCCCCGCTTCATGGCTTATATTGTGAGTTTCATTGTGAAATATATAATAATTGTGTTATTGTGCGTATATTTTTAGAGTGGCATTTTATTTCCCACCAGCAACTCCGAAATTTCCCAACGGTTGGGAAGCACCAACGGCCGGCAACCAACTTGCCTAACGTTAAACAAGTCCATGGACGCCATCTTGTGCCATATTTGGGAAACGCGAAACAATGGAGTCTTATGGGAAAAGTTCGTCGTGTTGTTGTACCGAATCGAATAAGTCCGCTGCTATAAGTGCTAGAATGAAACTGAAGGGTGGATTTTGAACTTTAAGATATATGCTATCTAAATATATAACGCAATTAGGAATAAAAAACTATCTAATGCGCAAAATTTGACCACAAGCACAGCGTAGAACTATTTTTGGTCATTTTTTCAAAGATTTTATAGTGATACGCTAATTTGAGGCTGTAAAATGTCTCCGCAACAATCCTACAATGTCATTTGTTCTTCTAGCGCAGCTTGGAGCTAAGCAGTAGAGCATTATGGAGCTTGACAGACAAAAAATGTTGACCAGAAAATAAAAAAGGCCGTTGAAGCAAAGTTGGGTCGGCCGGTAATTTCGACGAATAAATACAACTTTTCATCTCTGACGTCATAAGGAACGCCATTGTCAAATGGTTAATTATGACGATTGGAATGGCCAATTTACTTCGGAAGCAACTCGGAACCGGTATACTTGTCTTCAAAGACAATTTAATGTACTATAAATGTAATTTAGCCAACATGAAAAGATATAAGCATGTACGGCTAAGATTCTACTTCAAAACGCGACCTTCAAAAATTTTCTACCCAGAATATTAGTGAAAATATGAGGTATGTTTCAATAATTGTGTTGGAACTTCTCATAAGGCGCCGTGTTAAATTGCCGAGAACAATAGGCACAAGATGGCGTCCATTGTCTTAGCATTGCCTCGCTTATATTATATATACGCTTTGGGAAGCACTGGTCTAGATTCTCTTGTGCTCGTCTGAAATCAGAAAGTGCGTTGTGCAATGCAAGCGTTTGGTTCAGCGACGCGCAACCAACGTGTCATGTCCAGGTCACGTGTTACAGCAGGTATTTCGAATAGTGAGCCGCTGCATATCCGAATATTTCTCCCAGTCCTTCTCAGTAACCAGTAATCATTGAGTTTATGTAATTAAAATGTTGTAAAGCTGCTGGGTAATATGTAAATTCTCACGTAAGTCAGCTGTTATTTCAGTTTGTTGAAAACGTTCGCAGCCCGTTCAAATTTCTTCATGTGAAATGGCTCGCCGCACTAAAAAGGTTGGGCAGTCGAGGTCTATTTCGTATATACAGTATTCTCATTGATTATGGAATCGAAATAAATAACTTATACTAAATCCTTTCCTTAACGAAACACTTTTATTTCATTGATTATGATTCATTCAACAAAACAAGTAATTGGTATCGCGGGGCGAAGTGCCTGCAAGTCCAAAAGTATGCAGGTGTAGATATTCAGAAAAAGAACTCAGGTGCAAAAATAATGGAACTCTACGCACTGCCAAAGCAAAAGGTGTAACAGGGGGCGCGGCGACTCTGTGGGCGACGCGTGTTTCGCTTGTGCTGTTGGGCCATTTGGCGTGTGCAGAATGTGCAGCATTTTTATAGTTGAAACCACAGGCACTGAAATATTTTATTGGCATGGTAGGATCTTCAGGTTTGCTGTCTAATCTTTGTAGCCTAAATTTTGTTTTTCCCACGCTCATATAAAATATTTAATCATCTTCACCATGATAACATTCGGGACAACAATCAAATGGAAATACATGGTCAATGCAGCAATGGATTGTCAGATTGTTGATATTGAAAATATGAAATACGATATAATTCAATATTGGGTACCATTACCGGTAATGCTATATTAATTTTTCTTCACTTATCCAGAATTTTATACCAGGAAATTGGAATTGACATACAAATAATTTTTAATTCTTGAATTCACTTTATTGGACAAAGTAACAAATTCCATTTCAGATATTGGCACTGGAATTCAATTTGGCAAATAAAGTGGAGAGCAGCACAAGGGCACCAATAGCAGTATAACCCAAATGAATTTATTTGTTTATTATTGCTGTATTTGTTTCCTGCCTTAATGTTTTTAGGGGTTAGGTTGAGATCAAATCATGTTGTCAATCATACTAAAGCCATTAAAGTTGACAGCTTATTACCTGATTATGAATTCAGGTATGTGAAATCAAAAATCAGATAATTATAGCAATTTATAAACTACTTCAAAGGCTATTTTTATTTCAGAAGATAGATTTAAACACTTGATAGTATCACAAACCACATGGAATCTCGGTACCTGAATGTGTTCCTGTTATCAATACACTACCGGTATCTCATATTTGGATTACTAAGTAGCTTGGTTTGATGCATTATATCACAGAAAATTTATGTGAAATACTGCAAAAAACGACTGAAAAACATTCTGACGATAATTCAGAAACTTATCACATAGATTAAAGTAGACAGCCAAATATCATATGATGACTTTTCTGGTAAATACCTTGTGAGCAACAGGCCTTGTCTTTTGGAAATTTTGTCACAAGAGATTGGAAAAGTGCTGTTGAATGGACTAGTAGAAAGACTGTGAACAATTATACAGAGGTTTTGCCTAATTTTGATATTTGAAAACAACATTTTGGAAATGCCAAAGTCCCAGTTGCAGATTGCAACAAAAAGTATTTTAACAGCCAATGCAAAACGGAAAACTACTTTTTCAGAGTTTATTACCTATTGGGAAAAATTATATTACACAAGGCTACAAGGAGAAAGGACCCTTGTTTGTATTTGAAAGACTGGCATTTCGTGAAATCATTCAAAAATTACAAACTATATAATGTGGCAGAATATTTCCACAGTGACTGGTTAAATGAACTGAGTGATGATGAAATTGAAAGTGATGATTTCCGCTTTGTGTACATGGGCCCTAAGGGCTCTTGGACACCTTTTCATGCAGATGTCTATCGTTCATTTAGTTGGTCTGCAAAATATTTGTGGTATTAAAAATGGTTATATTTCCTCAGGTGATGAACAATATCTAAAAATGTAAATGCGAACTTCCATTGATGTAACTGCTCCTGAAGAATGCAGGACATGATATTAACCCCATGCACAAAAGCTCATTGTCTGACAATAGTACAAAAACCTGGAAGAGTTGATATTTGTTCCTTCTGGATGTATCACAGGTTCATAATCTTGACGATACAATTTCTATTAACCATAACTGGTTGAATGCCAGTAATATTGATATCGTTTGTAATTTTTTATGCTCAGAGTTTGAATTGGTTAAAAAAGAAATTATTGATTGCAAAGAATTAATGACTGAAAAGGAATGGCTAAACCAATGCCTAATAATAATGAAAGCGAATAGTGGAACAGATTTAAATGAATTTGTTCAATTCTTAACAAAAATATCTAATCCACGTATAATATCACTGCAAAATCATTTGCAAAAACATCCCAAACTAAGATTCGCCTGTGAATGTTCAAATACAGAATACCAAGACAATATGCGAATATACAGTGTTCTCAAGACTTTTTTAGATAGAATAAAATTAGAAAATGAAGATGATACAAGTTTTCATGCTACATACTGTGAGCTTGTTAGTGACAAAAATCATGTTTTTATGGAGTCTTGTGTAAATCACACAATCTATGACCTTTGCATGATATTGAATGCTATTAAAATAGTTTTGAAAAGCGGTGAATATGAAATTTACGGAAGTTGCGATATAAAAAAATTGTTTCACAATGTTTTTAACAGTATCTATCTCTTTTGTGAGTGTCCATCAATGTGATGTGTCTTAAATTACGTAATTTTGAAGCCATTGTTTGTCTCTGAACCAAAGGTCAAGTCAGAATGTTCGCAAATTTTAATTGTTGCTGAGTCATAATATGTTTCATAAAACAAAAATGAAAAGGATAAATACGAGGCTCAGTGGCACTATTAACATTGGAAGTCACATGAAAACAGGGGTTCTCCCCCTTTATACTCTCATTTACCCCTTGGCAAATTTCAAAAGTAAACTTTTACCTTCTTATTTTTGTATACTGTCAATTTCATGTGTGCTGTAAGTAAATTATGACTACAGTTAAGCTGAGCTAACTTGAGTCATTGACCCACCTTAAGTATCATTTTTCAACTAGACACTTAACAACCACCACTGTGAATTGGCTTTTCTTTTCTTGTTTTTTGAATTTAGGGGATAAGTCAAAGTTGACCCCATAATATTATCATTGTGTTTTAAATATTTCACTGAAACCATCATAACATGTGAATAATCTAAATTATTTATTCCAAGTTCTAAAATACTATCTAATTTGTTTATGTAAGGCTGAGATTGCTTATAATAATAGTGTCCCGCTATTAGCAACCTGGGTGAGAACAGTTGCATTTACAAAATTTTTTTATTTTGGTAAATCAGAATAATTTTACAGTGAGTGGTATGTGTTGATCTAACAAATATTTCAATTACTGATATTTATTTTTAAATTTTATTTTCAAGATTCCAAGGAGATTGTTTATTATAAAATGCTTAATACTTCTATGAGAATCATCTGTCATATGCTTCTTGTTTACTACAGTTAGTGCTTGTTATAACTGACATAGTTTTGTTGTGTAAAGATGAATTCTGAACAGGTACTATTTTTTTGGTATATTTTTCATTTTATGTTATATCTTTCATTTTTGTGCTATTTTGTTGCTGATAATAGATTTTAATGAAAGTTGATTTCATTATGGGCTATTTAATTTTTGAATGACTTTTTTTGAATAATAGTTTTTTATTATAATTTACCAATTTTTTCTAACCATGCACTACTACTAACCATAACATTCTATTAACATGCTGAATTTATAGTTAGCCTCAGAATACTGAAATGAATTGTTATAAAATTGTATGGTTTTTACATATTATCTAGCCCAGGAGTGTGCAACCTTTGATACAGGAGGGCCAGATAGAAATGACTGGATGAAACCGCGGCATTATTTAACATAATTTTTCTATTAGTTGCTGGCACACAAATTTTGGTTTTTGATCTTAAGACATGAATTATTTGCTTCTCACAAGCTAGCTGTTAGAGCATTGTATCGTCATAGGCATAGATAATAAATTGGACCCAGGTATAGGCTTCGCAATGCAAAGGGATTGGAATTACTAATTTGAAAACACGTTTCGCGGGCCGCACATCATTCAAAATTGGCACTTCTCCCCGGGTCACACAATTTTTCCGTGAGGGCTGCAGGTTGCCCACCCCTGATCTAGCCTATATATTTTAATAGATTGTCATACAAATTTCAGGTGCAAGGTACCAATGACAGCAGCATAGTTAGTAAGCTTTCTATGGTACAGAGGGGATATTTTGAAGATGATTTTATCAAATCTTTTGTTGAGAAACCGTCACGTAGATCTCCTCTTATAAATAGATGTTATCATGCAAGAGCAGCAGCCGTATCATACTGTGTTGAAAAATTTGTTACAAGTGAGTTAAAAAAACATTCTATGTCGAATGAATCGAATATTCGAATATATTCAAAATTCGTTATATGGATATAAAAAATTTAAATTTAGGAATAATTTATTTGAAAATTGAGCTGTCAGACAAGCAGATGAAAAAATAGTGATTTATGCAATTTTCCACAACTTGTCCCCCATTTAGAGTGTATTTGATAAATCATATATTGAGTAATTTTTTTGTCAGAATGTATTCCAAATATTGGAATACCGGTATTTGATTTTGGCCATCCCTGTTCCAGGTGACCAGGGTTACATATAATGAAACCAAATAACAATTTCGAAGGAGAAAATCAAAAGAACATTTTTTATTTTGGGCCATATTTTAAAGTATGAGATGCCTAATTCTATGTATGTTCTCAGAGAAAGATGTATTGCAAAAAGAAATGTCTTGAATGGTTTGAAAGACTTCTGGCAATCGTCAAATTTTATATAAATCTGAAATTTTGTGATTCATCGAAGCCAACTATTTTTTGAATGTTTTTAATATTTTGCTAAATTATTGCAACTCTGATTCTATCTGGTATAGGCCTAAATATTTAGTTTTAGTTTAACAAAATAAATTATATCTTTCTTCCAGGTGACAAAGACATGAAGCAAATCATTTCACTTGGTGCAGGATTCGATACAACCTATTTTCGTTTAAAGCAGAAGGGTTATATGAAAAATATTCAATATATTGAAATTGATTATCCAGCGGTCATGAAACGGAAGGTAGCACTAGCAAAGAGAGCAAATCTGATTCTGGAAGATGATGAATTAGAACACAGAACTGAAAGAGAGCTTGGATTTCTAATCTATAAGTAAGCTACCACCAAATATATTTACTGATGACATTTTCAAACAATTTGGCTCTGTTGTTTTGAAGTATGAACTTTTTAACTATGATTTTTTAGAAGCTGTTTTCCATTTTGTATTTATTTTTCAAGTATAAAATATCATTGAATTTCAATTCTCCAGAAACCTTCATTGCGGTTATTGAACTGATATCAAATAATTCACAGATGTATGTATGTAGACCTAAACATAATCAATGGATACATTTAATTTTTTATTAATTTTATATTTTTACTTCAGAATGTGATATTGTCTTTTGTGTCTACTCTATACCCTATATTTTCAGATCTGAAGAATACATATGTTTGGGATATGATTTGCAGTTAGTTGGGAAGCGACTACATGCATTGCTTGAGTCGGTTAATGTTGATTTCAAGAAACCAACATTGTTTCTCTCTGAAGTTGTGTTGACAGTGAGTCTTATTCCAGTGTTCTACGATATAAACGAAGTCAAAATGCAAAATTAGTTTTAATCCTCTAAATCAGGGGTGTGCGACCTGCGGGCCAAATGCGGCCCACAGGTAAAAATTGTGTGGCCCTCGGAGAAGTGCCAATTTTGAATGGTATGCGGCCCACAAAACAAGTTTTTAATCTGGTACATGCGAGCAATTCGAATTTCATTGCGTTGCAAAGCTAATACCAGAGACCAATTTATTATCTATGCCTATGGCGTTACAATGCCCTAACATCTAGCGTGTCCGAATCGAACAGCGCATGTCATTAAGATCAATAACCATAATTAAAAGCCTATGTTATTTAAAGGTGCGGCCCACGGTTTCACCCAGTTATTTGTATCTGGCCCTCTTTTAATAAAAATTGCACACCCTTGTTCTAAATGTTAGACAAATTAACCAGTATTTTATATTTTGTACAACATTTTCACAGGTACCCATATTTAAACAATTTCATTTATAATTGATTTGAAAATCTTGAATTGTTAGATAATCAAAATGTTAATCTAAAAGTGTAGATAAGTGTATTGATTTATTGTTTTTCATTAACAGTATTTACCAGCCAAAAACTCATCATTGGTTTTACAATGGATTGCAAAAAACTTTTACAATGCTGTAGTTGTGGTATTTGAGCAAGTTAATCCTTGGAATAGTTTCGGAAAAGTCATGTGCAAGTATGAGAGAATTATTTATACAATTCATACCTTTGTCACTCTGTGTGGTACTTATGTTAAAAATATTTTAAATTTGTTTATTTCTGATAAATTTTATTTGATAAATAAAGTTATTATTCAAGATCGGAGCCAATATTGAAACTGGGTATTTAATTTGTCTTGTTTCCTATTTATTTCCTTGCAGACAATGCTTCCCAATGGAGAAAAGTTTTCATAATTTTTTATTATTACTTGAGCTGAAACTAATCTAGCAATGCAATGGTCATTTAATAGAATTTTCTACCCTAATTCTAAATTCTTTTGCCATATTTTAATACTTTCACCCCTGTTTGCTTTGTTGTACAAAATAGGTTTGATCAAATTTTAACAGACATTTTAAACAGATTGGAAGTCCATTGCTAACCATTGATGAATACCCGACGATTGCAAGCCAAGTGGAACGTCATTGTAACCTCGGTTTAGCTTACTGTAATGCTACAAGTTTGGATCGATTTTACTACTCTTGTGTTCCTGCTGAAAAAAGAAAATTATTGGAAAATTTAGAAATATTCGATGAATTTGAAGCATGGCATGAAGCTTGTCAGCATTATTTCATTTTGTGTAGTACAAACAGCGAAAGTGAAAAATACAAAATATTCTGCAAAATGCTGTTCGAAGATGCAAATGCAATTTTTAAAGGTTTGTACATTTCATTCCTGTATCATGTGTTCAAAAGAATAATGATAGGAAATTGTGTTACAGTCCATAATATTTAAATATTTAAACATACCTAAACTCTACTGATGGCCAGTCATGTTTCATTCTTGATTTTATTTTTTATATCTTCATTCTACTTGAAACTACAGGAAAGTCTCACAGGCTAAATTTGGTAAATCCTGGGCTAGGCTTGAGCTGATCAATGGATTGAGTATAACTCGAGTCCAATGTGTATGTCTTCTCCTCTTCTCCTATGTGTATTCTCAGGTCAAATATTTTTTTTTAGAGAGTCTCCCTGCAGCAGTGATTTCATTGAAGCCTATATATAGTGTTGAACCTTCAGTTAAAAGGTTTGGTCATAGTTCTTCACTTATCAAGGTAAAGAAAAAGGATACTGGTCAAGAAAGGGAGGTTAGTAAAATATAGCTTCTACCAAAACAAATTGTCACTCAATAATCAATATACCTTTTGGCTCTACACCCAATTCATACAGTACATCGTGATATTTCCATAAAGTTTCAGTCGCTCTTGGTCTTTCCATGGTAACCTGCAACTCCACTCTGAGATTAGTCTCTTTCATTCACAAGTTGTATGTGACCTTGTTTTAAACAAATTTTCTTGAGAAACAATTCTCTACATGGTTTACTGAGATGGGTGTTTCGGTACTCCCATATTATGTGTACCTGGTTAGGGTTCGGTCATAATTTTATTTTGATTTTCCTCATTTTAGTTCTATTACGAGTTCGGGGACTGTCTGTGTTAGCCAAGTGAATATACCCCCTGCCCATAGGCTTCCGTCCCTTAATACAACTTGATGTAAAGTAGGCGAACAAATTTAGTTACCTCCATATTGGTACACATACTTCTGGAGCAACAGTGTTTCTGATGTTTGGCTGATATACAAACTGCTAAACTTTACTGAATATGTCTGCGAGCATACAAGGGGGGAATTGGGTGCTATTATTATACAGTGACTCTACATGTTCATTCTCCAATGGTTTAATTTGTGTTTTTTTCAGTTTATCATCGTCATTGGTGGATTTGGCATTCCGGCTGACAGTCTTGCACACCAAAGGCTACATAATAATGTAACAGCGGTTGATATAGCTACAGGCAAATCATATAAGTGCAATGAAACCGATCAAACAATGGATGGAGCTGGTGTATTTCCATTTCCAATGTTTGGGAGTAGTGTTGCTTGCCAACACCATGAAAAATCTATAATATTAGTTTTTGGTGGTAGAGCGTCGCCTCTCAAATGCACAAATTCTTTAGCATTTCTGGTATTTTCTAATGAAGATTTACAAGAAGACTGTGATTGGCAGTATAAAGTGGAAGTTATAGATGTCAAAGAAGGTGAAAATTGGCCTGCGCCAAGGTGGAGGCATGCCACTGAGATTATTCCTAACAATCAAATGGAAAAGTTTATGATTTTGTTTGGAGGACGAGATGACCGATTAATTTTTGATGATATGTGGGTATATGATATTGAAAGTAGGAAATGGAATCAATTAACGCTGCATGGAAGTGGAATTTCACCAAGGTATGTATGTGATGGAATGTCATTTTTTCATAAATGCATGTCTAATATGAATACTCTATCATGTTTTAGGAACTAATATCTATCCATGTTTTTTTTTACTTCATTTCGGTAGTATATTCATGGTTATTGAAAACGATTGAATTGTGATTCAATGTTCATGGTTTCTGAAATTATTTCATTTCTCAACAGACATTCTCATTCTGTATGTGCAACAAATGATGGAAATATTCTGTTGTCTGGGGGCATTGGTGATGGCAATGTCATCTTTGCCGATTTATACATGATTGGCATCGATACAGAAAATCTTGAAGCAAGTGTGCAAAGGTATCTTTTGAACATTTTGTATTTAGTATGCGTGTTCACAGTCGCATCATATCCAGGTCACAATCTCCAATTTTGAACTTTAAATCGGCGCTCTACAGAAGTATGTGTACTAATATGGTGGTAACTAATATTGTTCGGCTACTTTACATCAAGTTGTGTAAAGGAACAGAAATCTATGGGCAGGGGGTATATTCACTTGGCTAACACAAACAGTCCCCGAACTCCTAATAGAAATAAAATAAAGATAATCAGAATAAAGTTATGGCCTGACCCTAACCTGGGACAAATACTACGGGAGTACCCTTTAATCTGCCTTGTCTTTGAAAGGACTGTTATTTTCTCAGTTCTTTCTCAAGTATGAAACTTTAATCCACTGCTTTTTTCTGTAAGAAAATGTTTTTTCTGTGCAACATATAGCTTACTTAATTATACTCTGTGTCGGATTTTTGACTGTTATACTAAAGAAAGTTGATCAAAATACCACCAACATTGTGCCCATTGCGATTCTTTATTCGAGGCAATGGCTTGCAAATGAGTTTGTACAGATTATAGCGTTATGTTTCAGCCTAGTCAGATCTAGTGGACTGATTTTTCAGTATGTGATAACATTTCAGGATCATCTTATACTCTCTACCTCCGCTGTTTTCTCACACTTCTCATTGCTATGGAGATTTGTTAATATTGGTAGGAGGTGTAACATCTCACATCAACTCCAAATTCGGCGATGAAAGAGAGCGTGGTATGATAACAGTATTGAATTTGCAAAATGGAAAGTCTTCATCTTATACTGTAAATGATATATCAAATGATATCATAATGCTTCACAATCATACCAGCATTTTTTCGGTATTACAGCAGACTTTGTTTATTGTTGGCGGTGGTGATAACTGCTTTTCTTTTGGTACATGGTTCAACATTTCACCTATGCAGTTAATATTTGATCAATCTTTAGAAATACATTAACATTTCGTTCATCTTTAATGGTGTGCCGAGAGTCTCTGGGAGCTGGGTTACTGACAAGTCCACTTTGTTAGGTCCGTAGTCGTTGAAGTATAGAATGTACAAGGAATGTAATAAGTTGGTCAAATAATTGTCTTCCATACGCTTGTATGTGAAAAAAACTCTGTCAACATCCAATCAGTGGATTCGAAATAAATGTAAAGGCATACGTAATTCCGTCACTTATATTATAAAGCCAAAGTCTGATCCAAGGAATTTTAAACTATGTGCAACAAACATAAAAATCCGATATTTGAAGTTATTTTAATCTCTCGCCACTTCGATATTAGTTGGGGCGATTATTACGGATTGGTAGATACTAACATATTGGAATGTTTGAGAAGAATTGAAGTCGAAAGCATCTTTACATAATAATTAGTAATAGATCAATCGTTGATATAGTACCGATTCAGATGCTGGGAGAAACATTGAACCCATTGCGTTAACATCTAATGAGTTCGAACATACTGAATTATAAACTAAACTATCCGCAACAAACATTAAAATCCATCTGAGTGCATTTTTATTATGGAAACATTATAACCCACAAAGATTTTAGAAAGTAGATTAAGTACGAGCTGGATACCTTGATATAAGGCTGATCCAACTTAAATCTAAAGCACATTTAGAATGAATCTAAAGTAAAATACAACACAAGTAAAGAAAACAAATACGTATCGAATTGCTGATGCCAACATTGAGTGGGTCGATGGTGAAGTTGAATGAAGTGACAACCCACTACAGCACAGCAATTATTGCCGAATGATTTTAAACGTGCTACAACAATCTTCGCTGGTCTGCATCTGTGTAGGCCAGCGTTTCCCAAACTGTGTTCCGCGAGCGTCTCGCGAGTGTTCTTTGGAAAAGGGATCAAAATAAAGACTAAATTGATCGCCATGGCGATTTCGGGATCGTGGAATTGTCGACCAACTGGTGATTGTTCAATGTCACCGTCGACCTAAAGCGGACTAATTTTTTGAGGGCAGTGGCACTTTCATTAACCGTCAGCATAGAAAGGTAAAATTAATTTATTGATTCATATACACAGCATTTAAAATAGGAGACAAAAAACTATATATATATAGATGGATATTTTATTTCGAAATCTTCACAATCTGACAATACAAACAAATAAAAAATGGAGAATTCTGGAGAGCGGACAAAACCTTTAAAAAAGTTTACAATTACGATGAGTATCATGTGCCCACTCACCAACACGCATTCACAAAAAAAAGTTTGTTAAACAAGGCTTGGGCATAAAAATAAACACACAAAAAATACGCGAATGTAAAAAATTTTCGGACTGTTGTCTACTTTAAAATACTCAAGCTAAGGACCAATTCAATCCGATATGTGGGTGTAATGTGATAAGTTGCCGAGAAGGGTCAAAAACCATGAAAACTACATTGATTAGGCATTGATAACAATGTGATACAGAGAATCAAGACGCATATAAACGAATCAAAACAAACAATGCAATATATATGTAAAATATTCAATCATATTTTAGTTCTGTTAGTTTTTGCGGCGCGTTTGATAACTCGCCACCCTTTTGGGAATCGCTGCACTACACCCTTTTTCTTTATCAATTTTACCCTTTTATTTTTTGGTGTTCCGCGAGGCGGGATTAAATTGTGTAAGTGTTCCGTGGCCAAAAAAGTTTGGAAAACGCTGGTGTAGACAAACAGTTACATTGATTTTCATTCAGAAATGATTGCACCAAGTTATAAATTTCATATTAGTAATATTTATCATCCACGTGGACACGGAAAATTGGTAACTGGTCCTTCGCGTTTGCAGAGTCGCAGTTTTTACCACTTGAGGGCAGCTCCTGCCACGAACGAACCGCGACGTCTCTTGTCATAATTTTATGGCGCGATTCGGTAATCAGTATTACCGGTATATTCACAAAGTCATGTACCAGATTTTAGTTTATCATGCAGAATTATACATACTTAAACCTGAAACCTAACCCCAAATCCTTAAAAACTGTATCCATAAGAAAAATGTTCCAACTTACCCAATATTTGTCACCATCAGTGGCAGCCCTGCTATTACAGCCGACATGCCTTGGTTGCGGGCTGCGGCAAAGTAACTATAGCCACTTTGGGTTGCGACAGCAAATTTTTACCCGTCATTGGTTTTCAATTTGCTGCCATGGTACCGGCATCTCCCCATTGGTTTGTGGCAGCTGAAAAGCCGTGGTTTGGCCATAGTGGCCATGGTTTGAAATTCCGCCATCGTTTTACGGTAGCTTCAGACACCGCAAAATACTTAAACCTATACTTGCGTTTGCAAGAAACCGCTGCCGAATATGGACGCTCTGCTTCGGTGTTGGGATTTCTCGTCGGGTTTAGTACAGTATGTTCCCCAGCTTTTCTTTTTAGGGGGGGTGTTTCAAAATTTAGGGGGTGGTAAATAATTTGCTGTTAGATATAAAACTAGGCTATTTGTATTCTTAAAAAAAATGGTATGTATCTAAGAAACGATGTAGGCTACATGGGGGGCCCCCAAGTTGATTGACGCGAGCCAAAATCCACAGCAGAATGTAATTGTAGGGCCAGAAAAGGGGAGCGCGGAAAAGTGCGGGACGACACGGCTGGGGTTCAGGGCGCGCTCAAGCGCCCTGAGAAAATTTTGAGAAATAGGCACCAAAATAGGCTCTAAGCTTGATTTTAGATACACCTAACATCGCAGTTTGTTATGTAATGAAATCAATAATTATAATATTTAGCTGATAGAATTCCCGGGGAATAGATAACAAGCACGGCTTTCAACCGTAAATATATACTACTACGTTTCAACAAGTAATTTGCAAGTTGCAACTGATAGTGACTAATGAAGTTACTTGCTCATCTGGCATTGTATGAATGGCTACTTATGGCTTGTTTTGTTACACATTTCTAATTTTTTTGAACATGTTTGTTTGACTTTTGTATGAATTAAATTTTGGAATAAGCTCGTCAACTGATCATAATGTCGCATAATGTTGTATTCCTTCAGAACTGAAATATTTTGTTGGTAAGAAGACAAATCGCTGAAGTTTGATTCTCTTCAATAAAGAAATAAACAACGCTGTCATTCATCTAAAAAAAGTCTGTTTTCAGTGCCTAGTTTTCGTTTTGTGACATCTTTAAGCTTTCTTAATATACGGCTGATATCTAAAATACTGCAGTGTGTAATCCTAATACCCATACGTATACATAAGATACCGGAATAATTCAATTGTTAGGAAATAAACGTGCTTAAACTGTGATATTCATGTAACAATAGACGGTATCTAAAACTCAAAAGGTACCACATGAAGTGTTAAACTATTTCACTCAAGTTCGGCGGGCCATTTTAAATCGTCACGCGGACCGTAATTGGCCCACAGACTGCGGTTTAGAACCCCTCAGTGTGGAATCGCACCTCAAAATTAGGGGGGGTGTTTGAAATTTTAGGGGGGGTGTTCACCCCCTATAGGGGGGGTGTAGGGAAATCACTGGTTCAGTATCATATGAAGTCATCTTAACTTATATCTGACTATTGTAGTTTTCTTATATCCATGTTATGTATTCAACAAACTTGTACATTCCGAATTAGTTCGATCCCTCGTCATTTAAATATTAGTTAGGGCGATTGTTACGAATTGACAGATACGGTACCATTGAAGAAGAATAGTCGATATTTAATAGATAAACCGTTGACACAGCCCCGATTTGAATGCTGGGCAAATCGCGTGGTATCCCATGCCACCAAGCAAAAAATCGAATCTATAGCAACTAACGAACAAAAGAATACTAAATGCTTCCAAAACTTAACTTGTTCACCACTGGCGTAGCTTCCACTCCGATCCCAAGTTACTCGTGAGATCCACAACGTATATATTCATCGCAAATCAACAATGCTCTAAACTCAGGTTTGGCAGTTATTAAGAAAACAAAAACAACAACATCCTAACAAAACGATCCACATGTCAATTCCGTGTCCAATAATGGGATCAACCTCCAAATTCAATATAACACTGATATCACCTCGTATATACATAGTGTTGTTGTGTATATATGTAATAAACGTAATATAAACAGCAAATGAGTTACAAAATAGTAAAATTCACAGTAGGCTATATTACGCATCAAAATATAAAGTTAACAATAGTACATAATTTACAGACCTCATTTTATATATATATATTTGTTTTGGTGTTAATATTTTTGAAATTCAGTGCAATGGCGTTATTTCTCTTAAATGTATTGAATTGACAACGCTGAATCATCGTTCTCGATTTCTATCGAGAAACAACATTCGCAATCATTCTCTTTCAATTTCACGAGAATGATTTGTGCTTCAATTAAAATAGATGTAATGCGTTAAATACGGCAACTCATTTTTTGGTGTTTTCATTAATTCCCAATAATTTCCTAAAAACAAGCTTACCATTTATATATATAAACAAAAACAGTGTTGATTTTACAAACCCTGGTTCGATTCCGAGGCTTGGTATTATTCAACTCATATGAATATATATTAGTAATATTCCAATCATTGGAAATCGTGCAATTTCTTTACGGCATTTCGAAATATTTAATGCTGCTAACGTAAGATGTTGAATTGACGCAGTAATCTTTATTACATAAGAATATAGTTTCTTTATCACTGCGAAGTGAGTCGTAAATCAGTGATGAATGGGCCACCTCCATAAAAATAAAAACAATTGATTACTGCAATACTGCATGGACAGGGACATTTAAATCTGCCGGGCGGGACAGCTTGTCAAAACCGGGATAAACCGGAACGTATGGTAACGTTCACTAAAAATATTCAACAACATTTCAAATTGTCCCGTTCTCTATTGAAAGTTCAGCAAGTTTCCAAAGATGACGAATTATTCCAAAATTCATTTTGCCGACTCTAACAAAAATTTCTCACTTGTGGCAAAATTCCCTTCATCGTTTTTTAACCAGACGAGGGCGCTTTAAGCTACTTTTGGTCAGATTTTAGAGTGACAGATCGCTCTAATAAAATACTCAACTCCTTCGGAGTGAGCTTTTTTGTTGCGATCTTAGCATATAAAGTATATACGGTATGTAGCTCATTTGTATTGGATATGCACGAGGAGGCCCGTTTAAAATTTCGACTCTTGGATATTATGTTTATGACTTCACCGTCCTTCTGTACAGTGCAGTATTGTGATAGTACCCTCGCTAGAAGTCGTTCGGTTTGATTTGTCAGATTGTTCTTGTACAACATCTCTGCAAATGAGATGACGTGTGCTACATGAGTTCCGAATTCATCAAAAATACGTGAATACACATCAACTGCAGAATCGTATCGCTTTTTCCGCATGTGAAGATCAGCTAGGTTTTTGTATGCATCAATCCGATTTGGTTCCAGTCGTATTAATCTTACGTATAGCTCTTCCGCCCTTGCGCAGGTAGAGTGGTTCATTTCCAATATGATTGCCAAGTTGTTTAGAGCTCCAGGGTAGCTAGGGTACAACTTCAAGGTTTCCTCGTACTCTAACATGGCGTCTCTGTACCGTCCATTGTCTCGCAGAAAATTTCCCCAGTTGTATCTGATTTTTGCATTCTGTGGTGCTGTATGCACGCCGGAATTGAACAATGTTTCTTTATTTTGCCAATCCTGGTTCCGAACCCACGTTCTTATACCATACAAAAGCATTATTGAAAAGATTATCGCTCTCAGAACTTTATGAATATTATGGAAGCGGTTATAGATATATTCCCAGAAAACGACAAGTAGAATAATGTAGCCCATGCTAGGCATGTACAGAGTTCTTTCTGCAATGACAAAGCCGACGGGAAAAAATAAGTTTGATGCAGGTAGGTAGGGAATAAACAACAAGAGATATCCGTAACAGGATGGATTGATAATGCCCGTTTTCCACGTAGCAAATGCTATTCGAGAGGTTATAATAATTATAGATATTCCAAACAGTAAAGTGACAAAATTGCGAATATCGAATATAGATGTTATTATCGGGACAGTGCCGTAAGACCAGTCATAAAGTAAATAAACGGGTGCAACCAATAGCTTGAAATTAATCCAAACCAGATATGAATAAGTAAGAAATCGAGTCATAAAATTACGACTTTGGGAAGCAGGGTTATCAGGTTTTGCAAATATTGGCTGCGTCCAATTCATTACTGTCAGTCGAAAAATAAGCATCAATGTTATCCAACATGTAACTGCTATTGCGCGATAAACATGCAATACTACTTTTCCTGAACTTTTTTTTGTTGATCCTCTCATGTGAATAAATTCCATTACAAGCATTATTCCCAAACTTGTTATTCCACTTTCTTTCGATAGCATCGCAAATGTGACTAACAGTAGCGAAGAAAAGAAATATATCTTCAACCAAACTTTACAGCTTATGGCATTTAGTAATACTCTTATTCCATCATTCTTCTCATTGCCGTTTTTATCCCTTTTTTCGTCGGAAATTTTACTTCCATGCTGAATTTCTCGCTTCAATGATATATTATAGCACAGAATCGATAGTAGATAGAAGAACGATGACAAAAGTTCAGCTCTTCCGACTATATTTGCTACAGCTTCCGTGTGTATTGGATGAAGCGCAAACAAAATTGCGCTTACGAAAGATAAAATTTTACAGTTCGTTTTGGACTTGAATACTACACGATTGCAAACAATCCAGAATAGAACAGACACCACTGAATGCAGACATACATTTGTAACATGAAAGAAAAATTGGTTGTATCCAAACAGATAATGTTCAAATCGAAACATAAGAATGCAAATTGGCCTGTAAGATTTGTGACTTGCGTTGCTTGACATCGGTGTCCCCCAGAAATCGTTTTTGAAAACACTCGGTAATCTATTCGACCCCTTGACATCAGGATTCCGTAAAATAGCAGGATTGTCATCATGTATAAAGTCCCCATATAATGTGTTAGAATAAATTCCAAATGCAGCGCCAAATATTCCGACACACTGCAACAGACATACAGAATCTATTTTTGGCGTAGTGTTGGCTGATGCTTTCTCTTTTCCGGCCATAACTTTTTCCGAGCCATCTCCAAATTTGCAGTCTTTACTGCATTCATATTCAAATTTTCTGTCATTTCGTTTGCGGATAGACAATTCATTAACAGGAATCATCTTGACTTTGTGCTACATGTGATCCTACATGCTTTTCATTTTGTAAACAGGTAGCATTGGTATATTATTAACTCTCCTTGTCTCCTGACACAAATATTAAAATAAAGTGTTTCAAAATAATTAAAATAGATAAGAAACATTTCTGTACGTACGATGAGTAGTGGAAATAGGGCACGCAGAATATGAGACAATTCGCCGTAACAGTGCCTGATTACCAATTTCTGCGTCCCGTTCATCTGGTTATACCTACCCGATTGGAGGCAGGCGAATGGCTTCGCGATGGATGATAGTCAAACTTTAGAGAATGTAATGCGTAAGCAATATTCGAATAATGATGACACGAACAGTGGATGTTTTATCAAATGTGCTGGTATCTGAATGCAGCTGTATCTCTGCAGTATTTAAAATTCTATATGAAAATAGATAAAGTGGGATGAGTCAACACCAAATGTATCAAAATGAACTTTCAAGTCAGGATTCTTTATCCATAGAGCAGGCCTATTACATGTAATTACTTTGAGAGTATTTCAAATTTTTTGTTGTTGTTTCTTTGTATCATTGTGTTTAATTAATTAAATGCTTACTATTCCATAGTCAGTGTGGCATCCCATAGTTTATTTCGAATTGTTTCTTGTTCTTTCTTTTCACGATTGTGTTTATTCAAGTAAATATTTATTATTGAGTTGTTCTGTTGCTATATTTGCTGTTTCAATTCAGATACAATGTGTCGCTGATTGGATGACTCATTGAGTATTTCGCGACCCCGCCCCCTCATCAACAACCACAAGCCGGTATCCGCTTTTGTAATTAGTGACATGTAATTTATTATTTCATAGCGTGTATTGGTTTTGCATGACGAAAATAAATATCTAAATCTGAATCTGCCACACAGTGGCGTATCTAGGGTGTGGCAGCCATGGCTCATGGGCGCCGTTTGAACAGGGGCGCAAAAACGGCGAAAAGTATCAATAATAAAACGTTTCAGTGAAAGAATTTCAAATTGGGAACAACTGGAACTCGTATTATTACTCAAATAGTAACGTAGAAGTATCCTAATTCATTAATAATCAATATAAATTGTCAAACAACTATCAAGGGGCGCATTTTAAGACTTTGCCATGGCCGCCATTTTAAGTAGATACGCCACTGCTGCCACCTACTCAATTTTTCGACTTTTCTCGGCTCCTTCATCTTAATCAATGTTTAAATTTTATTTGATTTGTCGATAAGTGGCACTTTTTCTCATTATTTTTCGTAAAATGCTCTAATTCAGAACTATTCTACTTCTCGAACCTTTCCTGGTTGCCTTACAGTCCTGTCAAAATGAAGTTTGTTAACGCGGATAAGTCCGTAAGCTAAAGCGGTTTATTCAATAGTACGAATGGTACGATAAATCGACTTTATTGTGCCCTCGGGGTATGTAGTCGTAGCAAGGTGAGCTAAAAGTAATTTATTGTGCAATACATTGTTGAATGATTCAACCTTTATGGAGGGGTAAAGTAATCGAGCAAACAATGCTAACCAAATTACGTGATATATACCATAAAGAAACTGAAATGTTTATCGTTGTACTATAACAATCATAATAATATTTCATTTCGAATTATTTTTATGTGAGAATATATATAATTTATGTTCAGTTGGCAGCACAGCAGGTTATAGTGTGGGCTATTTACTTAGCTCCTGACTGGACTGTAATGAAACGCACCTTCTATTCAATTAATTATATCTTCAAAAAAGACGTTTATTTTAGCGCTTCAGGCAATTGTTATTCGTTATCTTTGCTGACTATTATGCAGAATATAACATCGCAGTAACGAAAAATGGTTACTCAAATTTGAGAAAAAGATGCCAGAGATATACTCGGAGGTTCTCAAGTAAGTGTGCTGGTGAATTTACATATACTAGACTAGAGAACAGTGATATCGATTGTCAGATTGTAAGCTAATATTTTAAAATGTAGAGTAACAACAACTAACTGGGAATATCATGAATTTTTTCGCGATCATGCATTCCAGCAAAGGTACGTACTTGAATTACAATATGCGTATACTTTTCATATATTGTGAGACAATAGCCTCGCTAGCATAAAATATCAAAAGGTTATTGAGTTAACTGTAAATTTTTTTCTCTTCATTATTATTATATTCAAGATAGCAAGACATGCTAGTGTGATGACGTAAAGTGCTCCCCGGTACGTACCGCAGTTCAATCATACCGATCTTGTTAAATGCGTTACCAAACAAATTTTACAAATTCATTAAGTTGATGACTATAAAAATCAAAGACCAATGCTCAATTATATGTACACGATGACGAAATAACTATGTCAAAGAGCCTAACTTAGGCAGAAATTTGGCCTATTATCAAACCCCATATTTCCAGACGCCCTCGTTTCACAGACAAATGTTGTGTTTTCTTTATATCTAAATATCAGCATAATCTTGGAATCGGAGAAGTGCGGGATATTGCCGTAATAAATTACGGCATATTGTACATGCGACGTCAAATTTATATAATTATTTGGCGCAATTTAATACTTGCCATTGAAATAAGTAGGCTAATAGATGAGTCATTTTAGTCCAGTAAAGCAGTAATATAGACTTTTCCATCCGCGGTTAGGAAGCATTCGAAGTTATTCAATTTGACGACAATATGAGGTGTAATTGCTCAATTACCACTGTCTTACTATTTTGTTGTTATATTCGTATTTCCCAATATTATATTTGTTCCATTTCTATACACTAATATTCGATCTGTTCAAATTCTATATTCTATAAACTTTGACAAATAACAAGACATGCCGCATCCACATCGATACTGATCATCGGTTATCACGGCTCAATTGAATAAAATGAGATGTTATCATGAATTAAATCAAAACATCAAAATGCTGAGTGAAATATTGAGTCCCTTTTTATGAGTTATGACACAGAGTTAATTTGAGAAAAAGTACTGGAAGTATCGTCAACTGAAAATTTGAAATCGTTTGATCCATTAGTTGCAGGAAAATGCAATTTCTCACAACAGGAATAACGCCAACAACAAAAACAATCTTTTCAACAGCGATTCACTGAATCTCATATTGGGCTTGTTTTTGATACAGGTGCAAACCCAAACTAGCAAATACAGCCACAAAAATTTTGGTGATTGCTTGTATTTTTACAATTATGTTCTACGTTTACGGCTCCATTCAGTTGACGTGGTTGCAGTTTCCAGTAAAAGAATTTCCATCTACTAGTAAGTAAAATTTACTTTCATTCTGATCCAACTAGAAACGTTGGTAGCACATTAATATGTATTATAATGGCAGTTTGACACTCGGCAATTCATTTGTCACTCTCAGTTTCACTTTACAATACATATTTCAAAATGGCAAAATGAGAAATGTATAGCTCCAGATCAGAATTAATTAGAAAAAATGTTCATCCTATAGTGGCTTTATTTAGGAAGGAGAAGAACATGTATTCTTATTGCTGATGTAATGACACCTTCTTAGAAATTTATATAACAATAAACAAAATTTTGAGAGTATATTTCACGCAGATGTAGAACTCGATAATGAACTGAAACACCAAGTGGATGAAATTTACAGCAAACATTGGAATTTATTCTCTGGAATCCAGGTTGATAAAATAAATGATACAGTGAAGTCACGAACGCATAGCAGTATTGCTGATGAAGGTAAGTTCATCGAAATGCCGAATGATTTACATGTGATGAGTGCATGGTCTGACTTTCATTTCAATTAAATATATATTTTGGATTGGAGATTTTATCTCAAAGTAATTTTTGTGATGCTACCTTTTCAGGAAGCCAAACACATAATGATTCGGGTTTCGTTTTACTGTCGCAAACGGCTAAAGTTTTTGGCCTAACCGAAAAGGCCAAACTTGATTTTGAACCTACCTCAACACCAAAAACAACAACGGTAGAAGATGAAATTACTACAGGCTTTACTATTATATATGATGAAACAACACCAAGAGAAATCGAACTTACGAATGATACGAATCTTGTGACCACCGAAGATCCAGATGAATTTACGATGCCCGATTCAGCCGTTTCTGAAAATACGACACCGATAACAACGACGACCAAGAAACATCCAAATAAAAAAATGCACGAAAAAAATATAGAGACTACGGCAAAGAAAGTACAAAAAGGTAACAGAATATTGTGCAATTTTAAAATAATGATTATGATATTCCGTTAACATATTCCATTTTATTTCAGACCCTGATCGATATAGCACAGTTGTGCATGTTTTCAATCCACAAGATAAAGCGAGAAATAAAATGAGAAAAGACGTTGGCGAGATTTTTAGTAAAAGACGAAGAAACTTAAGAAATGTGTGTGGGTAGTGTGGCAGATGATTTTTTCTATTTTGTTTGAGTTCAAAACCTATTACAGCAAATTATTTATTTAGTATTGTGGGCCGAATAAAGGCTGGATGTGGTCGGATGCAATGCAAATGTTAGCGGTACCGGAACGTGATTTTGTGGTATGTACAGTACAAAAAGCTGGAAGCACTTCCTGGTAAGATTTACTTACAGAACACATACATTGATCTTAATACTGAATAATAAATATATCAATGTGACATTCTGGTAAATCGATGTGTTGAACTTTCACGGATGCTGTAAAAACTGTCCAGGTTACAAGAAAGGCCATAAAATGTATGGAGTTCAGAGTAAGACTAAATCCGAATCTGACTAATACATTTTACATCTTCATCTTGCCATTGCGTGATAATGTTCTTATTTAGGAATCATTTTTCGCATTTAGGCACAAACTGGTTCACGATATGCGATTTCCAGACCAGCAATGGGACGGACTCCGAATAAAAAACTGGCAGTATGCAACTGAGCTCGATAAGTCGACAAGACGCAGACTGATCCATTCTAAGAACTCAGTCAGAGTTATCACTGTCAGGCATCCATTTGCGAGGCTGGTATCAGCATGGAATAATAAATTTCACAAGTAAGTGGAACACAAATTCTGCAGCTTTAAAAATATTCATATTATACATATGTTGGTTGCATTAGATTCTGCATTAATCGACCAAAGAAAACATTTATATATAACATTTCCCTGAATTATTGGAAAGAAATCCAATGATCATGCAATGTATGGATATTGAAAACTCTATAAATTATAAATGAATACTCTGTCTTTGATATCCAAATTTCAGCAAACATTTAAGTGTTTTTATCGCTCAAGATTTCTATACAGTATCATAACATTAACAGCATAACAGCACTGTATTGAATATTGCACAGACCGATACTATTTTAACTTTGAATCCTTCTTTGATCATTTTTTAGACCAATGTCTCAAATCATCTTATCAGTAGCTTGTATGATAATGTGTACTGGTAACGAGAAATAAAACGTTTAGCCAGCTGGTTTAAAATACATCTTCAAATTTAATTTTAATGGCTCACCTTTTGGTCATAATGAATCGCAAATGAATTTACAAAAATACTTTCGCGACTACCATTTGGTATATATATTAGATATATTTATCATTTGGATATTAATTTAAGAGGATATCAATATATATACATGAGAAATAAATTAACGTCACCACTTCAAATATAAAGCAAGTAAATAGAAAACAATCCCGGATGATCATGGTAACACGAATTAATATTTACATCTCGTATATATAGCATCGTTGTGCTTGTAATACTTTGTTTTGATGAAACTGAAATAGCCCTGTTTACTTGCAAATTCAATAAAAGTTGATATCCAAATATTGATCGATTTTGTCTTTTTTGAACGAATGAGTAGTACTGATATAATATCATTTAATCGAATCTCTTTATATGTTTCACTGTTAGAGATTATGTCCAGCAGAATGGAAACAAGATGATGAATTCCATGCCCGGCTTGAAAGCTTATGTTCAGAAGCATCCTCCGGATAAAGATCATGTGATAGCATTTGAGGACTTGGCACAATACGTGGCCGATGTTGGATTAGATGAAGTTGACGTTCACTTGAAATCCATCAGCGAACTGTGCAGTCCGTGTATGTTTCCATATGATTACATCATCAAGGCAGAAACTGCCCCAGAAGACTCTTGGTTTGTTACAGAAAAAATGAATGCAACGCTAAACAGTTTTTCAAGGCATGTTCCAAGCTCAGTAAATTTGCCTGTCAAGGGTACAACTACTGCAGAAGAGAGACAAACAGACGAGGCTAGAGTGATATCTCGTCTTTTCCGAAAACTACCTCGCGCAACGACGCGTGTCTTGAAACAGTTGTATGCAAACGACTTTGACGCGTTTGGTTATACTTTCGATATTAGCACTCTGCTGGCGGGTGGCTTGGCATGAACTTTTGAGGGCGATTGCTGAGTAACTTCAAAATTTACATGTTCTAAAACAGATGAGCACGCTCCGGAATCTTACAGATTCTGAATGCCACAGAAAAAAAAGAGGATTGCGAACAAGACGATATCACGAAGAACTGTGTATTAAATATAATATCACACCTACACTGTGAATAACTTTCGGTTTGAAGACTTGCACGTCCACATTGAATTGTCACAAATTCATCCTATTGTTTCAAATCAAAGATTGATAACCACTACTGACTATATAATAATCAGCCATTATACCTTGACAATAAATGATTAATTTCTGCAAATTTTTGTTGTCCAGTAACTGAACAGCGCTTACAAGGAACTTAATTACTTGTGGTTGTCGCGAATTCACGTTACTAAGCGTTAGCAAGCATGGCCGTTAAGGCTGAGCATGTGAAGTGACTGCATTGAAAACATTGAATGGTCGCGAAAAAATTAATCCTTGTAAAAGTGAAAATATATTTATGAAGATGACGAAAGGTAATTGAGTTGAGGTATTGCATAACAATATTTAGTGCTGTAAATAATTAGAATATTTTCTAACGTAGAAAGAAGTATTATCTACAACACGTTTTTTTATTTTATTTTCCATAATGGAAAAAATAAATCCTTAAATGAAAATATATTTATGATGATGACGAAAGGTAATTGAGTGGAGGTATTGCATAACAATATTTCGTGCTGTAAATAATTAGAATATTTTCCAACGTGGAAAGAAGTATTATCTACAACACGTTATTTTATTTTCCAATATGGAAAATATTTTCAATTGGAAGTTGGTCTTAACCCAAATTGTCTCCTGCAATCCTTGATTCTATATCGAACGTATATCCAAACCTGTGAAAATCTATTTTATACAAATCAAACAACTTCTCTGTTGTTGTTACTGGCACTTTTTCAAAAAAATTTGAAATAATTTTTTGCTCTGCTTTCCACATGTCAAAGTGTTCGCGTTTGCCCTTGATAAATCCATCTTTAACGGCATAATGTTTTGCAAAATTTGTCATATTTCCTCCCACTCTTTCCAATATGTACCACAAGTGATGTAAAGATGTTTCAGTTTTACTAATATAGTCATAAGGAAAATTACATGGCCTGCATAGTTGTTCCACTGTTCGGAAATGTGCGTCTATTCCTTTTAAACCTCTGTCGACGAGATACTGAACAAAATCCTCAAATGCAATAATATGATCATCATCCGCTTTTGAAAGATTGATATATTTTTCAATTCCACGTAACTCACTGAGAATCCTTGTCGACGATTGTAAGTGGTTTCTGTCGGTAAAATAATATTTAACTCGTGCCAATTGGTTCAAATTTTTTCAATTAATGTATACATCAAAGGACACATTTCTCAAAACTTTAAAACAAGAAGTATTACAAATTATATATTTTTTTTAATATATCGTACGTGCGTTTATGATACTTGATATTTCGTCAATTATTCTGCTGAGAGAATTATACTATGATACGACGTTGATTTTATGTTGATTAACTCTAGTATGACAGAATAGTTTTATGGACGGGTAAAGATTTTTGTTCATTTATTTCTTACTTATGAAATTTGTTGTTCCAGCCAGATATTATTCGCGAAAATGGATGTCGAACGGTTAGGACTCTTGTTCCATTTTCGTTATTCATAAGATCGTATTTGACAATTTCAGGAAGGGACATTCCGTGCTCTCGATTGATACCATGACCAATTCCGCTCCAAGTGGTATTTGGATTTCTCAGATTGTACACCACTTTGTGCCTGTGTAAAACAATGAAATTTATTATTTAGTAATTTTTACGGTAACAATTGTTTCTTTGCTTGCAAAAAAGGAATTCAAAATTCTTGCTCCTAATATTTTGTAGCTTTTAAAACAGGCACTTTCTTAGTGGTTTTCAATTGATAATATCTGTTACCATTGCTCAGTTAGCAATGAAAATACAAACTTCGTTCAAGTATAAAAATAGGAAATAATTTTTACTTATTACTTCAGTACATTCTGAAATCAGTAAATTTCATGACGATTTTGTGCCAATCTGTTTATTTTTGTGAGCATCAAAAATTCAAGTTATGAAATTATTTGTAAAATCAAACGTTTTGAAGATTTTTTCATTTAAGGACATGGTATTAGAAACAATACTACGATATTTTGAAGGATACATATTTGTAAATGTCGAAAACGATAAACGAACGCCACAAACTTGCGCCGGGACGAGAATGGATTGAATTAGCCCAAAATAAACTGCAATTTCAGGGTCGAGTTTCATGTCTTTAACGTCACGATTTGCAAAATGTATAGATAAAATCCAGAGATATGATATCAACATTTTGAAGTTCCGAGTTACAACCAGTCAATTGATAATATTCTAAAACGCGTTTTGCTATAGCCTAAAGGCTCACAAAAACGCCGAATACCACTCGTAGATTTGACGCGACCCATTACACTTTTTTCTTTGGCCAAATATTATTCAATGAAATAACGTAAAATAAGAAGTAGTTCCTCCACAGTATGACAAAAATAAGGTATATAGCAACAAATACGAGCAGAAAAAGGCGCCTAATACTCTAGAATATACAATCATGCATTCAAATATCTATTTTTAAGGCGGACATTATGGGAAATGAAAATACATTTTTGTCAGCTTCAGGGTTTAATTAGTCTCTTTTAAATATTAATTTGTATTCATATTCTTTAACCAAATAACACTCAAAATATACACGCTTCGAAGGATCCATCGAAAAACGATATTATAACGATATGATAACCGTAAACGATATTATACCATCAAAAATGGGGAGCAATTCAAAATGTTTGCTGGCTTTCGTCGCGTAGAACTTCAACAAGCTTTCGGTTTTTACAGTTTCCCAACACACAATTATTTGTGGACATAAGGTTTGCTAAAGTTTGCTTGTTATTCTAAAAGTCGCTTTTATTTCTATAACTAATGGACCAATCGAGTTCAAATTTTTAGTACCTTAACACGATTGAAAACGCTATTATAAACATTCAAAAATCTATGCTTTTCTTAAATGCAGATTCAAACGTCCGAAAAGTCTCTTAATTCTCTGAGTTTTTTAAAGGGTTTACTTCGTAAATGACTATATTTCCACCAAAGTCAGATACCTATACAAAAGTACAATTTTGAGCATTTTAAATTAAGATATTCCAAAATATTCTTCTGCGCTTTTATAACTAATTTGTACTTATGTCTGTAAAATGGTAAAACATCACAGACTTCCTTCTCATAATATACAGTCGTGATTCGGACATAAGGTCATGGAATTTCCCTTGCTAGAGGTTTTGCGGTCATGTACGGTTTGAATAAGCGATTAATTAAATTAATAATATTCGGAAATATGGAGATATATTTATACTTTGACAAATTACGTACCAGCTTGAACTTCCTGCCTTTTGCACCACGCAAACAGTCAGTATTTGATCTGGTGATGAAATAAGCTGCATATCGTCCGACCATTCCTGTTTCAGATGATCTTCACACGTCTATAGATGCACAATTTACGTTAGATACTAAATGATAGTAAATTCCGGAACATGCTAATGAAAAATTGTCTCTGTGATTCTTTTCATTTATATTATTTATGAATTAAATTTATAATTTAAAATAATTTAAAAAATTAAAACAATTCAATTAAAAACTTTTTTGGGCGTTGCCAATATGTATCCAATAATAAAATATTTGTAAAAATATCTAGAAATGGTGAAATTAATACCCAAGTACCAACGAGTGATTTTTAAAAAGCGAATGATAAAACTGATGATCAATGTTTGCAACAACATACCATTTGAAATGTATATCCTCACGCTAATAACCGAATTGCGTAAGTCATTTTTGGCGATTTTGAGGTATTTATGTAATTTGAGGTATTTATGTAATGCTGCGCACCTGTCTGTTAACTCAGATTTCATTTTAAGAATTCCGAACCCCATAAAAATGGAGATTCAGTATGACATGCACATTGGTGCAATTGTTTCGTCATAATTAATTATCATGGTTCCCGCAGGACTATTGTGACGTCACAAAAGCAAAATAGCCTCTGCGAAGTATTTTCGAGTTTTTGCATCTCGGATTCTAGCTTAGCGCGTATTAATTTGAATTTATACTACAGTATAGGAAGGCGTGCACTTGTGATATTCACTGTCGGAGTCCAACTCACCTTGGTTGGCTTTTATATTGGGTGCATTGCTGTTTTATTCTTTATATTTAATCTTAGTCTTATTTCGGTGGGTGTGCAGAACGTGTTATATTGATGGAATATATATTTTTAAACATAAAAATAATGTAATTGAAACTGATTAGCTATTTTGGGGATTAGACATAGTAGATACTGAGAATTACATTCGTTTTTGGAATGTTTAGTTTTCAGGACTGGTGCATATAGTAAAGTTGCAAAATTGCGTATGTCCCCAAGTCATAGACACATTTCTGCCTAAGTCACAGTGCGCTATTATGACGTCACTTAACTGCGTCATACAAATTAACCCAAATCCGGCTACGATCAAAAAATTGAACCATGGCAAATCTTTGACTCTCAATGGCATAACAATATCATTAGGAAGTTTTTTACGTTTTTCTCAAAACTGCTAAAAATGACTTGACGATATATTATTATAGATTCGTATAGACTCGTATAAGCCTCACATGAATCGCATGTATATGAATATCGCCTTTTCAATTGCTATATAAAAGGGCTTGTTAATTTTACATTATTTACCGAAAGTATCTTTCAAAACTCAATTCTATATATATTATAAAGACGAATTAACTAAATATTTTTTTCTCGTTCTGATCGAATTTAACACATTTTGGTTGAGAGTTTGAGAAGATCCAAATTAACCATTGAGCAACTCATACTTATAAATATGCAAAGAAGAATTTCATGTGAGAAGTAAAGAGAGAAAATTGTCTCTGATCATTATTACCTCCAACAGCCTTTCTTTTCTTTTTTGATAGACCTGTTTAGCTTGTGTTGTAAGCTCGTGTTTCATATTTTCCGGTGGTTTGGTGATTGACAAAAAATGTCTAACTTCTCGTATTTCTGAAATAAGTTGACTACTATTTATATCATAACTACCAGACTGGTTCTCCTACAATCTACACTCTCACATATTACTATCATATGAAATGAAAATTTTGAAAAATCTATCCAATCCACATAATATGATATCAATATATACGATTACATCTATCACTTACACTTTCGTGAACTGTTGCTCACAGTTATAAGTAATTCTATATGTCAGCTTGTGGATGTAGTTTCTTACTGAGTTATATAACGTTCAATTATGAGTACAGCCGAAATAATGATTCAAACTTTGAAACATCTAAAAGTAACTTTATCATCGCAATGAACAATTGGATAAAAAATATGATGCTTGCAATTATTTCTATACGCTACCCGCTTTTAGTTGATGAGACAATACATTGATTTAGAAAAAACGTAATGAAATAGGGAAAAACAAAAATTGATATATAGCAAATGATCTTACTGGCAGTTGGAAGTCCTTCAATATGAAATGTGTTACGCCCATCATCCAATTTCTCAACAACAACTTTATTATTTTGTGTAATTTTTGATTGCTGCGATTCTAAAAAAAAGGGAATTAAAGTTCACAAGGAAAACTGTAATTTCCAGGGTGATCAAAAGGACAAAATGTCTAGAATTTTAGCATGCATTCCTCGAAATATGGTAAATACAATGAGTAAAAGTACATCTTTAATCTAGCTGTAGCATAAATTGTCCATAATACCATTTATCTGTATCATTTACTACAGATTGTTAATATAGTCTCGAGAGCAATGTCGCTCCATTCATTATCAATACAAAGTAGATGTAGTTTATACGTGTCATCGTTTTAAATTTTTATTGGAAAACCAGCTATCTTCATTTCAAACTATTTATTCAATATAAAAATTTTCTTTTGCTAAATTTCGACTATGAGTTCGATCAATATCTAATGAAAACTCAGATTTTATGACGCATATAATTGAACAAACCCTCATCTGCATTACTTGTGTAAGCATGAACGTAAATTTAAAATGAGTCATTCAAAATTACTTATTTTGATGGCGCAATTTTTACTATAGATTGAAAGAGTATCACGTAAGTGAAATATGTGCATGCAGTATGGATGTTCATTTTTTTTTCCATCCAATTTTTTATAATATTACATTCGAAAATTCCAATAGGAAATAAGATTACTTTTTGACACTATTGTCTTGCGCTATACCTTAGAATATGACAATGTATGTTAAACTGTGTAATGTATGTTAAATATACATAAAATACAGTGAAAATTTCCGATGTGATGTTAGTTCATAATATTTAATTATATGATGATAATAACTTGATTGCCAAAGGAAGCTGCCAACGAAATCTATTTTTGTCATGCCATATAACTATATATCGTATATTACTTACCATTTCCTAATGAGAAGTATTTTTCATTTGTTTGGTATCTTGTTTCTTCTGAATTCCACGTTGTTTCCTGCGTATCTCCAAATTCCAAAATTTGGTTACTGGAAATTGTTTTTCTATTTTTTACAAAACGATTCATGAGGTGGAATGTCGGAAAAATGTTGTAACTCATAAATAGTTTGGTGCTGCATATAAGAAGTGCAAAAATGCACAACGAACGGATGGATCTATGACGTCTTTTAACTTGTTTTACTTTGGATGGCATAACGTCAAATAATATCTTCATTTCAGTAGTCTTTTTATGAAGTATAGTCACGAAAAGATCATCCACAAATACGAACTCTTCAAAACATTATTCTCTGATATTCTTAAAGCACTTAGTTATTCTCAAAGCAAAATTTTATTTTACATTTATCTAAATCATTCAGAATATCGCCTTTTTATATTTTTGAGCGGACGTCCCATAATAATAAAAAAAAAATAGTGAGAAATCGCGAGTACTCTCTTAAAATAGTGTCACAATCTGAGCATTACATACTAGGACTCTAATGAACTATCTTTCCGTTACATGCGGGTAAAGATAACGCCATTGGTAGGGTCTCAAAAAATGAAGGTCTAACAAGTAAGTTTCCAAGATGAGATTTTGAAAATATTTTTTTAACAAAACACCTAAAGGTTTATCAGCTATAGGTATATATAGATGTCAATTTGATGAATTCACTGCCCCCCCCCCCCCCCCCGCCCCGCAAAGATTTTTTTTCATTTTAAATTATGTCCCATCGGCTCCTTTAGGTCGGGAAGAAGTTGTTCTCTGGGGTCCACAAGTAAAGACGTTCGCGATGACTATATTAATGAGTGACTGTGATTTGTTTTTGTAATGTATTTATTTATTTGTTGTGGTTTGTTGATTATTTTGTAAAACTGATGACAACCCCCAATTAAAGCAAAACTAGATATTTTTATAAAATGCGGGGGCCACGAGTGATTACAGTGTTTGGAAATGATTCACGGATTACTAAAGTTTAAGAACCACAGAGTTATAGGAACAAAACCATTTGGAATATGTGCGAACTATCATCAAATGGACACACATTCTATGAATATGAAATACTGAGTAATGTGCTAGGTTTGAACTTGGTTTACAAATAAATAGTGTTCTGTACCGCACAGACCACAAGTTTACCACAGATTGATTTTGCGGAACATTGTTCTTTATAGATTTAGATCTAATTCCTCCAAAGCGCCTAACAAAAATATGCTTTCTGTTAAAACACTTCTCGAAGGTATGCTCCATCTTAAGACCTATACAATAACAGTTGTAAATATATCGTATCCTTTACTTTTGCAACTTTTCCATTGGTAAAATTTTCAATACTACTTTTTCAATTCGACATAGCTAAAATGAATAAACTATAGAACTCATCCTTCTCTTCACCGATCTATAATCAGACTCAAAAACAAAAATAACTACTTATATTTGTCTTCCCATCATGTACACAAAAAACGTTTCTATTTCCTTTTGCCAAAAACAGTTGAAATCTATTTCTCAAACTATTGGTTACAAAACGATTTAGCAAACAAAAAGAGAAACCGCAACCTCCGCAATGACATAAAAATCAGCCCCGGGGGCTTTAGGCCGCATTACAACCGCTCCACGTTTTTCACTGAAATGTGCTGAAATGTTTGTTGATGAAAACGAAAAAGTACAAACAAACGAATCAAGGGCTAAACGTTACTTCTTGTACACACTAAGATATCCAGTTGTAAGATTCAGCAAGATGAGTTCGTTTTTTGCTAAGGGTTTAAGCTGCTGGGTCTTAATTTCAATCTAACGGTATCTTTTGGCTTCTCATTTTGACTTTCTAGTTTTCTGCTAATAAGAATTTGTTAACAATATTTACACGTTATTCATCTTTAGCATATTCATTCTTAAATGTATCAATTTGCATGTTTAGTAATAAATATCTAGGGCTGGAATCGCCATATGTCCGACAAACAACCGCAGTAACAAATACCTCACTCATCATGCAACAAGTACAGAATAAATGAATCACTTCAACGACAATAATTGTGACTATTTTAGCGGTAAATTGCCTAAAGCCCGATCAAACTGCCCGATAAAAGCTGGTCGTGCCAGGTTCGTCGCAACGAAGCCTAATTCTTTTTTGGCGAATCAGTTAAATTGTCGTATATACTCCATCAATATTGAAAACAAAATTTAATAAATAGCTTTTATTTAGGAAAAAATAGTCCTACTTCAAAGCAAAAAAGTTTCTCATGAGATTTAATCTGTCCGTCGTTTGCGAGATATCGCATATTGTTTATGTTTTATTTAACACCCAGCCAATGAGCATTTTTACAATTTTTTGATTAAACAAAGATATGTAATTTAAATGTATGTGGATGATATGCTATCGATATCTGAATCCACAGTTCTATTGTCTGAAAAATCCCTATTGCAATTCAATACCTTTGTTGCTGGCATTGTTGGATGCTTCTACCATCAATTAGATTATCTCTCTGTCAATCGCTATTTTCACGTGTTACGAGGTGATGAAAAAACATGTTTTATAAAATGTATTTCTAACAATCTTTCCAATACATCTTCATAGTAGATTAAGTGTGTTTGTGTGTTTTATGTCTTCATAGTTGAGCTCAAAGATTTTTTGCAAGCCTCCGGCATTTGCTATCACAGAATAGTTTTCATAAGTACTAAACATAGCAGATCTGTCACGCAACCTATATCAAAATTTGCCATGCATTGCGCATCTATGTTTATCTATTCTCATATGAACTAATTTTATTACTTTACCGACTATTAATGCTTAAAAGACATACCGTTACTTCTATTTATTAGACATTTGAGCTGCTTTATGCAAAAATAACAATATTTTATATCAACAACAGACAATTTTTTATATTTCCATTTGAAAGAAAAAAATCAATTTTGATATTGGTTCATTTAGTATAATCCTTGTTAAACCCACAAGTTTGAAAGATGATTTAATGATTTCTTCGTAAGAAGAAGTAGCAGATCCCAATATTGCTTATTTGTACTTAACTTCCAACGTAGACAGTGATTGAACGTAATTTCTTATCTAACATTAAATTTGCGTATGTACTTTTTCCACAGTGATTAATACAAACGAAAAATTACGAAAACTACAATAAAGTGACTTAAAAAGGTGGAGCTGCTATAATATGATGATAATATTGTAATGTCAATCCACACCTTTATTGCTTAAACATATCTGAAAGATATTTAAACTCAGTTAGCTTCAGTTACCATACATCTCTACGAAAAACTGGTTTTGTCCTATACCACTCACATCCAACAACATTTAAGTTTAATCTCGTGCGTTGAAAAGTGAGATCTTCAAAACACTGTAGATTATTATGTCTCGAATTTCTAATTCTAACCGCGATAAGTATCTTCCATATCCTATATGCCAGTCATAAATTACGCGGACGCGTAGGGTTTAGCGCATTGGTTTAACTGTGTTTAAATTGTCAGTTCGGAATTTGGGGATCAAAATCAGTCCATTTTAATGCCAGCCCACCACTTCACACTCTGTAATGATATTTCATGATCAGTTAACTTTTTACATCTCAATTTTACATCCACCAAGACAAAAGGCAGATAACAGGTAGCCTTATATTTGGCTCGTTCGTAAATTATTGCCTCTAATATTTTTCGAAATTGATTAAATATAATTTACTAATCAGTAATCACCTTGTTAGCTATTCCTATATATGACCTGGATTCTCTGACCAGAAGGCTTGTGGTTTGCTGCAAAATCACATGCTAAGTTCATTTCATGTTAATTTTTGATTCAGTGAAATGTTATTACAGAATATTATACTTGCTAGATACTTTCCCTGAGGTTAAATAGCGGAAATAGAAAAGAAGGTTTAAACACTCATGACTCCATAATAATATGAAAAGCCAATGACTGAAAAAAATTGAGCTTCTAGTTCTTAATATTTGTTTTTGTTAGATTGGAGTTTTATACCAAATATATAGAAGACATAAAGAATGTCAAAGTTTTTCTTTGAGGGAAATCGTTTTAAAAATGCTGCCAATATAATTTCTTGAAAATGTTATTTTGAGTGTATAAAAGTGTTGGAATCCACTAAAAAATTTCATTTTTAAAATTTAGGTTAACAAATCAATCAGAATTGATTGTTATGCAACTATTTTCGTGTGATGAGGTAGATGTGAGATACTATACTATAGTCTGTTTAATATATATATATAAGATTATCCTTCGATTTCAATATTTTACTAGAATGCACAACAGTATTTGGGTTTATATGTTTTAACATGCAGACATTTTCAACAACAAAAATCCTTTCTACGCATGCAGTTACGAACGATTGAATAGGGGTTCAAAAAAGTCATTGTCTCGACAGAAAATGATGAAATGACCTATGTTGAAGTGAACTCTTAGTCTGTGGGTTCGACGTCCAGTCGTTGCCTTTTCCTTCTTGTTCAATTTTGACCATATCGTTGCTTTTGGATCATCAGCAAATTCCTATACCAGACCTCTGTACTTGGTAAGCAAATTAAATATAATAATAGCAAGCGCACCCTTTAATGACCCACAATATATCTGAATTACTCTCAAAATAACGCTCTTCTAAGAGAGAATGATTGGGGAGGTTAAATAGAATTGAAACCATTGATTCAAATTAATAAGTTACAAAACTATAAATCTCTTCAATACGTTTTGATAATGTTTATTCCCTCTATCTTTTTCGCAAACTCAACACATGCCCGGTACCACGACAATACACTAGAATATTCTACCACGTGGAAAATTTGTAATGTTTATAATGAGCGAGAAAAATACATACATTAAATATTGAATTGAAATCGCATTTATTTTTCCGCGAGATCAATTGAAAAATATTTCAACAAGTAGGGCAATTTCTTCACTTCTAGCTTTCATTTATTGTTGTCAAAAATTTATTTTAAATTCAACACGTTATTCAATATACCCGAGCGTGTCTTGCCTGGGATAAATTTTTTGCGATAGTTCTGAAACTTTATTTATGATGCAAAAAGTATTTTACGAAATACGAAATCTCTGTTATGATACCGAAGTGAATTTCATGGAAGCAGTTGATGGCGCCACTATAATTGACCACGTTGTTTAAAATTCAAACCAATCATCATATTATGACGTAACAGATTTTCAAATATTATATGCCGTCCACCTCACCGAATTTCCGGGTTGGAATAATACAGCTCCCGGGTCTATATTATAGTGGGTACTATTGGAAACGTTTTGTAACATCACAATATCTACAGTACAATTTATGGAAGTAGAAGCACATCAGGTCGGAATCAATCGCGATTTACTCGGTTTCAATTTGTATACAATGGGTAGGTGTAGTTTTGCCAACCCCGCATAGTCTGATTGCGAACCAAATGGATTGTCTCACCAATCCTTTTATTAAGACGGCAAGCAAAATAAAAGTCCAAAATTTCCCAAATCATCGATAACAGAACGCATCGCATACATAACCGTTTAATTATTGCTAGAATGCTTCGGAAGTACCTCTGATATTCGGGGTTTTCAAAAATCCAATTCTTCTCATGCCATGTATTTAATACTTATTATCGTATACTTCCAGGATTCCCCATAAAAACCGATGAATTAATTTTGTAAAAGTTTTGTAATTTTATTATTGAAATACGAATATATATATATAGATAT